AGATTAAAGATAATTTTATAGAGACTTAGTAGATACTTAAATTAGCGTGCACTTTTTTGAGACGTGATGCACTAATGAGTTTTAGTGGGCGAACGGCCGAAAAATAACCTTCCGTTCTCATAAATGGGAACGCCCGTTCCCATATTTGGGAACTCCGTTCCCAAAAATGGGAACGTTCCTATATTTGGGTACTCATGACCATAGTTCCACCTGTATTTAGGGCCTTGGTTCCACCTACTGATGTGGTGTAAAGCAGACACTTGAAATGGATATTATTAATGCACTGTTTCGTCCTATGCATGTGCGTCACTCCCTTGGTCGTGTTTCCCGTGTCCGTTTGGCCTGCCGCACAGTTGGCACAGGCATTCCTCGGACCTGCGACCTATGTGCTCAGTGCTCATTCGTCCAACAACAGAACCTCTTATGAAGAGATCGACTTTCTACGCCGTATGATGCTTTTCGTCGCGACCTTCTCCGCATGCTGCGGGGCTTGCTGCGCTTGCCATGCCGACTCGAACCGCCCCTGGCCGGACCTGCTGCCGCCGTCAGACCCCGGTCCCATCCGGAAGTGGTGGTGTGGCCCAGCTGTGGCGCTCGCCGGCCCCTCTCCTGCGGCCCTTTGTGCGCGGCGGGGGCGGCCGGTGCGCCGGGGCTCCACGCGGCGCTCGTAACGGTGCGCCTCCTCCACTGTCCTCGCGCTGACAGTACCGAGACCGAGCAGCGCTGGTCTACTCAGTCAACAGAGGTGGCACACAGACGCCGTATTTATTTCGTCACCACTTGGAAAGCCATCGATACCGTTTGCCCCTGGTCCCCACGTATGTCCCCGCTAGCCGGCACTGGTGGCACGCTGCTGGTGTTACGGCGGCGGCGGTGAGTTTTGACGTTACAGCATATGATGTCGGTTCCTGCCTCTGTTTTCTGCGGCATCTCCGTCCGGCCGTGGCTGCGGTGGAGTTCCTCTTCCCGCCTGCCCGGCCGCCTCCCGGGGCGTCCTCGGGCCGCGGGTCCCGTTCCCTGCCCTGCCGCCCTCCCGCTCCTGCCCTGCCCGGCCGCCCTGCCACCCTCCCCTGCCGGGCAGATGTCCGCTGGCCTCCAAGGTCGCGCGCCGCGGAGCGCCTGGCTGCGCCGATCAATGGGTGCCCTTTGTTCCGGGCCAAGGTGCGCCGGCCGCGCGCGTGCGGGGACACTGCGCCCGGCGCTCCGGGTCTTTGAACGGCGCGGCTCCTTCTCCCCAACACTGTGGGCGGGGCGGCCGGCCTCCGAGGGCGCCCTTGGAGGACGCGCCGGCGCACCGGAGGAGCGCTTTGTGGGCGCGTGCGAGCCGTCCGGCCTGACCTCGGCGGGGGGATTAGGGGATTGGATGTTATCGCTGGATTACTCAGTGTGTCGAAATTCGGTGTTTGTCCGCCGCTGGCTGACTAGGAAATGGGCGGCAATCGGCACTGTGGCTCGGAGGTTTGGCGCTGTTAGCTGGACGCAGTCGGCAGCAGTCTATGTTTGCCTGTGCACTGTGCAGCCGCATCCGCCTCCAAAGCCCCCCGCTTCGTCAGCCGGAGTAGTCAAATCGGCCGCGGTGGCATTGGGCGCTGCTTGGTCACATGCTTCCCCTGATGGACTGCCGGACTGGCTCGTCCACCGTCCACCTCATGAACTGCCGGACCATCGCGTCCACCTCATGGACTGCCGGACTGGCTCGTCCACCGTCCACCTGACGGACTGCCGGACTGCCGCGTCCACTGTCCACCTTATCGACTGCTGGCCGGCGCTGTCTACTGTTCGACTGTTGGCCGGCGCTGTCTACCGTGCGGTTGTCGTACTGCGGTGTCGCCTGTCGGCGTCAGCTGCTGACTGCGGTTATAGAAACTCCTTAGCTCTCCCGCTGCAGCTGTCGATGGCCAGGGGCGCGGCTCGCTGCATATCCGTACAGACCAGCTCCACATAGCGATCATGGCTGGTCCTGCGACTCTTGCATCGATACAACCGATACAGCCATCAGTGCGCCGACTGAGTCAGTCAGCCCTCCGTGGGTAGGTCATCATTGCTGAATACTGACAGTGGTGCCGGCCGTGTTTCATGACCGACACTGCTGTTGGTGAGTCAGAGACCCGCTCGCCGGCCTGTGACACACTGGGGCTGCTCGGCCACCCGGTGACACACTGGGGCAGCAGCTCGGCCACCCGGTACGTGACACACTGCCGGCGCGGCACCTTCTGAGCTGCTCGCCGGCGCGGCGCCCTCGGAGTGCGAACTGCGTGTCCGGAGCTGCCGCTGAGTCACCGCTGCTCCGTCTCCGAGACACCGGCCCCCTCTCGGCCGCCGGGAGATGGACAGGGTGTGATGGGCGGGCAGGATGACTAAACGCTGCGCCGAACCTCGCGGACGCAGGAGACTTGGCTCTGATGGACGGGAGATGGGGATGGCTACGATGACTGCATGGCTCTCTGACCTGAGAGGGGTCGCGGCGCGGGTCGCTGGGCTGGTGAAGTGGTGATGGAGCGGCGGGGTCCACTTTCTGTCCATTCCTGCAGTCCACCCCCCGGCATGCTGCCGTGCCCTGCAGCGGCGGCGGTCTGACTCAGGAGGGGATCGATCCCCGGTGAATCACTCCCCGCCGGAGCCTCCCACCTCCCCGCACACACACACATACACACACACACACACACATACATACACCCCATGACCCCATTGGCGCGGTGATTCACCCACGGCGGCCAACCACCCGGTCAGCATCGATCGGTCGTGGGGCGACTCCACTGTCCTGGCGAGGACGGCCAGCCCATGGTGACCGCTGGGAACTAAAACGGAGCCCGGGCCGGATTTGAGCCCGCGGGAGACGCGGATCGCCGGCTCGCTCGGAGGTGGTGGGGGCCGGTGGACGGGTGAGGATGCGCTGTCGGTGACGCGGCTGCTGGCCGGCCAGTTGAGCTCGTTGACGCACACGCCGATATGGACAATAGTGCAGAGCAGCGTTTGGCGCGGATCGCCCCTCTCTGAGTCACGCTGACATCTACTGTGCGAGCTCTGTGACCGTCGGTGGACGGCCACGGCACAGTAGGGAGGGCCGCTCACCGGGTGCCGCCTGTACCAACCCGAAACGGGCAACTGTGTGAGGCTCTGTGAGCTATCGTGAGACAAATGTGTCCGTGGCGTTACTTTATTTGTCATTTCTTGGCCTCGTTACCGAACTGGTATATTAAACCTTCGAGTTTTCTTCATTGCAACTTAGGAGTAAATGTAACATGCGATGGGGCGATGGGCTAAGCTGATATCGAGAGGATATTTGGGTAAATGCCTTTCTGTTGTTGCGCAGAATTTATGTGAACTTAAATGCTACAAATAAATGCTTATCAAATATTACCACACGTTACGCATATGATGCAAAATTTAGTTGGACCTGGATTAGTAGCGATGGACGCGGTCAGAGATAGACGGAATGTCTTAAAATACCCTGCAGATGCATTGGCTCAGGCAACAAGTATGCCAATTACACACTCGTTTTGCACGAACTACCGCACCATGTCTAGTTTATCTATGAAGATCGACCCAGCATTTCCCCAGCTGGGCAGTCCCCAGTCCTTGACCGTTGTCCCTCCCGTGTCCTTTCCGGTCAGTGTCGTAACCTTCCCGGCGGGGGCGGGGCGTTTGGGAGGGGGGGGGGGGGGCGCGGAGGGTGGCTGCCCCGTCCGACGGTCGATGGTGGCCCTCCCTGGCAGCGCCGCCCGCCGCCCCGGCTGGCGCCCCCGCACCGCGCCGCCGCCAGTGTGGCCGCGGACGCCGCCGGGGTGGCACGGTGCGACCGTCACCGTCACAGGTCACTCGTGAGGGTGTGGGTGGTCAGCAGCTCCCCGCAGTCGGCGGACCTCCTCAGTTGTCCGTCAGGTGAGGGTGCTGCTTAGGTGGTCGATTTACAGCCATTATTGCCCTCTCATGATCAGCAACATTGTTATCCTTTCTGCTATTCCAATATCCAGTCTTACGTCAGTAGCGGCGGAACAACTTCAATTAAGGGGGCACTGCCGACTTTTGGTCCCATTCTTTCCATGCAACGTCCATAGGGCTAATATTAAAATGTCAAAATCAAAGGGGGGCACGGTGCCCCGGTGCCCTCCCCGTTCCGCCGCCTATGTCTTACGCGATATTCTTGCATCATAAAGAACGTCAGACGCGGTGGGTTTTTCGTCCAGTATCTCTCCGAGAGTCAACTCGCCTGCACCTTGTCCGCCCACGGCTGTCACTCCCTCGAGCCGTGGTCACGGTCAGCCGGTCTCCCCTCTGGCGCTGTTCGACCTCTGGTGGCGCGCCACTGACCTGTCCACAGGGCCGGTCACTGGGGCAGGCCCGGCCGGTCGCTGGGGCGGTCTGGGCTGTGCAGTGTGCACCCGACTGCTGAGTCGGCAGAGGAGCTGACCGAGGCTGCAATGAGCCGGCACTGAGACCGACAGCTGTATGTGTGGGGCCGGGAGGGATTTCCGATGACACACGCGATGGCCCGAACCGCCTACCCCTCCCTCCGGGTGCAATATTGGTGCGACTTCAGTAGCGCTAAGGAACGGCTCAACAGGAACACGAGTACGACAGGGCGCGCGTCCTCCGGTCATGAGATGCCGTCGTGATGCCGTGTCGTTGTGTCTCCCCTCTCCGTCTGACTGTCACCGTCTGCACGCGCCGGAGACAGGTGGTGACCGTGGGTTTGACGCCGGCGGCTGCTGAGAGCACGGCGAGCTGACCCAATAGCTTCTGTGACCGGTGTTGTGTCTCTCTCCGAAGTTGTACTAGTCTCTGTCCTCTGTTTGGCCACAATCGTCAGCCGGGCGTGGGCAGGGTGTCGCTCTCAGGCCATCAGGCCAGAATGTGTGCCGATGGAGGGCGATTTGCCCTCGGCCAGAGTTATAATCGAGCTCCGAGCTGATTTTGTTCACCTAGTACATATCAGCTGTTGTGAACGGTGTGCCCTCCTGTCTGTCTGTCCCACTGACGCCCCTCTCCATCTCCCGCAGGTGACCGCGTCTGGCCGCAGTGGATCGCTCGCTGTCTCACCTCCGCACCTGGGCCGGCGCTGGGCGGAGAGTGTGACTGTCGTGCGGAGATGGGCCTGCGGGCCGCGCGCCGCCCTGCGCTGTCGGCCGGCCGCCGCGCCCGGCCCGCCAGCTGAGCAGCGCTCCTCGTGCCGCCCACACGCGCCCGGCCCCCAGTGCGCCGCGCGCCGAGCGGCAGCGCAGCCGCCATGAGCGCCATGGACGTGAGCGAGTCGCTGGCAGCCATGGAGACGGACGCCGCGGCGGCGGCGGCGGCGGCGGCGGGTCCGCGGCCGCTGGACCTACAGCGGGTCAGCGCAGGTCAGTCCCCGGCGCCGGCCGCGCGGGCAGCGCGCGCGCCCGCGCCCGGTACCGTTAGCGGGAGTCTGAGCGGCGTCCGCTGCCAGCAGGCCGTCCCACCCGGCAGCGCTGGCTGTCCCGCCAGAGCGGGCGGCGTGGGTCCTCTGGGTGGGAGGTGGTGGCGGCATGGGCACGTGTGTGATGGAGTGTAGGAATCACGGTGGGTGTTCTGGACATGCCTCTGGTCACACAGTGGTGTGGCTGGTGCTGGTGCTGGCATGGTGCTGGTGGTGGTGACGGTGGTGGCATGGTGGTGCTGGTGGTGGTGGTGTCTGTCGTGTTTCAGGGAGGATCTGTGCCCTGACGTGTAACTGTTGATGTTGCTAGTGCGGCCTTCTTCTAATTTCTGTTGTAGGCGAAATTATGGGGTTTGGATGGACGTTTCAGCGAAATAGAAACGAAAGTGCGGACGTTCGTAGCATATAATCGCTCATGTGATCTTCTTATAAACTTTTCCGGTTAAGTTTATTTACACCGTTCAAGCTTACTCAAAATGTTTGGGCGAATCATTTAGGATTTGAATACCTACATGCTTGGCAGTTCACAAAGGTTTGAGCAGTAAACCTAAAACACTTAAAGCTTCGCCACACGAGTTAGGAACACAGCCCCAGCTGCTAGGGACCCATTGCATAGTCGTTTTTATTAACGTTATATTCTAAAGGCTCACTTTTCCTTTTTTCTTGAGAGGGGTGGTCTCCATTACCTATCACCCTTGATATTTCTTAACTCATTTATCAACCTTGCGATTGTTTCCCCGAAATGCATTGTCAAGCGCTTAAAAACATCGTCAAAAGCAGTCTCGAGCCATGCATCACAGTGAAAAACGTGCGTGGATTTCCGAACCAAAAAGTCGACTGTTCTGGTCTGCGCTATTTTGCCAAACAGGTAACATAATCGCTGTTCATGATGCACACTATGCACAGTATTTAAACGAGCGTGAGGCATGTTGTAAATAGCCACATCGTTATATTTCATTGATATTGGGCGGCTTTCTGGCTCTGCTTTGTTAACATGCTGATAACAAGTTTCAATTATTCTCCCAGTGCAGTTATTCGATTGGCTTGTTATTCTAAAATAATCCTGTTTAATTGAGCGTCATATTTCAGTAGGCATACATTTGAATTATTGGAGCTATCCTCTGATGGAGCTTCTGACACCCAGCGGGGCGTGTGGGATCTGTCGTCGGACCGTGGTGGGCAGTCGGGAGATCCACGGCCCGGTCACACCTCCACTACATGGCTGCGCTGTTCCTCGGAGTTCTCCGCGACGAGTCTCTCAGTTTTGCTACGTCTACCTGGCTATGCGTCACGTGCTGGTGCCTGCCCCGCCCGCGCGCACATGACTAGAACCGTCGAGGACTCTATCCGCCGTGTCTGGGAGTTGGAACTGTCATGTATGGGACTCTGTCTGGCACCATCGCGGGACTGTCGTGTCTGGGACTGTAGCTGGCTCTATCCGCCATGTCTGGGGGACTGTCGTGAGCTCTGTTCGCAATGAGCAGCCCGTGGCCTCGCGCCGTGCCCGGCGGCCGCCCGGCGTCTCTCCCGCGGCGCCGGCCGCAGCACACTCCGCTGGGAAGGTCAGGCTCCCGGCTGGCTATCTAGCCAGCCCACACGGCGAGCAAGCTGCTTACCGCCGCGCCCAAACGACGTGCCGGCCGGCGTTCAGGCAGTTAGGCGGTGTTTAGGCAGCGTTAGTCACGGCAGCGAGCCTGCGGCGGGCCGCCGCGTGCGACCAGGCCTGAGCCGCGGCCCAGTCGGGTATGCTGCGGGGAATGTGAAACAGGAGTGTCGGGGCGGGGATAGCAGAGTCGGGGGCGGGGACAGCGGAGTCGGGGGCGGGGACAGCAGAGTCGGGGACGGGGACAGAGGGTGGCGGGCGGGGACGGGAGAGTGTCGGGCTGGGACAGCAGAGTCGGGGGCGGGGCAGGGAGAGTGTCGGGCTGGGACAGCAGAGAGTCGTGGGCGGGGCAGGGAGAGTGTCGGGGCGGGGACAGCAGAGTCGGTGGCGGGGACAGGAGAGTGTCGTTCTGTGTCGACTGTCCGTGTCTGTGGTTAATATGTACATTGTGCATGTTTGGGTGCGAGCTGCTGGGTGTCCGGGTGTGTGTTCTGTGTGTTGTGTTTGTTGTGTGTGCACTGTGTTGCGTCGGGAGCCGGGGCGGTGCGCCGGTGACGGCTGACGTCTCCCGGACAGACTCGACCAGTGTCAGCCCCCAGCCGAGCAGGGAGTCGCCGCGGCCCTCGGACGACGGCGCCGACCCCGACCCCGACCCCGACCCCGACCGGGGCACCGGCTCCGACCGCGATCGGGGAGCGGGCGCGGGCGCCGGGCCGGCCGACAGCGGTGCGTTCTGCACGCCGTCTGTGTGTGAATGTGTATGTGTGTGTGTTCGGTGTTTGTCATGGGTGTCCTGCCTGCCCGCGCCGTGCCCGCACGTGATCTGCGTATGTGAGCCACTGGAGTCCCTCCCTGCCCTGCACCCATCTGACCACTGCCCTGACTGCCTGTGGGGGCGGAGCGCATGGCATGACTGTGTGCGATGACACACGCATTCGCCGTCTGTCAGTGACGGAGAGTATCGCCCCCCCCCCTCACCTCCGCTCGAGATGCCCGTCTCGCTGTTCAGCTGTGCAGTGTGCACCCGTCCTCCCATCCCCTGCACGTACTGGTATCGCCGCCCGTCGCCTGCTGCACCGGCGATACTCGGACCCACTGTTTACTATCGGAGCCCCTCTCACTGGAATGTGATGAGTGCCTGAAACCCACACGTCGCTCTAGTATTGAGACATCTTGCATAGTTGTTGCTTGTTGTTGTATTGTGTTATCAAGTGATTTTGGCCTCTGGAGTACTAGGGTTGAATGGCTGCTGCCCCTGGCGCTACACCTGATCCTGCTGCCCCTGATTGACGCCTGTGGCTGTGGAGGCGCTGGATGCGTTCTGTTATTGGCCGGCGCAGCATCGTGCACTCCGACCGGCCTAGCTGGTGTCCTACACTCGGCTCTGACCTGACCGGTGTCATTCATTACACCTGTCCGGTGTGGTACTCGCCGTCCGGTGACCACGCCTCCCTGACAGCTCGCCCGGCGCACCCGGGGCTGCTTCGTGCCTGAGTTAGCGGCCACCGACCGACTCGCGGCGGCCTTTCACTGCCGTCGGCCGGCGGGCGCGTGTCGAAAGGCGCTCCGGCCGACACGGACGGTATGGGGAGATCGGCCGGGACCGTCGAACGGTACAGGCCGGTCGGACGGTACGCGGCGACCGTCGGTCAGCGGGAGCTAGCCTGTCCCTGTGGATCATCGGGACCGGCGGCCGGCGACTGTCTACAGGAGGGACTATATCGGTCCGTCCCTGTAGATCAGAGGGCCTGGGACCGGCGGCGGCCGATATCCGTCCGATATCCGTCCCGTCGGCGGACCGGGACGGATATCGGCCGGTGGCGTTGCCGATATCCGTCCGCTAAATATAGGTCTTGTCTTGCTGGTCGGAGTGTACCCTGCGAGATGCCATGGTGATACCGTTGCGGAGCAGTTCCGGGCGGCGACTGGCGCTCCCTGATGACTGACTGCTGGGAGTGGGCATCCTGTGTGAGGACGTCCGTCTGCGCTGTGACTATTCGGACTCCCGGCACCCATCCTTGAAGGCTGAAGTCTGTGCGCGATGTGTATGTTGTTTGTGGTTCGGCGACAGGCGCGTTGTAGCGGTCGGCTCTGCCATTCCACTGTGGCCTGTGCGGCCGCCCTCCGATCCCGCCGGTCCAGCGGTAGGCCTGCCCGGTTTGGTAAACCACCACCAGTCGATCTGCCAGTTCGTGTCGAAGTGGAAGCCATAGTGTTTTTGGCAATAGCGGCGGCCGGCCGGGCCTTCCCCGGCCCGGTCGACGCCGTGTCCGTTTGGTCTCACGGGCTCTACTGCCGCTCTGCCGCGGTGGAGGGACCTGCTATGTCCTCATTATCTATCGTCAATGCCATGTCTTATAATTGACGGCCTCCACCGGTCGCGGTGTGTGCCGTTCAGAGCCGCCCGACCGGCCGGCGACGACCGCCAGTCGCATGCCATAACTACATAGTTCCCTGCTCAAAAGTGTGTATTTTGGTCCTTGATATGCAGCCTGGCTGTGCCGGACCGGTTTCGGCGGTGAGCGGCTCTGTGCCGCCGACTGTGCCGCCGACTGTGCTCCGTGCTGTGTGCCGCTGGCCCTGTGCTCTGCGCCGCTCCGGACGGGTGGGGCCCAATGGAATGCAGAGCCGCTGCCGCCGCCGCGGACCGGGCTCTGTTTCGTCACGCGCGGAGCGGACGCATCTGCCGGCCGGCCGTCGTGACGCAACGCCGCGGCGCTGCAGACGCCGACGGAGCGGAGCCAACCTTCGGGAATGCGCGTCATTGCCTCACCGCCGCCCGGCGCCGGCCGCCCGGACCAGTGTTATCACTCACAGTTGGGTTATTTAATTCCCACTGGCCATGAGGTGAGAGGAAACTGCTTAGCCGCCCCGGCTCACTGTGTGGAAACCTACCTGGCCAGGGCGCGCCGCCGGTGCGACCGTCGTGTTTGACCTTCGCGGGAATGTCGGGGCGCGGCAAGGCCGGCGCTACCTGTGGACATTCCCAGGGCCCAGTGCGGTCGGCCGGCTGTGGATTCTGCGCCACCGTCCGCCGCTCAGCCGGGGACGGCGCCGACTGCGTCCGAGCTGGCCTCCTTTCGGACACTTTTCCATGTCCCGCAGGTTAGCACGCAACAGTTGAGAATGCGCCGGGTCGTGTCGGCCGGCGTCCCGTCTGCCGCGCCGGCCTCAGCGGGATCGGCGCTGACGGCGGCGCCGGCCGTCACGGGCTCCCGGTACCGCGGCGCGCTGACGTGCCGCCGGGCCGGATTTTTGTCCGGCCGGCCGGCGGCGCACGGCAAGGTGCCGGACTTGGTGCGCAGCAGTGACGATCGGCAGACCTATGCCGCACGGAATCGAGCAGCGCGCTCAGCGAGCGGCCGCTCCGCCCGACTGTATTGACACGGCGATTGGCACGGACGGCCTGCCGATGAAGGGCGATGTGGTCACCGGATGTGGGCTCTATCTTCACACCGAACGGGCTGCCGGTGTCGCAACCTGACTGATGGATGCATGCTGCGCACGCCGCGCTGATGCTGGCCGATGTAAACTGAGCTCGAGCATATGGCGCCCAAAGTTGCACCTGCCCCGCCCAGCCACATGCATAGCTGACTGTTGATTGTACCCTATATCGATGTTTTACAAGTACCTTTTCGTTAATTGAGAAACCTTTCACTGATGAGTGATGTCCGGCGCTGGTTGACGGGTGGCACCCTCTAACGGTGACCTGTGCGTTTCAGCCTCGGCGGTGTGGCGGCCCGGTGGCAGCTCTGCCGAGTCGCGCGGCTGGTCCGAGCGGCCCATGAGCTGGCAGGCCGAGCCGGGCGAGCCGGCCTCCTCGCAGCTGGAGGCGGCCATCAGCCAGACGCACCGCATGGTGAGTGGAGTGCGGCGGGGACCTCAGGCTGATGTGGGGACTGTCAGAACTCAGACTGATGTGGGGCCTGAAAGGGGTGGAACATGACGTTGATATGCGTCTGTGTTATGCTGATGTGAGGGACGTCACACTGATCTGGGGCCGCCGGAGGGCAGTAAATCTCACACTGATGTGGGACTGATGGCGATAGGACTGAGACGCGGGACAGACAGGGACGTGGTTGTGTGGTGGCGAGGCGCGGCGCTCGTCAGACATCTGTCTGTTTTCCGGTAACGCCAGGTGGCCGCCGTAAGTATGTGGTGCGGTGACTGGCGCTAACAAGAAGCATGTGGATATCGGATTGTGTTTGATCATAACGGCTGCTATTGTCATGTGCCCGCCTTCCTGCCCCTCCGTCCGTCCGTCCATCCGTCCGTCTGTCCACCGGTGGCGGCGCCTCTGAGGCCGGCCGGGCGCTCCGTCCAAGGCTGGCGGTGGTCCGGCCAGCCTTGGACGGCTGGCCGCGGCGCTCGGCGGCGCGCGCGGCCAGCCGGCCTCGGAAGGCCGCCCGGCGCGGCGCGGCAGCGGCGGTGGCGGGAGCGGCGGCGGCCACCTGACGGCCGCGTCCCACGGCGCGCGCCGATAGCTGACGTCACCGGACGGCGCGAGGGGCGCCCCTGGTGGGGTACTGCAGCGCGAGGGGCGCCTCTGTGGAACACTGATGGCGCGAGGTGCCTCTGATAGGGTACTGATGGCGCGAGGTGTCTCTGATGGGTTACTGACGGTTGGGCCGCCTCTGTGGGACACCACTACCGGCGCGAGGTGCTGGCGTCGCGTCGCTGGACGTCCGACAGACTGATGGACCGGTGCTGAGTCGGCCGCGGCTCGGGCCGATTGACGTCCGACCAGTAGACAGACAGGCAGACGGACGGGCAGCCACGGCACGGCCCGGTGCGGCGGGCCGCGGCACGCCCGGGCCGGCCGGCGCTCTGCCGACCGGGACCGACTCTGCCGAGTGTGTTCCGTGGCAGCCGCCCGCGCCGGCTCCGCTGATCGTCCTCCGTCTCTCCTTCCGTGTCACCGTCCCTCGTCTCTCTGTTCGTATCTCTACCTCTCGTTAGGTCAGTGTCTCCGCCAATCGTCTCCTGTATCTCTCCCGCCTCTGGTCTCTCGGTTCGTGTCCCCGCCTCTCTTCTCTCGATTTCCATCTGTCGGTCTCCGTCTCTCGTCTCTTTGTTCATATCTCCCCCTCTCGTTTCTGGGGTGTGCGGCGGTCGGTCGGGGGCGGCGGCGGCCTGCTGTCGGAATCCGCTGTATAAACAGTGCCGGCACCGCGCACCGGTCGGCCGCGGGCGCGCGACCCCCGCCCTGACCTTGCCACTGACATTGGAAGGACGCGCCGCGGCCGCCGGCGGAGGACGGGGGGGGGGCGCTGATGACGCCACGTCATTATGGTTGGCTGGCGGCGCGGTGCCGCGCGGCGGCGGTGGGCGGACCACGGAAGTTGGCCGGTGCGGCGGATCGGCCGCCCGCCGACCGGTGCCAGCCGGCCGGCCGGCCGACGGCCCGCCGCGCGCGGCCGGCCAGCGCCAACCTTGGCCGACCTTGCGGCGGGCGGCGGGCCCGGCCGCGCGGCCTTGGTGACCCCTCCGCCGCCGGGGACCGGCCCGCAGTGCCGAGGCCGCCGCCGCCGTTTTTGCCAGTCCCCAGGTGTGCGTACGGCGCCCTGCCCTCCGGAGGTGGCAGCCCTCGTAGTTGGAAACGGTGGCGCCCGCGGCGCCGCCGATACCTGGGAACTCGTGCCCGCGGGCCGGACGAGTTATGAGGGGTTTTGCGAATGTTGGAGGGTAGCGAAGGGAGCCGACTGATATTTATCGATGTTCTTAGAAACAATATTTTATCTTCGGTTCTTGAGTGTTCTGGGAAGAGAGCATTGCTCCGTTTTAAATGGAGGGGCAATGCCAATAAGGAGAAATGCGATGCAGTATATCCTGAGGGTGCAAACATTTTGCTTTGTTTTTGTTTCAAAACCTTTTTTCTTACATAATCACATGATTACTAACCGCGCAACTTTGCCATCGATAAGTGAGATTTTATGTCGTTTCTACAAATCCGTTTCATATTCCAAACGCTTAGAGGGTAAATCAGGGCGATCTAACTGGCGAAGTTTGTCGCGCTCCAGCGCCGTTTTGGGACCATTTCGCCACTGTGTCGGTTCCGGCTATCGTCGGCCGTTGGTCGGCGGCCGGAACCGAGAGGGATTCAGTCGGTGGCTGGGCTGTTTATCACGTGTCGACGCTCGGCGCCGGTACCTGACCCCGGCCGGCGCGCCGCCTCGCCGCCACGCCGCCGGCCGTCGACCGTGCGCCGTTCCACGCCGCCGGCGGCGCGCTGTTTTGCCGTCCGCGTGCAGGGCGCGTATTGATCTCCTGATACGATCTGCCGGCGCGGCCGGCCACGTGGCCGCCAGTCGGCTAAAAAGGGCGCCGCGCGCTGACACCGAGCCGTGGTACAGAGCAGAGGAGGAGGGAGAGAGCGGCGGGGTCAGTTGGCAACGTGGTCGGTCTCGCCGGTTGCCGGGCCGGGACGGCGATTCGGCAGTCTCGGTCGGATGAAAGGGAGCTGACATGGAGAGAACAGAGGCACCACACAAAGAACAGTGCTGGCCGGGGACAATAGATACCCACTAGCCAGGTGTCTATCAGCGACATTTGCTCCTGTGTCATGGTTCGAAGTACGCCAGCCGCCGTGTGCTCTGGTACCCTGCTGCTTCTGCCGCCCGGCGTCCGTCGATACTCGGTGCTCAGAGGTCGGTAGTTGAGTGGTCGTCAGTTGCCTGTTGCTGGTGCCCGCTGCCGCTCCCTGCTCAGTCTGGTGGCCGGCGCGTCCCTTCCCAGCCAGAACAGTGACGGTGTGGCTGCCGAACTGCGGGTCTCTGCAACTACCGGGAGTGGCTGATGCACTGTATGGCGACTTTCCGGGACTGTTTAACCACTGGCTGGCTAGCTGAAGTGTGGCTAGGAAAAACTTAACACGGGCCCTGAGTGAGCTGCTATCTCTCATTCCGGTGAATGCCATTCCGCTGTCCTGTGAGACCTGTGTGTCACCCTCAGCCTCTACAGATTCCCTGCCGTCGCACGGCTCTGCGGCGCTGTTGGCCTGTCTGTGACTATGTGACCCTGACTCTGACTCTGACCTCCGGTCCCCTGTCCTACAGGCGATAAAGCAGGAGGTGGATGAAATGGTGACCAGTCCGGCGGTGCTGTATGACTGTCTCTGACTCTGACTCTGACCTCCCGTCAGGCGATAAAGCAGGAGGTGGATGAAATGGTGACCAGTCCGGCGGCGCTGTGTGACTCTGTGTATCTGACTCTGGCTCTGTCTCTGACTCCCCGTGTCTGTCCTACAGGCGATAAAACAGGAGGTGGATGAAATGGTGACCAGTCCGGCGGCGCCCGACAGCCACCACCTCTCCTCCGACACAGAGTCGGCCACCGCCAAGGTATGTACGCGCGGACCAGGGACGGTCTGGGGTAAGGTCGTGTAAGGAAGACTGGGACTGAATGCACTCATCACTGTATGTTGATGTATTCGGACATCGCATAATTTTCTGTTCTCAAGTTCGATATTTAGAAACTTGGTGGCGATAGTGACGACGCCGTGTTTGATCAAGCATCTATAACATGTTTCGGCCGGTGATAGGGAGGCCTTTTATACCAGGCCCGTGTGTTTTTAATGGAATGTGACGCATTGCTAACATTGTTTGAAGACTGCGGTATGCAGTGGTGCGCTGTCGGCACTGTCTCTGTGTACTGTATAGTGCGGCTACACGAGATGTGTCGTGTTTACGAGAGTGTCTTCCCAGGGGACAGACGGCGGGGGACGCCGTGCTGTCACCGTGTCTGTAATGATCATCGCGGCGTACTCGGAAGCCCTTGTGCCAGAGTGCTGTCTAGGCTCCGTGCCTAGCTTAGCCTCGTCTCCGTACTATGGCATATTGGTGTGTGCACCGTCTTTAGCTCTGCTTCTAGTCGAAGTACTATAGCGTCTTTGTGTCTGTACCGTCTTTGGCTTAGCCTGTAATCCCCGTACTATTGCGTCTAATTCGTGTCTATGCCGTCTTTTGGCCCTTACAGTGACCTTGCTGTCTCCGTGTAGCGACGCCAATACCGTCTGGGTCGTACTCGTCTCGTCTGAGCGGGCTCTTACCACGTTTGTTCACATGTTTGTGCCCTATGTGACTGTGTCCCTGTGTGAGTGTACCCCGTGTGACCGCTCCTGATGTGCCCTGTGTGACAGTTCCCTGTCTGACGGCCCCCTGCTGTTCCCCGCAGACGGACGGCGAGCGTCCGAGCAGCGCCGGTCCGGCGCGCAGCGACTCGGGCTGCGAGGTGAACCACTCGGGTCCGTTCACGCCCAGCGCGTCGCCGCTGCTGCCGCGCTCCGGGCACGGCTTCCACAACTCGCCGGAGCTGTGCGGCGGCGGCGGCGCGGCCGGCCGGCTCTACTCGCCGACGGCCTCGCCGCTGCAGGCGCGACACTTTTCCGGCTACTCGTCGCCCTACTCGCACACGCCCAGCACGGGCCTGTCGCGCAACAACTCGGACGCGTCGCAGTACGGCGGCTCCCAGTACTCGTGCTCGTCTGTGTCCTCCCCGGGCGGCCAGTACTCGCCGGCGGCCTCCCCGGGTCAGAGTCGGCACCTGTACCGGCAGAGCCCCATGCTGGGCCGGCACATGGAGCACCTGCTCGGCCACCACCCGCTCAACCTGACCCAGTCGGACTCGGAGAGCTGCGACGACAAGTCCCAGCTGGCCGCCGAGCTGGCCGCTCACTCGGCGCTCTCGGGACAGTCGGGCATCAGCCGGCAGCAGCTCATCAACAGCCCCTGTCCCGTCTGCGGCGACAAAATCTCCGGCTTCCACTACGGCATCTTCAGCTGCGAGAGCTGCAAGGGATTCTTCAAGCGCACCGTGCAGAACAAAAAGAACTACGTGTGTCTGCGCGGCGCCGGCTGCCCCGTGACGATAGCCACGCGGAAAAAGTGTCCCGCCTGCCGCTTCGAGCGCTGCCTCAACATGGGCATGAAGCTGGAAGGTGAGGAGCCGCGCGCGGCGGTGAAGGGGAGGGTGCGACGGGAGATGCTCGAAATGGCCTAGCTGAGACTGGGGAGTGATCACTGACGGGAAAGACCGACAGAGTTTATAGGGGATGTTTCGCTAACGAAAGTGAGATCAGTGCACGCAGGATGCTTGTCCAATGTCCATATTCCGCGCCACTGCGGGAGGTGACAGCAGTAGGCGTACACTGCAGCGGGCTTTTCGCGGCTAATAGCTCTAGCCACCGTGTAAGCACCGTCAGTCGTTCGTACACCAATAACGGCCGGTACCTTTCGCTACTGGCGGCGGTCTGTCCGGGTCCATCACCACAACTAGGCATACCATAGCCATTAACCACTACACAAAACACACGCACACCAGGACGCATAGCTCAGCGGCCGCGGCCACTACCCTAGCGGCCCGTCGGACCGGTGGCCGCGCCGAGCCGCGCCAAGCCGCGCCGAGCCGCGCGCCGGCCGGCCCTACAAGGCCGCTCGGCGCGGCGGCAAGGTCGGCCGGCCGGCACACGGACGGGGCCGCGCGGCGTGTCGCAATGGCGGCCGACTGAGTCAGCGTGGCCGCTCACTGCAGACGGACGGACGGACGGAGGGACGGACGGAGGGACGGTCGGACGGTCGCCGAGCCAGGCTCTGTGTTGTGAGCGCTGCCGTCTTACCGAAGGGACCGTCCTCAGGGGCTGACGGGGGGGGACAGCAGCGTTCTGCTGCTGCTGCTGCGGGGTTCTGAGCCGTCTGAATTCGCGGAGACACGTCACCGACGGCTGCTGGCGACACTTTCCTCCTGCACGTGCCGCTGATAGTTTTGCCGGGTGATTTTTGTCGCCGGCCGGCTGATGACACCGGCTCGTTGTGGCCTGACGGCCCGGGTGTGAGTCACGGTCGACGGACCGGGGCTCACCGGCAAACGCTGCTCTTTGTACTTGGCGGGTCCCGAGCGAGACTGAGTGCTACTTGTAATTCAGTCCGCCCGTGACGGGAATGAAGTCCACCCTCGTGATGGGAGAGCAAACATACTGGTCGTAAGAGGAAAACATTATCTGTATCGGAAACGTTTGAATATGACACAAATATTGTTTTCATGATAAATTCACTTTGATGGAAGGATAATTGTTCTGTAGGCTCTGGCGCGTCAGTTGAATGGGACTGTTGGAATGAGAATGGGAATTGTTGCGTGTTGCATGGGACTTTGTTCTATATCTGTTATTAGTAAGATCGTACTGACCTGACATGACCTGTTCCGCTCGGCAGCGATCCGCGAGGACCGGACGCGCGGCGGCCGCTCCACCTACCAGTGTTCGTACACGGTGCCGCCGTCGCTGGTGGCGCCCTCTGCAGGTGGCGCCACCAGCGGCGGCCCGGCGGACCCGCTCCAGGCGGCGCCACACGTCAAGGCCGAGCCGAGCGAGGGCGGCGCGCCGCCGGACGGCCGGCCGGCTACCCCGCCCCTGCTGAAGGTGAGCCGACCGGTCCGGTCACTGCAGAGGGAACCGGGGCTTAGAACGTGGGACGGGACAGGGACTGGGGTCACTGAAGGAGTCGGGCCTCTTGCTCTGGTTATTATGCTCGTGTGTCATTGACTGGTCGTATGGACCTGAGGCCGGTAGTGACTGGTAGTATGTTAAGTCCTGGTTTAAAGAACCAGTATAACGCCTTTTGTGGCGATTAACGGAGCGAGCGAGAGGGTGGGCCTTGCACGTGCGAAATTGCGAGGGGGTACCTCCAACTGACTTGTGCACGGCACCTTACTAACCGGTCTCTAGCGATGTGCCAAATTTGAGCACAATCGGCCCAGCCGTTCTCGAGATCTGGAAGCGGCACCCTGCACGTGCGCACGTGCAAAATGGGTCCCAACTGACTTGTGCACGGCACCCTACTAACTGCTCCGTAACCGTGTACCAAATTTGAGCGCAATCGGTCCAGCCGTTCTCGAGATCTGGAAACGACCCCTGCACGTGCGCACGTGCAGCAGCACCCCAACTCTGGCACATGGATATGCATTGCCTAGTGGGTGCCTACCTACATGCCAACTCTCAGCGCAATCGGCCCAGTAGTTACCGAGATATTGCAACAATTACAAAAGTGACACCTCTTCGTTTTGCACGTGGCACGTGCATAAGGGGTCACCCACATGCATCGGGAATAGTGCAATACTTGGTAAAAGGAATGAAGCTACCCTACAAAAATTACCGCATGTAAATCGGTCAAGTGGTTGCTGAGATATAAGCCTCGCAAAAGCGTGACCACGGCCGGCCGGCCGGCCGGCCGGCCGGCCGCTCATACTCAGAAATTTCCGTTAATCTAAGGAAAGACTACGCTCGCTTCGCTCGCTCCGTAACAAATACGTGAAGCTATGTTCTGCTGCGTTTATCGCGAAAGCTCCCTCCCCTGTGCCCCCGACGTGACCTTGGCCGCGAGGCGCGAATGCTCGCTCGCCCTTCACCCCTGACACATCGCTCGGCGGTCCGGCAGCAAATAATGTCAGTGGAGCACCTGTGGCAGCCGTCGCCAGCGGACAGTGTGCCCTCGCCGGCCTCCCAGCAGCCGTCCGGTCTGGCAGCGGCGGCGGCGGCCGCGGCCGCCGGCGCCGGCGACTACAGCAGCCTCTGCCACATCGCCGACCACCGGCTCTACAAGATCGTCAAGTGGTGCAAGAGCCTGCCGCTCTTCAAGGAGATACACGTGAGACGCGGCGTTGGGACAGAGAGGGGAGGGTGCGAGGGTGGTGGACATGATTTGTCAATTGTCGGGGATGATATAGAGGAAAATTATGTGATGTTTTGTTTATGGTAGGGTTAAGTTGCATTTTTGTAAGTTGTAATCAAACATTTTTAGTGTGGCGTCATCAAGTTTTTGTTTTAATTGGTATGTCCTGGTGCATTTTTCTAATGGAGCTGCCCGTTAGAGCGGACTACCATATAAGCCATTCTGTACGGTCCGTACAGCCTGCAGACGTCTACCTCCAACCCGGGTCCTCCTCGCACTCCGGCCGTTTCACTGGGCTCCTGTTTTTCCGACCGCCGTCGCCCGTCCGTCCCTCCGCCATGTGCACTGACTCTGACCGTCTGTCCGTTTCTCTGCCGTTTGCGCTGCCTCTGACCGTTTATCCTCTCTGCCCTCCGCAGTTGGACGACCAGACGGCTCTGTTGATCAACACGTGGTGTCAGCTGCTGCTGCTCAACTGCTGCTACCGCTCCCTGGACACGCCCGGCCACATACGGGTGTCGCGGGGCCGCTCCGTCAGCGTCCAGGAGGCCAACGCCATCGGTACGACACACTAACACACTGACACTGACACACTGACACGTCCGGCCACATACGGGTGTCGCGGGGCCGCTCCGTCAGCGTCCAGGAGGCCAACGCCATCGGTACGGCACACTGACACACTGACACTGACACTGACACTGACACACTGACACTGACACACTGACACTGACACACTGACATTGACACACTGACACCGACACTGACACTGACACACTGACACGTCCGGCCACATACGGGTGTCGCGGGGCCGCTCCGTCAGCGTCCAGGAGGCCAACGCCATCGGTACGACACACTAACACACTGACACTGACACTGACACACTGACACGTCCGGCCACATACGGGTGTCGCGGGGCCGCTCCGTCAGCGTCCAGGAGGCCAACGCCATCGGTACGACACATTGACACACTGACACTGACCGCTGTGTAGTATTGTTATCTGGCCTATGTTCTGACCTGTAACCTGACCAGACCTGACCTCCAGGCGTGGACCGTTGCGTGGTAATACTGTCTGTCCTCTGACCTGTGACCTGACCTGTGACCCGCAGGCGTGGGCCGGTGCGTGGAGCGTATGGTGGCGCTGACGGACCAGTTCCGGCGCTGTGTGCAGTGTGGTATTGTCTGACCTTTGACCTGACCTGTGACCTGTGACCCGCAGGCGTGGGCCGGTGCGTGGAGCGTATGGTGGCGCTGACGGACCAGTTTCGGTGCTGTGTGGTATTGTCTGACCTGTGACCTGACCTCTGACCCCCAGGCGTGGGCCGGTGCGTGGAGCGTATGGTGGCGCTGACGGACCAGTTCCGGCGGCTCCAGGTCGACTACTACGAGTACATCGCGCTCAAAGTGATCGTGCTGCTGTCTTCCAATGGCGGTCAGTGATACCCCTCTCAGACCGGGACTCCCTGTGACACTGCTCAATGCTCAGTGGCCGGAGCTCGTGCTAGGGTCAATTACAGCTGTTTGGTGACTTCAGGGAGCGTCACTTGCTTGCCACTTGGTGGGGAGCACATGAGAGATGTGTAAATATGGCAGTCACTGAGAATGGCAGGTACCGAAGTGCGTCTTATAAGCTACTTGCCAGGTCCTAGTTGATTGATTAGTTGCGCCCTGAGCAGCCAGACTCCGGCAGATGACTCGCTGGTGCATGATTTTCGTGTGGTCAACCAGTTAATCATTCGCTGTCCTCAGGATTTTGCCACTCGTATGTCTGTCCCTCCGGCCTTCCATCTAAAGTCTCCTCTCTTACGTCTGTTCCCTCTCTTCCTGACCTCCCCATTCCCGGCGCAGACCCATCAGTGCTGACTGGTCCCTTCCGCTCTGCTGTCTCTGACTCCCTGACTCCCCCCTTCCCGCCGCAAACCCGTCGGTGATGGCCGAGCCGCACAAGATGCCTGTGCTGGCTCTCTCCTCTTTGACTCTCCCTTCCCTCTGACTCCCCCTCTCCCACCACAGACCCGTCAGTGTTAGCTAAGCCGCCCTTCCCTCTCTGACTCTCCCACTTCCCTCTCCCTCTCTACAGACTCGTCGGTGCTGACCGAGCCGCACAAGATGTCAGTGCTGGCTGACTCTCCCCCCTCCCCCCGTTTACAGACCCATCGGTGCTGACTGAGCCGCACAAGGTGTCGGTACTGACTCTCCCCCCCCTCTCCTCCATAGACCCGTCGGTGCTGACCGAGCCGCACAAGGTGTCTGTGCTGATACCTCCCCCCCTAGACCCGTCGGTGCTGATACCTCCCCTCCCCAGACCCGTCGGTGATGATACCTCCCCCCTCCCTCCCCCCAGACCCGTCGGTGCTGAGCGAGCCGCACAAGATGTCGGTACTGACTCCCCCCCCCCCCGTTTACAGACCCGTCGGTGCTGACTGAGCCGCACAAGATGTCGGTACTGACTCCCCCCCCCCCCCGTTTACAGACCCGTCGGTGCTGACTGAGCCGCACAAGGTGTCGGCGTGCCGGGAGCAGGTACTGCAGGCGCTGCAGCAGTACACCATGTCCCACTCGCCGCAGACGCCCAGCAAGTTCGGCGAGCTGCTGCTGCGTATCCCGGACGTGGAGCGCGCCTGCCAGCTGGGCAAGGAGCTGATCGCGGCGCGCAGCTCGTCCGACGGGCCCACCTTCGACATCCTGCTGGAGCTGCTCAAAGGCGACTGACCGGCTGCCGGTGAGTGCAGCGGCGGGGACAGGGCAGGGTAGGGTAGACGGCCGGGTGTTAAAGTCACGGATACCGGGAGCTGGCAGGGTATTGTGAGTCGTTGGAGGGGCTGATATTGGTAGGTAGCAGGGAGGTCGCTAGGCTTCAGGAGGATGTGATCAAAACGAGCTTTGAAGGGAAAGGACTGATTCTAGTGTTAGTGTCAAGCTTGTCTTGTACTGCGTCTTGCTCCGTTCGTATGAAGCGGTTGTCGCCTGTCGGGCTCAGTTTGGATTGGTCTGTGAGTGTGTGTCTCGCCGTCTGACGCTGCTCTCGTCTGTCCGCCAGGTCGGCCGGTCCGCCGCCGCTGCCGCGTCTCGCTGGTCGAGTCGCGGCCCACCTACATTCCACTCAGTTGAAGCGCAGCTCAGTGCCAAACGGCCGGGGCGGGAGCCGCCGGGCCGCCCTGTGATCCAGCCCACCGTGCCGGCACGCCGGCGTCCATCGCCGGACGCCGCGCCGTGCCGCCGCCGAGACGGCGCCGCCGCCGCCGCTCTGCGCGCTACTCGGCGCCGAGCAGCGGCGCAGAGGCGGCGGCGGCGGCGGCGCGCCGCCACCGACCCGACCGCCCAGTGCCAGCTCGGTGATGGCGCGCCGCGCCGGCCGCGCCGTCACTTGTTATTTATTGGGAGGGGCGCGCCCGCCAGAGCCGTCCAGCCGCCAGCAGCTACCGCGCCGCCGGCGCCAGCCTTACTCATCGGAGAGAGAGTGACACCGAGTGAGAGAGAAAGGGAGAGGAAGGGAGAGTGCAAGCATCGCCTGGCTGAACTCTTGAGGAGGCTAGACGTTTTATATTGTTTGCTACTTTGTTTGTACAAACTGGTGTTTGTTTTTATGAAGGTGTGCTAAAGAGCCAAAAGCCATTTTATTAATACATTTTTATATTATCGTACACATTGTTTTGTAATCTAGCTGTCAATTGACTGGCTAATGGACTAATGGCTAAATGGACCTGGAGCAGCGCAAAACGTTTACCAGAGCAAATCACGTGGATGCCTCTGAACTGAAGCGGTGCCCTGTCTGCTAGGAGGCGGACACCCCACGGCACTTGCTGACACGCTGCCCGACCCTGATTGGGACCCGCATGTGTCCTGTGCCTGCTGGGGTCTATTCACCCCCGACTGAGGGGCCTGCGCCCAGCGGAGCCGCATGGCTCCGTCCGGGCGAGAAGGGTTCATTACCTACAGCTTCATTGCCTAACAGCTTCTGACCGACTGCCGCTAAGTCTCATCAGCTCGGACCGTTCGCAGTGGCCCGGAGATCACATTTGACGAACATTCTCCACTAATCTGAGTAGCGTCCCCCCGTTATTTCCGTGTCCCCCGGTGCCCGCGGCCGACATAATCCCTACCGCTGGAAATCACCGTTCCCCGTTCCGGACACAACAGAATGTCAGAGTTGTAACGGCTCCGGCGACCATAGCCCTGGGCCCAGGACCGGACTAGCGCAGACACGCGCAGCCGTGTTGCCGCACTCTCCCGCTTGGAGCATAAGGAATCGGCAGTGCCCCGCGTCTGCTCCGTACGAGCGTCCCGGCCTGACCCGTCGGATGGGATGGTGGCCATTTTCACAGTGCTCGACCCGACTGACTAGCTCCTCTGATAGCCAACCAACCACCTGCTCCCATCAACCCAGCCACACCGCTCCCGTAAGATGTGTGAATGAAGTTTATTTACGACGGCAATATATATAACAATATAACAATACTTCAGATATAACAGAACAGCAGTGAATTGTAACGAGTGTGTCATTCGGATGGGCGGTTCTAGGTATTTCTAGCACAATCGTGACCGCTCGTAATCGTGATTGTAATTGTAACGATCATATCCCACCCAGACGCAAGAGACTAGCGGTCTAATTCACAATCCCCTGCATTCCATAAAAACAGCACCCACCGGCCGTGAATATATGAACATGCCGCGCCAGCTCCTGGACCACTAAAATGGGCCCTCCGGCGCCCATGTAAAATCGAACACCGACTCGAGGCACCCACCCTGATAGCGGCCTCGGACGCCCAGATTCACGTCCCCCGCGCTCCGCACAGAGGTCCCCCGGCCGCCCCAGTCGCCCCTCCCTCTGGAGCGCCTAGCCCAGTCCGGCCAGTATATCGTCCACCACATCCACGTCCTGTTCAGTGAGGAACGGGTCGTGGTCGTCCGTACCGTGACCGTGGTCGTGCTCGTGTTCCGAATGCTGCCCGTCCCCTCCCTCGTGCTCCGGCTCGTGCCCATGTTCGTGTCCGTTGTCCTGTCCTTGCTGCTGATCGTCTTCTGATGCGTCCTGTTCCGGCTCCTGTCCGTGTTCATGTTCCGGCTCCTCTCCCTGCTCCAGCTCCTGATCCTGATCCTGATCCTGCTCCTGATCCTGCGTCCCGTCGGCGCCGTCCGTCTCCTGCGGCGGCTCGGCGGCGGCTGGTGCCGCCGGCAGCGGACCGGGCACGGGCAGCGCACCCGGCGCCGCCGTGGCCGGGATCTCGGTGACCGCCGGCGGCGCGACCGGCCCGCCGTCCACCTCCTCGCCGGCCAGCGCGGCCAGGAAGCAGCCCAGGCTGTGCGGCAGCGCGCGGCCCATCTGTTCCACGATGCCGGCCGGGCCGGCGGTGCCCTGGCGGCGCGCGCGCGGCGCCTTGGTCAGCCGCAGCCGGGACAGCTCGGCCAGCGGCGCCATCAGCTGGCGCAGCTCGCCGGCGGCGAAGCGCAGCTCGGCGGCGGCCAGCTGCCGGCAGACGCGCTCCAGCTCGGCCCGCTGCAGCCGGTCCAGCGCCGACACAGCCTCGAGCACGGTGGCGCGCAGCCGCGGCCGACTCACCGACAGCACGCGCACGTTGCGCTCGCGCAGCAGCTGCACCAGAGAGGCCGGCCGCACGAACGCGCCGAATATCGTCTGCCAGACGCGCCACGTGTTGGCCACCAGGTCGGCGGCGCGCAGTGTCACAGAGCCGCTGTCAGAGGCCCGCTGCTGCAGAGCAGACGGAGCGGGAGAAAATGGTCGTTAGAACATGCAGGTGGACGGAGTGAAGGCATCGAAACTGCACGGGCGATGTGGATGAACTGGTACCACATCAGTGATTACTCAGACTTCAAAGTTATGCCATGTACGAAGTTACACTACGTAAATAAGTTTGTCGACATAAGCATCATAAGGCATCAGAACTTCATAAGTACATATTATCGTCAAATTGGTCACCTACCCTGACGGGCGGCCGCGGCGGCAGCTCCTCCGGCGCGGTGTCTGTCGACTTGGCCTCCAGAATCTCCTCCAGGTGATATCCCGGCACGTGTTCCACGAAGCAGGCGGTGAGCGCCACCACGGCCTCGGTCAGGTTGTGGTCGTTCCGCGCCTCGGCGAGCGGCGCTCCGCCGGCGCCTGCCGCCAGCAGGGCGCCCAGCCGCTCCAGCGGCGCCATGTGCTGCTCCAGGACCAGCAGCGGGAACTGGTAGCGGCCGGCCGAGCCGCGCACGGCGCCCATCAGCCAGCGCATCTGGTCACTGACCGAGGCCGGGCCGGTGGCCGCCGCCCGGCCAACCGACAGCGACGAGAACACCGGGTCCGACTTGAACAGGCTGAAGAACGTCAGCCCCATGTCGAACAGGTCCTTCATCAGGACCTCCAGGTCTCCGAGCACGGCCGGGTCGCTGTTGGCTTCCTCCAGTAGCTGGCACTGAGCCAGCTCGGCCGGCGGCGGCGGCGGCGGCGGCGCGGTGGGCGGCGACGGCGTGCCCCAGGCGTCGGCCGTCCGCCCGCCGGCCAGCGCCGCCGAGAAGCAGCCCAGGCTGTGCAGCAGCGCGTAGCCCATGTGCCGGATGACGGCCGACGGTCCGGCGGCGATCGCCTGCCGGCCGGCGGCGCCCGTGGTGAGCAACAGGTCCGTGATATCGGCCAGGTAGTCCATCAGGTGGCGCAGCTCCCCGACGGCCGGCTGCAGCCGCGGGTCGGCGGCCGCCAGCGCGGCGCACAGCCGCCGCAGCTCCGTCAGCTCGGCCGGCCGCAGCGCGCCCACGGCCGACAGCAGAGCGGCGCGCAGCTCAGAGTCGCGCAGCGAGAGCACCCGCACGTTGGTCGACTGGTGCAGCTGGACGTCCGTGGTCGGACGGACGAAGCTGTTGAACATGGCGATCCAGTTGGTCCAGATGCGCACCATGATGCCAGACAAGCGAGTCGCTACAGACTGCTCCTCGGCCGGTACGTTCCTCGCCTGCAACCGACACACACACACGGGTCACGGGAGGTTTAGAGAGGTCTAATGGAAGAGAGTCAATATAATTGATAAATTGGTCACAAGCCATTACTTACCCAGGACTCGCGTTAGGGCAACGCTTCCGACAAAGTTAGATGAAAGATGCAATGTATGCATAACTACTCGGCACTTGGAACAGGAACATTCATCCGCTTCACCAGAGATTATCACAAGACACTAACAGTAAAACCAGACGCCTTCCGCCGTGAGTCTCACCTCGATATCGACGGTCTCCATCCGGCTCACCACGGAGAGCGCCGCCCGGGCCCCGGCCGCCTGCTCCAGCTCAAAGCCGGGCACGTGCTCCACAAAGCAGGCCGTCATCAGCGACACGGCCGCGGTGAGGTTGTGGTCCTGTGCGGCGGGCGCCGCGGCCGGCCGGTCGGCGCCGGCCGCCAGCAGCGTCCGCAGCCGGTCCAGCAGCGAGATGTAGTCCTCGGCGGCGGCCAGCGGCGGCCGGAAGCGGCCCGCGCTGCCGGCCACCACGCGCACCAGCCGCTCCGTCTGCAGGCTGGCCGCGGAGGCGGCCGCGTCCACGCGAGGTACGGCCGCCGCCCGGCGCGCGCCTGGCTCTAGGCTGAACGCGCCCGTGAACTTGAGCCCGATCTTATAGAGCATCTCGGCGAATACAGGCATGTTGTCGAGGATGGCCTCGGCCGAGTCCTCCAGAGACGGGCAGGTGGCCGGCGCCGGGGCGGTCGGCGCGCTGAGCTCCCGACTGGCAGACGGCGCCCAGGAGCCGGCCAGCGCGCTCAGCAGGCAGTCCAGGCCGGCGAGCAGCGCGTCCCCCACGTGACGCACCACGGCCGCCGGCCCGGTCTGCACGGCGCCGCCGCCGCCCGGCCCGGAGGTCAGCATCAGGTCACTCATGTCTGCGAGCAGCGCCATCAGGTGGCGCAGCTCGGAGACGGCGTGCCGCAGCTCGCCGCTGTCTGCAGCCAGCGCGGCCAGCAGTCGGCGCAGCTCGGCCCGCCGGGCGCGGCTCAGCCCGGCCACGGCGCGGCGCAGCTCGGCGCGCAGCTCCACCGGCCGCAGCGACACCACGCGCAGGTTCTGCTCCGAGCGCAGCTGCACACTGGACGCCCGACCAACGAACGCGTTCAGGAGGAACCGGTACAGCTCCCAGACGCGCTCCAGGGCAGTGGAGAGGCGCAGCGTCACCGAGCTGCCGCCGTCCGACCGCTCCTGTCGGCAGCGGGGTGGGGTGGGTCTCACAAACGGCGGATGGTGAACAGTTGTATATAAGGACACAGATAGCATTTCTGTTCTACACCACAGAATACTTGCCTAAGTAATAAGTCGGCAGAAAGAATAAGCTGATCACGGCAAGTTTAGATTTACACGACTACAGTGCCATCAGCTGTAGAGGCTGTCGCTATCCCCAGACGGTAAGCGCCTCACTGACCTGAAGCCGCGCCGTGTGCCGTCGGATCTGGGCGAACGCCGTCCCACCGTCCAGGTTTTTCTCCACACTGAAGCCGGGCACGCCGTCGATGAAGCAGGAGGTGAGCGCCGTCACCGCCATGGTCAGGTTGTACTCGGGGCCGGCCGGCGCGCGGCGCCGCTCGGCCCCGCTGCGCAGAAGCCGCCGCAGTCGGTCCAGCGCGCCGGCGCGGCCCTCCAGCGCCGACAGCGCGAACTGGAAGCGCACCTGGCTGCCGGCCACGGCGCGCACCAGCCGCGCCATCTGCCGGTCACCGCTGGAGCGCGGCCGCAGCCGGAGCGACTCGGGCAGCGCCGAGCGCGCTGCCGGCCCGCCCGGCCGCACCGCCTGGAACAGCTCCAGACCGATCCGGAACAGAGAGTCAGCCAGCACCCGCGCATCGCGGGTCAGCGCCTGGCGCGCGACCGCCTCCTCGAACGGCGGGCACTGCGGCCGGTCGGAGGTCTGCTGCGACCTCGCCGCCGCCGTGGATGGGGCTGGAGCCGCTGTGGAGGCAGCTGGAGATTCCGTGGAGGCGGCTGGAGCCACCGTGGAGGCAGGTGGGGTCACAGCGGGGGTCGACTGTGGAACACCGGCGGATGAGGTGATCGGTGCACCCTCAGAGACCTCTGTAGAGTTGGCTGTGGATGTGTGCGCCGGGCCCCCGGGAGAGTCTTCTGTAGTGGGAGTTGAACCGTCCTCCGTACTAGGGGTAGTGGTGTTGGCTGTCGATACACCCGCGGTGACGTCCGTTGGACTGGTCGGTGCTCCGTCCGCATCTCCAGTTTCCGCACTCTGGGGATCTTCAGCTGCAGCTTCATCCTCGCCAAATTCACCTCCCTTCTCGAACTCATCCGTTTCGCCAGGGTAGTCCTCATTATCGTTATCGTCATCATCTGCCTGAGTGGGCCGGTTGTCCCGCGATCCCATGGCGGTCAGGATGTTGGCCACGTACTTGAGCTCGAGGTCGAAGGTGCGCTGGATGGCGCGCCGCTGCTGCTGCAGCTGCTCGTCCAGCCGCTGGCGCTGCTCGCTGTAGAGCGCCCCCAGCGCGCTCCGGTGCCGGTCCATTATGTTCTCCACCAGGCGCATGGCGTTCAGCCGATCGGCCGGCACGGCGGCGGGCGCCAGGGCCGCGGCCGCCGGCCGGTCGTCAGTCAGCTCGCCCATCCGGTCCATGACGAGACTGCTGGCGTGCCCTCCGACCACCCGGCGGGCCGACCCGTCAGCAGCGCGGCCAGACACCCCAGCCGAGGGCAGCCGCATCACCAGCGCGGCCGCCCGCTCTCCCTCCTCGTTCTCCGGCCCGTCCTCTCCTCCCGCGGACTCCTCCGACGGCAGGTCCTCCGCTGCCGCCGGCGGCGACCCCATCATCCCCTGCGCCCAGCCCGACAGGCCCGGCCGCGGCGGCACCGCCCAGGCCGGAGAGCCGTGCGCCGGCGGCGGACCCCGCCCGCAGGCGGCCTTGCCGAGTCCGTAGGCGGCGGCCAGCAGTCCGGCCAGCCGGATGTGGTCCTCTGTCAGCTGGTACGGCTGCAGCGTCCACTGCGGCAGCGCGCCGGCCAGGCCCGCCAGGTGCTGCAGCGCCTGGCTGATGTTATGTGTCTGGTGGTCGGCGCTGGGCAGTAGCGGCGCGCGGCCCGGCGGCCGACGGCGCGGCGGCGCCTCCTCGCGCGGGGCCATGTCACCGCGGAGCGGGCCGCGGCCGGGCCCGTCCGAGCCACCCCCCTCCTCCCCGGCGAACATGGCCAGCACCATGGGCGGCCGCTGGCGGTCCGGGTCCGACGGCGGCGCGTCCCGGCACTCCCCAGAGACGGTCTGAGTGACGGTGACGGTTGTGGAGGACGGCCTGGTGGGCGTCGGCTGCACCCGCGGACCGGCAGCGAACGGCGTCGTGCCGGCGGGCCGCTCAGTCGTAGGTAGCGCCCTGGTACCGGCCGTGCTAGAGACTGTCGCAGCAGTGTCAGTCGTCGCAGCAGCTTCAGTCGTCGCAGCAGCTTCAGTCGTCGCAGCAGCTTCAGTCGTCGCAGCAGCTTCAGTCGTCGCAGCAGCTTCAGTCGTCGCAGCAGCTTCAGTCGTCGCAGCAGCTTCAGTCGTCGCAGCAGCTTCAGACGTCGTTACAGAACCTTGCGTCGTGACAGAAGCTTCCGTCGTGACAGAAGCTTCCGTCGCCGCAGCAGCGTCCGTAGTCGCCGCAGCAGCGTCCGTAGTCGCCGCAGCAGCGCCCGTAGTCGCCGCAGCAGCGTCCGTAGCCCTCGTCACAATCCCAGTGGTCGTCGTCGCAACGCCGGTGGTCGTCGCAGCGTCAGTAGTAGCAGGGCTGTCCGTCCTAGGGCTGGCTGTCTTAGTGTCAGCCGCCTTAGTACCGGCGAAAGTAGTGTCAGCGGAAGAAGTGTCGCTGGAAGAAGTGTCGGTGGAAGAAGTGTCGGTGGAAGAAGTGCCAGCGGAAGTAGTGCCAGCGGAAGTAGTGCCAGCGGAAGTAGTACCAGTGGTCGTTGGGCTGGCCGTCGTAGTACCGGCAGTCGTAGTACCAGCCGTCATAGTAACAGCTGTCGTAATAACAGCTGTAGTAGCGTCAACCGCCGTAACGCTGACCGTCGTAGTGTCAGTGGCGGTAGTATCGCTCCTTGGTACTGCTGTAGTTGAGTCGCGCAGTGTAGCATCGGCTGGGGCGGTGGCGGCGGCCCCTGTTGACCCAGTAGGAGTTGTAGCGCCTCTCGTGGTCGTTTCGCCGCTGTCTGTAGTAGCAGCGCTGGCCGTCGACAGGAGCGAGTCGGACTCGGGCCGGCGCGGGCTCTCCGGAACGAGCGTCCTCTCCCGCGGGGCGCCGGTGGTGCTCGCTGCGAAACTCTCAGTTCCTGCCGTCACAGAGACGTCTGTGGAGCCGGCTGCTACACTCTTAGTCCCTGCTGTCACAGCAGCGGTGCTCGACGACACCGCTGCCGCCTCTGGCGTCACGGTGGGAGATTCTGTCTCGGTCGCAGCTTCCGTAGCAGCAGTCTCCGCTTCAGTAATTGCAGTCGCCGCTTCAGTTTCCGTAGTCGCCGCTCCCGTAGCTGCAGTCGCCGCTTCCGTGCTAGTCTTCGCAGCCTGCGTGCTCGTAATCGCCGCTTCCGTAGTTGTAGCCGCAGTCACAGCCTCCACGCTCGTAGTCTCAGGTTTCGTAGTCGTAGTCGTCGCTCCCGTGCTCGTGGTAGCCGCTCCCTTGGTCGTAGACACATCTTTCGTGGTCGTAGTCGCAGCTATCGCAGTCGTAGTCGCAATTTCCGTGGTCATAGTCGCAGCTCCCGAAGTCGCAGTTGCCGCTTCCGTACTCGCCCTCGCAGCCTGCGTGCTCGTAGCCACAGCTGCCGCGGTTATAGTCGACGCTTTCGTGCTCTTAGTTGCAACTTTCGTGGTCTTAGTCGCAGCCTCCGTACTTGCGGCCGTTTCTGTAATCGTTTCACCTCCCGTAGTCTCGGTTGCGGCTCCCGTCGTCGTGGTTGTTTGTTCTGTCACGATGGCAGCTTCTGTCGTGGTTGAAGCCTCGGAAGTCGGGGTGGCAGCCTCCACGGTAGAGGTCCCGGCGCTCGTCACGGATGTAACCGATTCAGTGGTTCCGGCTGCCGCAGTCGTCTCTGGCTGCGCTCCAGGCAGTAGGGCTGCTGTCCCGGGGCTGGCAATGGTGGTCCCCGGACTGGCCGCAGAGGTCCCCGGACTCCCAGCAGCGGTCTCGTGTCCCCTGGCGTCCGGCGGCGGCATTGCCGCGGGCGTGGCCGCCATCCTGGGCCCCTCGTCGAACGGCGCGTCTGTGGTGGCGGTACCGGCTCCGTCCGCCTCACACCGGCAGCCGGACTCGATGTCCATCAGGTCAAAGACGAGCCGCCGGCCGTCGACCCGCAGTAGCATCTGGGGCGCGTACACCTGCCGCCGGCGACACGGGCGTAAGAGGGTAGCAGAGGAGTAACTCTGCGGCGCTTACATCTGCCGCGGGGGTACACGGGCGTCAGAGGTAGCAGAGGAGTAACTCTGGGGCGCTTACACCTGTCGCGGCGGTACACGGGCGTCAGAGGGTGGCAGACAAGTAACTCTGGGGCGCTTACACCTGGCGCGGGGGTACACGGGCGTCAGAGGGTAGCAGAGGAGTAACTCTGGGGCGCTTACACCTGGCGCGGGGGTACACGGGCGTCAGAGGGTAGCAGAGGAGTAACTCTGGGGCGCTTACACCTGCCGCGGGGTACACGGGCGTCAGAGGGTAGCAGAGGAGTAACTCTGGGGCGCGTACACCTGCCGCCGGAGACACGGGCGTCAGAGGGAAGCAGGTGGGGTGAAAATGGCGGCGCGTACACCTGCCGCCGGAGACAGGGACGTCAGAGGGTAGCAGGCGGGTGATGGGGACGGTAAGGAGTAACTCTGGGGCGCGTACACCTGCCACAGGCGAACCGGGCGTCAGAGGGGGTGGCGGGGTGATGGGGTTGGTTGGGTGTGCATCTGGGGCGCGTACACCTGCCACAGGCGAACCGGGCGTCACGACACGGCAGAGGGGCAGATGGGGTGATGGGGTCGGTGTGGCGAGAGGGAGAGGTCGGTAGGGGACAACGGGATAGCGGCGACACCGGAGTTGACGGCGAAAGGCGGCGACCGTTCTTATTGCTCCAGAGTAATTCCGAAATTATGATGCTCCCAAAGGCAGCGGTAATTAATTCGTGAAAGATGCACGCCAGAGCAATAAAGCAGACGTTTATCGCGCAATCAACGCTTATTGCAGAACGGCCATATGTTTTCATGTAGTTATGAGATCGCCCCCATGGTGGCGCTGGTAGAAAATGTTCTTACAACATTCAGTCTGGCACAGTGGCACATTACACTAGAAGGGTCAGAAAGCAGCGCTATCGAGCGCACCTTTTGTTTGTTTGTTTTGTTGGGTTAGGCCCTTTCGGTCCAATTAGACCATTTCAGAGCCGGGAGGATGATATGATATAGGGGGAGACATTGGTCTGGGCAGGCACCCTAGTGAGTCGCCGGGGCTGAGCCCGGCCAGAGGACAGGCCACCCAGCCCCAAGGCACTCACTGCACCCGGCTACGGGGTGCGCTCCCTCGGGAGCAGCGGTGCCGCTCCAAGGGAGCAGCCCGCATGAGATAAAGTTGCCTGTCCAGCCCGGAAGGGGGTTGCGGCGTGGAGGAGAAGGATTTCAGTATCCTGAGGATAGAAGCACGGAACGGTCATCGAGCGCACCGACCGAATGTCCACTACCTCAGCTGCCGGTCTCACCTGCGTGCACGTGGCGTTTGTATGCGGACACCGGTCAGAGTCGCAGGAGGCCATCAGGACCGGCTGCACGCGGGTGGGCGGCGCCTGCGCCACCGCAACGCGACGGCCTGGCGACAACAGACAGCACGGGTCATCAGCAGGAACCGCGGAATGAGGAAGCCCGATACACGCCAATCATCGGCGATATGATGTACTAGAGAATGCGTAACTGGTCAGAAAATAAATGTCCAAATAAGAACAAAATATGCAACATACATAATACACGTCATTAATTGCTTTTAATCAAAAGAAGTTAAGTTCGTGGAAGCGGATATGCATTGATCTCGAAGCAAATGCCGGGAATATTTAAACATTGCGGGTCAAAATGAGTTGATATAGCCAGGCCTCAAAGTATGCGTAAAATTCATATGGCGATCGTTATAACAATTCAGTCATATGATCGCCTATGGTCGAGAATTCTCCTGGCTCCGCCGTGCGCTGGTCCAAGCTTGGTGCCAGTTACGCCGGCTGACACCCAGTACACCACTCAACCGTGCGCTGGTCCAAGCCTGGTGCTAGATACGCCGGCTGATATTCACTACACCACTCAGCCGGGCGCTAGTCCAAGCTTGGTGCCAGTTACGCCGGCCGACATCCACCACACCACTCAGCCGCGCGCTGGTCCAAGCTTGGTGCCAGTCACGCGCAGACAGGAGAGATTCAAAATTAAGAGAGGCCAACTGGTCTTCACCTCTTCAAAGTTGTTAAATGGCCATGCAGTCTTGTCCTTCAGACAATAATTATTTAGGCCCATGCACCACTCGGCATTGCAGGGTGAACGCGACACCCGGCGTGAGAGGGGGTGTGGGGATTGCCTCCAAACCCGCACGATAAAGAACCCATGGTGTAGTTCGTGAAGAGTAGGCCATGTGCCGGCACCATGACAAAATTAATCCCAAATCGAATTTATTGTCTTGATGGAGGACAAAGTGGTATCTTAACAACCCTTTAAAGTAACTATGACGTAAAACTAATTCTAACAGTAGGTAAAGTAAGTCCCAGGATCCCACTCACCTCCCAAGAAAGCCACAACGCGTTACCGAGCACTTTAAAGGTCAAAATTTTAGAACTCACACACTTAATTAAAGTAAATGAGCACTTGCAATATCAAAATTCTAGCAATTCAATATTTTTCTAGCAAACAGATTCTTTACAGGCGGCCGAATGTCCAATGGACAGGGACGCCTTAAAACCTCATTTTCACTCACTCACTAAAACGCCCATAAATATGTGTCGCGCTGCATCTAATATCGTCCTCAGGTCACGGTAAATAAGAATACAAACATGCTCCTGCCATCAACGTCGTCCGACGTCCATGCCTACGAATGTTCAATATGCCGGCACGAGTCGCAGCATACTGATTTCGTTTTTTCCAATCATGACGAGAAAGGATCGTTCTCTGCGCTATGATAAAGTTCAAATACATATTTTTTTATTTGTTATGACCTCTTCCCATGAATACATGGCACAATGAAAGCTGGAGGGAGCGTCCCGTTTCCAATCAAGCGCGCCGTGCGGCAGCGGTCTGGAGCCGCGGTCTGGTGCCCCGAGCAGCCCCGGTACCGACCTGTACCGCTGGCGATGGCAGAGAGAGGCAGCATCACGTGAATACGCGGCTGGCAGCAGGGCGGCGACCCGTCCCGCGCGGGCTGCTGCTCCCCCTGACCCGCTGACCTGCGGGCACGGACAGGCGGCGGTAGCTCAGTCGCGTGTCCGGTGGCTCGTCGGTTTAATAACAGCAACGGCTAGAAACTGGGACGAAATTATCCTGCAAGGCATACAAAGAGATTTTGCCCGACTATCAGAGAGGCAAACATTAGAGAACGAAGATCACAGACGCGGGAAACAGGGTGACAGCTAATGATCCTATCCTAAATACGCCGTAGGTATTGCAAAAATGTACGAAATTCCAATGGAAGCACCTAAAGACACCATTAAAACGACACAGCTATTCAGTGTAACTGAACAAAGTAGTCCCACCCATCTCCCATCACACACAGCCCGGTGGTGACAGTCGTCCCCGCTCCCAGACCTTTTCCTCCTGGCCAGGTGGTGGACGTGGCTCCTCATCCTCTGCACGGTGCGCAGCGACACGAACTGGCGCCACCTGGCGAGCAGCGCCGGCGGCGCGTGGCGGTACTCCTCGCCGGCCACCGAGCAGCTCGTCTGGTTGTCGGCGTGCCCGCGGGCAGAGCCGCCGCCGGCGCACGGCTCGCCGGACGCCCACACGGCGCTGATCAGCAGGCTGACAGACTGAGGGGAGGGTGGGAATTAGAACTCCACACACACACGGCGCTGATCAGCAGACAGACCGCCTGTGGACGGGGCGGGACTTAGCAGGTAGTACGATCCGAAGACGAACCGTCCAAACGGCCCAGAACAGTAGACAGAAGGACTACAGACGGAGATGGAGCCGGCACTGCACGGGGACAAGCCTTCCACACGGTCCGGCTTGGGAAGCAGACGGACTGTGGACAGCCGCAGGGTGGGACTCGGCACGGTACCGCACGGCACGGCACGGACCCCTCCCCATACACACATGGATCGGCAGGCAGACATCACACATGAGCTACGGAACGGATGGGGATCAGTAAAGCACAATCGGCTTGGCACATGAGTTCTGACAGAATGTATGAAGACAGAAGTGTACAGAGACAAGTGCAGAGCAGAGATGGGGCCGAAAATGCTACTAGTCGCATGCCATAATCAGAGTTACGCAATCGTGGGTCCTCTTACACCTAAAAACCAAAGAGGGACCAGAGGTAAAAGTCAGCGAGCAATAAGCACAGATTTTACTGACTAGTTAACAACAATTAACCAGATACGAGTGACCAGATACCGCTGACCAGATACGAGTGACCCCTTGCAACCCACTGCGCCTCACTCACCAGCCATATGACCGCAGGGCTGGCCATTCCGTCCTCACTCGACTCAGCTGAAGGGCCCGGCAGCCGCACCTCACACGCCCCGCCGCAGCCGCCGACTGCCGGCCGGCCGCGGCCTGATCCCGTGACCTGGCTCCGGTCAGACAGTGCCCCCGGGCGCAGTCAGCTGACCTGCCGGACCCAGACGAGACTCGCGCAGGGAGGGGAGGGGCGGGAGACGGCGGGAGACATACCCCGCGTTCGGAGTCTCTCGGACGACGAAGATTCTACGTCGTCCGAGAGACTCCCGGCCCGTCAGACAGTTAAACCCGAATATTACCAATAACAACCGGTGAAATCAGAAAGTTCACAATGAACGTGGTCAGATCATTAGCATGAAAAGACACTAACCATGCTTTAGCATTGTAAGTTTACAACTTCGCAACTTTTCTGGAACGCTCCAAAACCGTAACATCACACCCGGCCGATGGTGTCGGATATTCGACATTCATTCGTCAGCAGTGTTCAAACGTCTCGATTTTCACGAGATACGATCATTTTGCATAGATATTCTCCAGAAACGGCTCGATATCTGAGCCATTCGCATTGAATGGACTGGCATTCCTTTTCGACCATGCCGTAGGTATCTCGAATGTGTTCACATATTTCGTCGGATCGTCACGTATTTCACTTAGCCCAAACGCCCATGTGACTCGGGTGTGCGAGTGGACCAGGGCATTTCAGTAAAAAGCAAACGCAATAATACAAACATCTCAGAGGGATGCTTTTCAATGTGGAAAGCCATCAGCTGAAGAGAGCCATTCGAGAGTTCAGAAACTGGTGAGGTCTTTTGAATGGTTGGGTAACTTAACGTGAAATCGAAACATTCAACTGGGTGCGAGTCGTGTTGACAGAAAAAAATGATCCTCCAGTCAGACCAAACCCGTCAATGACAAGATGACCAGTGACCACACAGTACCAGCATATTCCACTTATATCTCAGAGTTATTCCCAGCCCGTTACCACCAAACACTGGTTTAGTCCCTTCAGTGATGGTTTGCCAGTGTATTCATAATCATTCCAGTAACTAACAAAACAACTGCAGCAACTCGAACCAACAATCTAACACCATTTGGCCCAGCGGTCCGTGCTGCCGTCCGGCGGCGCTCTCAGAGGCGACCCCGGCCCCGCCGCCCGCGCCCCGCCGCCCTAAAGCTCTGCGCGGCGGCCGTCCGGCTCTCGACCAGGGCTATGTATGCACCGGCCCGCCCCGGCGCTCCGCTGCCGCCGCCACCCTAAAGGACACGCACGCACACACGGGCGGTCGGCCGGCGCCCGGCGCCGCTCGCGGCACTGGAAGGCGCCGCCGCCGCCACACGGAATGCAAGATTATCACAAACATAACGCTACTCGGGCAGGGGTTGAGGAAGGCGACCCGCTCCGGGCACTGCGCGCACCCGGCCGCCCCTACCGGCACGCGGCGCCGGCCGCCCGACTAGTACAAATACCCGCCCCGAGCGCGGGCAGTCCTCAGCGCGCGCGAGTCACACCATGTAAACTGACCCCGGGCGCGCCGCGTACGCCGCCGTCCAGCGCGCCATTATTGCCGCCGGCCGCACTCGGTCTGATATCACGCGCGTCCCGACCGCCGCCGGCGCGCTCACAGTTGGTACCACTTTTTGTCCTTGTAGCGCATCATGAGCTGGTGCGCCGTGCTGGAGAAGTTGTCGGCGTCGGCCATGAGCTGTTCAGTGCGGTCCTCCAGCTTGGAGAGCTTCTGGCCGCGCTCGATCATGGCCTGTCGCGCGCGTCCCACGTCGCCGCCGGTGGAGGAGACGCGCGCCTGCAGCTGCTCGGCCTGCGCCGTCGGGCCTGTCAGCAGCTTGGCCACACTGCGCGACGCCTTGCCAGACGTCTCGCCGACTGACGGAGAGGAGGGGGAAGGGGCGTCAGAGAGATACAGGGAGGGGCGTCAAACCGACTGAGGGAAAGGGAGGGAGGGAGCGTCAGACTGGTGAAGAATGCCAAAGTGATCATGGGGAGGACGTCAGAGAGCTATTGGCGACGTTCGACTAAAGGGAGCGGGCATCACACTGATCCGGCCGGCCGGTTCACGTGACACTGTGACCAAACCGTCTCGAGTAACCCGACTGGGTACATACACAGCTCCTCCCCGCCCAATGAGCGCGAAGGGCTGTCCCCCCTGTGGCCCCGTCTCGGTACTCACAGAGCTCCTCCCGGTCCAGTGATCGCACGCCGCCGCCAAACAGCCCTTTGAGGAAGCCCTGCTGCGGCAGCTCCGGCATGTCACAGGCCAGGAACAGCTCTCCCACCATGTCCTGTAGCTGGGTGCTGGCGGAACACACAGACATACAGACACACACCGTCAGACAGACACACACACAGGCCAGGAACAGCTCTCCCACCATGTCCTGCAGCTGGGTGCTGCTGGCACACACAGACACACAGACACACACAGTCAGACAGACACACAGTCAGTCAGACAGACACACACACACAGGCCAGGAACAGCTCTCCCACCATGTCCTGGGGCATTCCACGATAGATCGACCAAAGCCGTACACCCTCATATTTTATTTTTTGCTTAAAATTGGTCGAATGGGTTGTTATGGGCGGGGAAGCCAGCTGTGCCAAGGATTTTTTTCTTCGAACAACGGTTTCCGAGATATAGCCTCGGGCAGTTCCTGGAGGTCACGCTGCAACCCTATGTTTGGCGGCTTATAACTCAGAAACTATTGGTTTTCTATGCTAAAAACTTGATATGGTTCAACTCGCAATCAACCAACAAACGTTTTGGCTATCTCGGATTTTCGAATTTTGAAAATTTTGATCACGTGACATCTTGATCTTTTTTTCGAAGAGTGACCTTGATATTTTCCCAACTGAAAGTCGCAATTTTGTCTGATGACGATTAAAACCTTATCAATTGTCATTCATATGCGACAATATAAAAAGTGGCTTTCGGCCTGCATTGACCTGAGATCAGGTCATTTTTATGACCTGTCCATTATTACGAACGGGAGCGACAGCGCGATCTCGAGACTAAAGCAAGAAAGCGACAAGTGGTAAACGGCACAGGGTACACATGGATAAGGTCTACAATTTTTGCTGAGGTCATTTTCAGGTTAGGTCAAAGATGACGTCACGGGGGTAAAAAGGAAGTCAAAATAGTTTTGGCTGTACCTTTTAATCTAATAAAGAAAGAGACGTAGAATAGGCACCAATCCGTTTGCTTTCGCCTGGCGCCAGTTCGTTTTGAATTTCGATACCGATGACCTGAGGTCAGGTCAATTTCTTGACCACCCCATTATAAGTCAATTGGGGAAAAATCAGCTCCCCTATTTTTACACTAAAACGCGTCGGAATTGCCTAATATACCATGAGTGACTCCATATGCGACTAACTTTGACTACCTTGAGACCTTTTTTGCTCTTGGTCAACTGTGACGTTGCTCTTGGGTCATGTGACGTCATTAACCCTCGCCCGCACATGCCATTTTCCCATCCTAGAACGCACATGGGGGGGGGGTGGTTGCCACCCCCCCCGCGCCATTTCGTTCCTGTTGGAGATAGAGCTTAGCGGTAAAGACCAAAAAGATTCTTTGGGAAGAGACGAATCCAATGATACCCAGTTTTACCTTCTCAGGTCAGTCATTGACCTTCCAGGTCAGGTCAAACTAAAAAATGTTGCTGTTTTGGGTCACCGCTGGATATCAAGTGCGCTGCTTATCAAATACCGATGACGATGTTGTTTTCTGGTGCCAAGCCAGCTAGAACCTCTCTGTCACACTACCCGACCAGAATTTTGCTGCTGAGGTCATTTCAGGTCAAGTTAGGTCAAGGTCAATTATATGTGTTTGTATGTCTGTGTGTGTCTGTGTGTATACTGATGTGTGCACCGATTGTTTTTGGGTCCATATTACATGAAATCATGATCTGAGAAGCTTTTACCAAAAATGCAATCAAAAAACTTCACAAAAAGTAAATTCAGCTTGCCTAAAACGCAATTATCTTAGATGACCCAGGTTGACCTTGACCCTGACCATGACCCCTGTACATCGTCGAACAACATGTTCCATGATAGGTGGGAGGTAAGACTGGCAAAAAAGGCCGAAATCAGGGTGTCAAAAGCTCACAAAGCCCATTGCAAACGCAAGATGTTGAGAATTGGCCATTTGGGTCATGACATGACCTGAAAAACAAGGTCATATCTCCGAAACCAAAAATCACAGAAACTTGAAATTTTCAGCGAACTTCAAGAAAGGATAGACGAGCAGTTATACGAAAAATCGGCTTTCTAGCTCTAAAAATGTTGAGTGCAGAGCAGAAAGACTACCTGGGGGGGGGGGGGGGGTGGCAACCCCCCCATGTGCGGGCGAGGGTTAAAGGTCACCAAATGTTTTTTGCTGATAACTCCTTACAGGTTTGAGATACAGCCGCGCGGATAGGCTCATTGTGTTCAGCTCGCCAAGGCCCATCGAATGATGTATATGACGACCTTAAGGTCACGTGACCTAAGGTCAACTTTTGACCTTGACCTTTCGAGGTCAACATACACATGTTTCGATGCGGATCGACGAGAGGATCACGATGGTGCTATTAGTTTGTTCCTAGCTGGGATACTTCGAAAGTTATTCGAGAAAAACTTCATATATATGTAGTGCCGCCATTTAGACTTTCTTTTTACCCCTGTGACGTCATCATTGACCTGACCTGAAAATGACCTGAGTAAAAATTGTAGACCTTATCCATGTGTACCCTGTGCCGTTTACCGCTTGTCGCTATCTTGCTTTGTTCTCGAGATCTCGCTGTCGCTCCCGCTCGTAATGATGGGAAGGTCATAAAAATGACCTGACCTGAGGTCAACGCAGGCCGAAAGCCACTTTTTTATTATCGCATATGAATGACAATTGATAAGGCTTTAATCGTCATCAGACAAAATTGCGACTTTCAGTTGGGAAACTATCAAGGTCACTCTTCGAAAAAAAGGTCAAGATGTCACGTGATCAAAATTTTCAAAATTTGAAAATCTGAGATAGCCAAAACGTTTGTTGGTTGATTGCGAGTTGAACCATATCAAGTTTTTACCATAGAAAACCAATAGTTTCTTAGTTATAAGCCGCCAAACATAGGGTTGCAGCGTGACCTCCAGGAACTGCCCGAGGCTATATCTCGGAAACCCGAAGAAAAAAATCCTTGCCACAGCTGGGTTCCCCGCCCATCACAACCCCTTAGACCAATTTTAAGCAAAAAATAAAATATGCGGGTGTAAATTTTAAGTTTTTTTGGTCGATCTATCGTGGAATGCCCCTCATGCTGCCGTGAAAAGGAAAAGAAGCGTAACTCGCTTTTGACGATTTTTCAGGAGAGCGATTTTTCTGTTTTACCTTGTATTATCGTCGGTTCTTAAATAATCAAAGAAAACTTGGTGTCAAACTGTTCGCAATACTGCACTGAACCTAACAGTGTTAATATCTTTTACGTGGCATATAAGATATTGCTAGAAAATGGTGTAAGGTGTTTTTGCTTTTCACTCGATGCTCAAATTGCAGCGAGGCATGTAGGGAAGAAAAGCGTAACTACATTCACTCCAGTCCGGCAACCGTATGTGCAGCGCGCGGCTCCATAGTGAAATGCAAAAGAAGCGTAACTACGTAGTTACGCTTCTTTTGCTTGCGAGATCTTATGGTATCGGCGAATATGCGGTGTTTCAAATAAGCCAGGACGAAAACGTCTTTTCTCCATTTCGGATGCCAAGATGCCTTTCAAAATAGCTCACGACTTTTCATGCTAAGACTTCATGCTTCATGCTTAGCAATCGCGGCCGTCAGGTCCCCACTCGCCACCTTCGGTGCTGGCAGGTCAGACAGGCTGGACGGCCGTGGGGTCGCCTATACCGGTGCTAGCAGGTCGGGCGGCCTTGGGGTCACCCGTCGGTGCTGGCAGGTCAGGAGGCCTTGGGGTCTCGCCCCTGTCGGTGCTGGCAGGTCGGGCAAGCCGGGCGGCCGTATGGTCAGCTCTGCCGGTGCTGGCGGGTCGGGCGGCCTTGGGGTCGCCCCTGTCGGTGCTGGCAGGTCGGGCGGCCGTGGGGCCGTTGGGTCGCCTATGCCGGTGCTGGCAGGTCGGGCGGCCTTGGGGTCGCCCCTGTCGGTGCTGCCAGGTCGGGCGGCCTTGGGGTCGCCCCTGTCGGTGCTGGCAGGTCAGGAGGCCTTGGGGTCTCGCCCCTATTGGTGCTGGCAGATCGGGCAAGCCGGGCGGCCGTGGAGTCACCTCTGCCGGTGCTGCAAGGCCAAGTGGCCCTGTGGCCAAGTGGTCGCCTCCTTCGGTGCTGGCAGGTCGGGCGGCCGTGGGGTCGCCTCCGCCGGTGCTGCAAGGCCAAGTGGCCGTGGGGTCGCCTCCTTCGGTGCTGGCAGGTCAGGCTTCCTTGGGGTTGCCCCTGTCGGTGCTGGGAGGTCGGGCAGGCCGGGCGGCCACGTTGTCGGCTGTCGCCCATGTTGGTGCTGGGAGGTCGGGAAGCCTGGCGGCCTTTGGGTCGCCTCTTCTGGTGCTGGCAGGTCGGGCAAGCCGGGCGGCCGTGGGGTCACCTCTGCCGATGCTGGCGGGTCAGGCGGCCGTGGGGTCGTCTTTGCCGGTGCTGGCAGGCCGGGAGGGCGTGGGCCCGTTGGTTCGCCTATGCCGGTGCTGGCAGGTCGGGCGGCCTTGGGGTCGCCTCATTTCGTGCTGGCAGGCCGGGTGGCCACGTTTTCGCCTCTGTCAGTTCTGACAGTCCGAGCGGCCGCGGGGTTTCATCTGTCTGCTGGCAGGCCGGGCGGCCGTGGGGCCGTTGGGTCGCCTAAGCCGGTGCTGGCAGGCCGGGTAGCCTTGGGGTCGCCCCTGTTGGTGCTGGGAGGTCGGGCAAGCCTACCGGCCTTTGGGTCGCCTCTTCTGGTGCTGACAGGTCGGGCAAGCCGGGCGGTCGTGGGGGTCACCTCTGCCGGTGCTGGCGGGTCGGGTGGCCGTGGGGTCGCTTTGTTTCGTGCTGGCAGGCCGGGCGGCCATGTTTTCGTCCCTGTCAGTTCTGACAGTCCGCGCAGTCGCGGGGCTTCATCTGTCTGTGCTGGCAGGTCGAACAGGCCGGACGGCCTTGGGGTAGCCTCTGCCGTTGCTGGCAGGCCGGGCGGCCACGTTGTCGCCTCTGCCGTTGCTGGCAGGCCGGGCAGGCCTGGCGGCCTTGGGGTAGCCTCTGCCGTTGCTGGCAGGCCGGGCAGCCGTGGGGTCGCCTCTGCCGGTGCTGGCAGGTCGGGCGGCCACGTTGTCGCCTCTGCCGTTGCTGGCAGGCCGGGCAGGCCTGGCGGCCTTGGGGTAGCCTCTGCCGTTGCTGGCAGGCCGGGCAGGCCGGGCAGCCATGGGGTCGCCTCTGCCGGTGCTGGCAGGTCGGGCAATTCGGGCGGCCGTGGGGTCACCTCTGCCGGTGCTGCAAGGCCAAGTGGCCGTGGGGTCGCCTCCTTCGGTGCTGGCAGGTCAGGCTTCCTTGGGGTTGCCCCTGTCGGTGCTGGGAGGTCGGGCAGGCCGGGCGGCCACGTTGTCGGCTGTCGCCCATGTTGTTGCTGGGAGGTCGAGCAAGCCTAGCGGCCTTTGGGTCGCCTCTTCTGGTGCTGGCAGGTCGGGCATGCCGGGCGGCCGTGGGGTCACCTCTGCCGATGCTGGCGGGTCAGGTGGCCGTGGGGTCGTCTTTGCCGGTGCTGGCAGGCCGGGAGGGCGTGGGCCCGTTGGTTCGCCTATGCCGGTGCTGGCAGGTCGGGCGGCCTTGGGGTCGCCTCATTTCGTGCTGGCAGGCCGGGTGGCCACGTTTTCCCCTCTGTCAGTTCTGACAGTCCGAGCGGCCGCGGGGTTTCATCTGTCTGTGCTGGCGTCTGGCAGGCCGGGCGGCCGTGGTGCCGTTGGGTCGCCTATGCCGGTGCTGGCAGGTCGGGCGGCCTTGGGGTCGCCCCTGTCGGTGCTGGCAGGTCGGGCGGCCGGGCCTTGGGGTCTCGCCCCTGTCGGTGCTGGCAGGTCGGGCGGCCGTGGGGTCGCCTCTGCCGGTGCTGGCAGGTCGGGCAAGCCGGGCGGCCGTGGGGTCACCTCTGTCGGTGCTGGCGGGTCGGGCAAGCCGGGCGGCCGTGGGGTCACCTCTGCCGGTGCTGCAAGGCCAAGTGGCCGTGGGGTCGCCTCCTTCGATGCTGGCAGGTCGGATGGCCTTGGGGTCGTCCCTGTCAGTTCTGGCAGTCCTCGTGGCCGCGGAATTTCATCTGTCGGTGCTGGCAGGCCGGACAGGCCGTGCGGCCGTGGGGTCGCCTCCTTCGGTGCTGGCAGGTCAGGCTTCCTTGGGGTCGCCCCTGTCGGTGCTGGGAGGTCGGGCAGGCCGGGCGGCCACGTTGTCGGCTGTCGCCCCCGTTGGTGCTGGGAGGTCGGGAAGCCGTCGGGTCGCCTCCACCGGTGCTGGCAGGCCGGGCAGGCCGGGCGGCCACGTTGTCGCCTCTGCCGTTGCTGGCAGGCCGGGCAGCCGTGGGGTCGCCTCTGCCGGTGCTGGCAGGTCGGTCAAGCCGGGCGGCCGTGGGGTCACCTCTGTCGGTGCTGGCGGGTCGGGCAAGCCGGGCGGCCGTGGGGTCACCTCTGCCGGTGCTGCAAGGCCAAGTGGCCGTGGGGTCGCCTCCTTCGGTGCTGGCAGGTCGGGTGGCCTTGGGGTCGCCCCTGTCAGTTCTGGCAGTCCTCGTGGCCGCGGAATTTCATCTGTCGGTGCTGGCAGGCCGGACAGGCCGTGCGGCCGTGGGGTCGCCTCCTTCGGTGCTGGCAGGTCAGGCTTCCTTGGGGTCGCCCCTGTCGGTGCTGGGAGGTCGGGCAGGCCGGGCGGCCACGTTGTCGGCTGTCGCCCCCGTTGGTGCTGGGAGGTCGGGAAGCCGTCGGGTCGCCTCCACCGGTGCTGGCAGGCCGGGCAGGCCGGGCGGCCACGTTGTCGCCTCTGCCCTTGCTGGCAGGCCGGGCAGGCCGGGCAGCCGTGGGGTCGCCCCTGTCGGGGCTGGCAGGTCGGGCAAGCCGGGCGGCCATATGGTCAGCTCTGCCGGTGCTGGCTGGCCGGGCGGCCATGTGGGGTTGGGTCGCCTCTCTTAATGCTGGGATGTCGAAATGCAGGTGGGAAGATCCCACCCCTGATCGTCCTATTTCACCATAACTCGCTCGACTCTACTCCTGATTTCACATTTTCCTTTAGCTGCACGTGGACCTTTGTTCCGTTCCGTATTTTTTTTTTTTATCGTTTCAGTTCTAAACCTCTTCAGAGACCAATTCTGCTCCTAAACCGCAATTTGCACACGCTTCTGATAGAGTTCACAGCGAGCATGCACCACAATAAATTAAGTAAACTATTTGATATCGCTCGTGTGGCCTTGGTCCAGGGTATGGCATGGCACCCCATACCTATTACCTATACCTACTATTTCAAGTTGGTGGTTTTGAACTTTGGTTGCTTTTATCTTACAGTTTTCCTCCATTCAAACGCCCGGATACCTACTAGAAAATATTGGTGAAACATAGAAAGGCGGCAAACGCGAACAAGAAGGGCTCAATATATTTTAATACAAATTTTCCTGGCAAAATTAAACTTCTACCAAGTGTTATGCACTCACCTGAAAGACAAAAAAGCGCAAGTGCGTAAAAGTCAGCGCGGTGATAAGCAAGAAAAGCGCAACTACTTAGTTGCGCTTTTCTTGCCTATCACATCGTCCTGACCGCTGTAGATACGCTTTTTTAATAGCTGCGTTTGTAGTTACGCTTCTTTTGCTTGCGGTCAGGGAGGATGACAAACATTTACGCTTTTCTCGAAAAAGAAAATTTGATATAACTCGAAAAATTATACGAATTTCGAAAAAACGGTTTTGCAGAAAGATGGAGATTGCTATTCTCTATCTAATGGTATCAAAATCTCAAAATCGAAAAAATGCGAGTTACGCTTTTCTTCGTTGTCACGGCAGCATGTAGCTGGGTGCTGCCGGCACACACAGACATACACACAGTAACACACAGACACACAGACGATCACACAAAGATACACTCCCGGGGTTCAGACCCTAGAATGGCTCAGAGAGTAGCGGCTAGACGGTGGCTCACCAACACACAGAAGCAGAGCTGGTACAGTGAACAATCAGAATATTCGGTGTCGGTATGAACAAAAATCATAATATCATCTACTATGCTTTTCAGACCCCATGAGACCCTAATTTTCGGCGATAATTTATTTACTATTTGTCCAATTTGCTTCAAATTTTCACAATGCGCATTTCAGCTCAAGCGCCAATTTTCGCCAATATGGTCTCTTAACAAAATATCAAATTTTATGGTACTTGTCGTTGCCTCGTAATGTTAAAATCGGCTCCGTAAATCCGTCAGTGGAGTAGAGGCTATCCGTGCGTAGGTGTGACGTCACAAGCACGTGACCATTAAGCTCCACCCTCCCTGCGGACGGGGTAGTGACCTTGGCCGGTCAGTCGGCTGCGTGGAGCGGGCGGGGCAGTAGCTGTCGCACCGGGGCGGCTCGCATGGACCGTAGCTGCCGTGCAGTTGTCGTTGCAGCCGTAATTTCATCGAATGAGCTAAATAGCGCGCATAAGTAACGCACCAGCTGAAGCCCTCGACTAATTTTATCTATCACAAATGTACGTACAGTGTACACCTTGATCAGTCACAAAAAAATATATATTTCCACACAAGATTCGGGGCTTGTGAAAAAAACGCGCATAAAAGACGCTGTTGACTTCAAATGATTGCGTAAGATTATGTATCGCGTCAGACTACGTCAAAATTGCAAAACAGAATCACCATTAACATGATGCAATTTATGTGTTTGATATGTGAAATTTGATTAGGAATGTATGCCGGCGTGATCGATTTATATCATCCCGGTGCAACTAAGCATTGAACACCTTCAGAACTAATCCATTTGATCATCGACTTAGGTTGAGGAGGTCGCCAGACTAACTTTGCCCCCAGAGCTTGTGTGTTGAAATGCAAACATGAAAAGTAAAAGCCTAGAGATAGTTTCCTCACCATTGCAGAGGACATACCTACTGTTACTTAAGTTTTACAAAAAAGATACGAGTTTATTGATTATCGTTCTCGTGTAGTGCCCAACGTCCGCCTGCCACATTGCTATTTCTTTTTGTGCACGTCTTAGCAACATAACACACACATGACACCGCGATAAAGGCCATTTCTACCATACGACACATTACGCTTCTGCCCCACCCGGCGCCCCGCACCGCTTCACGAATCACGAATACGGTCGTTTCGCTGGAGCGATGCCCCAGGCAATCGGCCGTGCCCGAGACTCTTCATCCTACTTTGTTGCTTTCTGCGCCTTCCTCAGAAACATTTATTGGCACTGCCAAATATATCAATATTTTTGGGTTAAGCACAGGCTTACACATGATCTTATAGGTAATCGGGTAGTGACCTGACCCAACCTGACGATGAGATAGGTGCAACTCCGGCTTAAATAAATGTTCAGAGTGCAAGAGTCCATCTATCTTTCCTTCTACGGCCGGTTCCGTTCCAATAGATCCTACCTTGATTTTGATCATTCTGAATATTCTGAGCTGGTTCGACGTTTAAATACCAAAATAAGGTGAAAAGGATACCAAATGCCCTCAAACGGATATTTTTTGGCTTTCGTCCCGAAGCAACTTTGCCAGCTTCACTTGTCTCCAGTATGTGGTCCCGCTCCGACCTCTCCGCGGTGCTGACACCGACTGAAGCGGCCAAGGCCATATAAGCGGAAGCGGCATAGACCCATCGCGGTCACGGCCAGTGGGCGGAGTTTAGTTGGGCCCGGCGCAACGTGATTGGCCAGTGCTCCTATCCAATCCGGTGCGGTAGCGAGCGAGCCTCTATCCGGGGGCAAAAACTGATTAACATTACGAGCCAACGACAAGTGCTCTAAATTTTGATATTTTGTTAAAAGACCATATTGACAAAAATTGGCGCTTGAGCTGAAATATCGTCTGCCAAAATTTCAAGCTAATTGGACAAAAATTGAAGAAATTATCGCCGAAAAGCAGGGTCTCATGGGGTCTGAAATGCATAGTAGTTCCGCATTAAGGCGTTAGGTAATTAACTGGCACACTAAGCCGCACCCTTTGCTTAGTCTGTAGCACCCGGCTGTAGACAAGGGACGGACGACAAAAGGGGCGTTGTCCGGCCACCCGAACCGCGACTCAGTCGTCAGTGTAACCCTCAGAACCACAAGGACTCGACTGGACAGAGCCCAGAGACATCCGAGCAGCTGCTCTGACTCAGCAGAGTCGCGACTCACCAGAACTCTGATGAGATGGTGAACTTTTGAATCTCGGACGGCGAGCACAGGTAGAGGCCGTGGCCGTGGTTGCTGATACAAAACGTGCGCGCCATCCTGGTGGGCACACAGCGTCACACGGCGTTACAGAGCGTCACACGTACGACAAAAGCGTCACCTACCGTCACACGGTGTAACAGAGCATAATACAAGCGTTATACGAGCCGCATTCTCGGTCACACGGTGTCACGTAGCCGCACGTGTCAGACAGACGATGCACAGCGCAGCGGAGAGTCATACGCACAGGCCTAGCTGGGTGCTACAATCGAGACACAGCCCGACTATTCAACAGCGGAGGAAACGGGGTCTTGAAGTGAGCAATCAACAGATTGATAGCTCGGGCGACTCGGTGTTCTTTCCTCCTTACTCTTCAGAAAAATCGACATTAATGCTTACTACTGTTAACTGTCTTGATGACACGGTTTGTCAATTTGTCACAACTGTTTTTTGGAACTAAATACAATCGAACTAAGAGAGATTCTAAAGAAGAATTTCAAAGCTTCAAATATATAAATCAAAACGACTCCGAACATGATATCTACGAGTAGGAGCAGTTTCCGGCACCATTCGATAGTGTTTTCGATAATTAATTGGCTTGTTCTAGCGAGCCAGCGGCACCAAAACTTCAACCATCGCTAACTCACACCTATCATCTCCGACGAGTGGACTGTATCTACAGGGACCTTAGCTGCCTGACCCGCCTTACCTGAGCTCCGGGGGCCGGACATACTCACTGGGACACTACTGAACTAAGTCGCAGCAGTAAAACATACGAGCCAACCGGAACATCCACAATTACCGACGCGCACGGCGCAACACAGCGGTCATGGAGTGGAGTCATTGGGGTCACGAGTCAGGTGGTAGACAGCACACAGCACAGGCGCGACATGAGGATTCGGAACTGTTTGGAAATATCCGGAAAGGATAGCAAAAGATGGTCGAAACACAGGACGTAGTCACCTTCCTTAACCCGCGCCCCAGTGGCGGTCTCAGCCAACTTCGCCCTAGGGGGGGGGGGGGGCATATGTTACCACCCACCTCTAACTCAAAAACTAAGAGGGCTAGAAAGACGCGGTAAAAAGCAGTCGATAGCTCTTAATGCGTACGTTTGAAAGTATTTCAGTCATTTTTCATCTTGGAGCAATATTGGGGTCACTGGAGGTCATCAAAGGTCAAAATTTGCCAAATGTCATTATATTTTTCAGAAAACATGCTTTTATCTCGGGAACTATGATAGCTAGAAAAACGCATGGAAAAGCAATCGATAGCTTTTGAACTCTTCTTTCGATAATGTCATCATCAAAATTGACCTCAGGTCAACGGTTTAGCCTCCAGAGGGCAAAAACTCCAAAAATAGCTGTTTTTTCGCAAAGTGTTTTTCGACAATAACTTTTGACTAGAAAAAGCCACGACATTTCTATTGCCAGAATCGTGTTCCTCTGGACGAGCCGCGTCGAATGAACTATAATTTGACCTTGAAAGGTCAACTTGAAAATTTGACCTCAGGTCAAGGTCATGACCTGATCAGAAAAGGTCATGTTGCATATCATTCGATGCGTCTCAACAAGACAAACACAATGAAGCCATCCCCAGCGTTCTATCTCTTTCCAATCGCGAGTTATTGACAAAAATCTGTTTGTAGCCCCAAATGACCTCGGATGACCTTTGTAGAGGCTATCAGCAAAAATGACACCTTGGTCATCACGGGTGGTCCAAATCATTGTGATTCTGAAATATTTGGACTGTTCCTATGCGTACACATGGATCTAGAGGCATTTTCATTTTTCTCCATTGACTTATAATGGTAAGGTCACGCCACTGACCTGACCTTAGGTCACGGATATAAAAAATCCGAGATATACAAATTGTAGGCGCCCATAACATAATGCAATCCACCAAGTTTAAAACCTTTCTGACAAACACTGCAGGCTGGACATGATTGCAAACTTTTTTTTAGGCCTGGTCAGTTAACTTGACCTGGTGACCTGACCTGACATGACCTGGGGTCAAAAATTTCACACATTGTCCAAAATTGATGTACGAAAAGCTATGCCAAGCGGCGCGGCACTACGCGCCGCGGTTTTTTATTTATACGCAAAAAACGCGACAGGGTGGTAACATATGCCCCCCCCCCCACACTGGGGCGAAGGTTAATGCTACAATGTTCGAACAAAACATAGACAGTAAAGACATCAGTTGAGCATGTTTGTGATAATGTAGCAATGTATATGTCATAGGGAAGACATAAAAAGTACAGAAACTACAGCCCACATCAATGTTGAACAAACACAATAGCAGATGTAAAAAGTGGTCCGTGCCATTTACACGTCACCGACAACATAAAATGCATCGATAAAGACCAAAATACAAAATAGAGGAGAAGCATTTCACGAGACAAAAGCAGCACGGTGTTCTATATTAAATCAGATAACTAGCACTGAATTTGAATAAGGTTGTCCACAAAGGGATAAAGACGACAGTCATGCGAAACGCGAGTGAGAGAAGACAAAATAATAGAAGATGAAGAGTAATCACCAATAAACTCAGCAACAACATTCAAAAGTGCACGATAACAGGAATATATATTATGCCAAGCTGAATCATGATGCCAAGGCATCATGATTGTGTGATGTATATATATGATATGTTTGTGTAAGTGTCAACCTTCATGGCATTGTAAGAGCTCTGTCAAAACACAAAGTGATGGAAAATAGGTGCTCACGAGTCTCCAAGAACACTGTTTCAGGCTTCAGCTTAGTTCCTAAACACCAGCGCAAAAATGCTTCTTTTATGCCTTTACCTTAATTAAATATATGCCTCACAGATCGAAGAGCAAAATTGCAGCAAGTAGATCTTGTTCGAAGTTTCACAGTGCTTACTTTGAATTCACTTGAGATTCCTGTTATACCTACCATTTTGTGGAGTTGGCAGATTTGACGCTGCAAGACTTCCTACCAGCTCAGGCGATAAGAAACAAACAATAAGTAGCCTATATAGTCTGCACCACACACTGTACACGGGAGGCGCGCCGTGCGGTCATTCAGCGGGCACGGCTCGGTCCGACCGGTACGCCGGCTGACCAGCCGTCAGTCTGGCAGCAGCTCGACGGGCACACGCACAAACACGCACACAAACGCAGCTCTATGTGCAGCGGCACAGCTCTGAGACGCGGCCAGCGGGCCAGCGCCAGCCGGCGACAGCGAGCCGAGCGACGGCCGGCCGGCCGAGCCATGCGAGTCGGCCGGCCGGCCACAGCCAGCCAGGGACAGGTGCGCAGCCCGACTAACTTACTGCGTCGCGTCTTCGTTAACAAACATTTGTTGGCCCCATATGGCCAGCATGGGGTCGGCTATGGCCGATTTGGTCGTCTGAAAACTGGGGGCATACGGGGCGGGTCGGTGTGAGGGCGGGTGCGGCCGGCCGTCCGCGGTCGGCAGACAGACACGGACACACACGAATACACAGACAGTGTGGAGTGTCGGGGCGCCGCGCGGTCGCCCGCCAGCAACAACAGCTCGTGTGGTGTCGTGTAGTGAGAGCCCTCCGATATGTCATGCTCATGCCTGTCTCCGGTGCCGGCGGGGCGGGGGCGGGGGTCGCGGCGGGGCGGGGCGGGGCGGGGGCGGCTCACCTGAGGTCGCTCAGCGGCAGGAATTCCACCTCCATCAGTGGCCTCAGGCTGGGCAGGCTGTACGAGTTGAGCCGGCCGTTGGCCAGGTAACAAACCAGGCACACGCTGTCTGCGGAAACATTAGCGCGGCCGGTCAGCTCCCCTGTCATACACTGAACCCCCAGGTAACACGCCAGGCACACGCTGTCTGCGGAAACATTAGCGCGGCCGGTCAGCTCCCCTGAACCGCCAGGTAACACACCAGACACAAGCTGTCTGCGGACAGGCCGGTCAGCTCCTGTGATAAACTGACCGACCCCCCCCCCCCCCCCCCGGCGACACCCGGCGACAAACCCCACAGTTTATTATCAACGCACCCATGACAGCTCAGACATAATTCAGCATTCCGCCACCGCACCAATGCGTCAGCGCATTCAACCATTGAATAATATATTGTCGCCCACCTTAGAGGGACACGATTTTGCCGTCCACCCTTTAGGAAGACGAGGGAGCTGCTCGTACCTTTTAGTGAGATGATTTCGGCGCGCACCACGAACGAGGTCTCTGTGATCTGCAGTTTGCAGAGGCAGCTGTGTGACGGTGTGGCCAGGACGCGCGCCTGTTTATCCGAGACGAGCACCAACAGCTGGCCGTCGCCGCCGCCCGCCTCGCTCAGCGAGCCACACGAGCTCACCGTTGGTCGAGACGGGGTCCCTGACGGCGGAGGGGGGGGGAGGGTCAGCAGAGTCAGACCAAGCCGCAAGAGCTCACCGTTGGTCGAGACGGGGTCCCTAGAGGCGGGGGAGAGGGTCAGTTGAGTCCGACTGTGCCGCACAAGCTCACCTTCGGCCGAGACGGGGTCCCTGACGACGGGGAGGGAGGAAGGGGTTAGCAGAGAACGGGCCACAGGGAAAAGCCACCTCTGAATACGGGGCACCGAGCCGACGGACGAAGAAAAGACTGTCAGCGAAGACAGTAACACAGCCGGGGTAAGGCAAAAAAAAAAGGTTTGGGAGTGTACACAAGAAGATTCGGTTATCGAGGTACACGCCTAGTTGGGTTATCGAGGTGGGTAATGCCCCTGTATCCTTCCCTGTCTCCTAACGAACACTGTACACTGTATTATGTTCACAGCGGATATGTTAATCCCTGCTTCCGTCCCGTTCCGTCCCGTCCCGTCCCGTCCCGTCCCGTCCCATCCCACCCCTTCCCTCTACTCACGGGTCCGCTCTTTGTTTCCGTCTCGCCAGGTCTCGGCGGCGGCCGGTATCCGCGCCCCGTCCCGTTTACCCTCGTCTACTCACGTGTTCGTTCTTTGTTTCCATCTCGCCAGGTCTCGGCGGCGGCCGGTATCCGCGCCCCTGTTCCGTCCCGTTTACCCTCGTGTACTCACGTGTTCGTTCCTTGTTCCCGTCTCGCCAGGTCTCGGCGGCCGCCGGTATCCGCGCCCCGCTGCAGTCGAGCAGCGCGATACACTGCATGGCGCCGTTCAGACGGAAAATCGACCCTGTCGGCGGACAGACAGGACGGTCAGTCACAGTCAGATTAACAGTCGACGGACAGACTGCTCACTGGCACCGTCAGTGAGACCGACGGCAGCTGGACGGGGCGGTCACAGCGTCAGTTCCTCTCACACCGACAGGTATCATCCTGATTCTGAGCAATAGAGACACGGCGCGATCATTGGGAATGACGCTACATCCAACTGAAGTGATTGCAGGCAGCAGGATTGCTGGCTCATTTTAAATAAGCACTTCCCGCGCACCATTTCCAGGCTCAAGTGTTTTGTGCAAACATTTCTGTGGTAGTCTCTGGTCTGTGGTCGGAGGGTGACCCCTGGATACTGACCTGTGGAGGCCACACTGACGGCCTAGGTGGCGCGGTCGACGGTGACCTGGTACTGGTCAGAGTATATAGACAACTGGCACTGGTACTGACCCGTGACCGGCGTTGACCCCTGGTACTGACCTGTGACTGGTGGTCCGGTGTGCCTCCCGATACTGACCTGTGGGCGCCACGCTGACGGCCTGTGTGGCGCGGTCGGCGCTGTTACTGACCTGGTGACCGGCGCTGACCTGGCACTGACCTGTGACCCCTGTTACTGACCTGTGGGCGCTACGCTGACGGCCTGGGTGGTCCGGTCGGCGCTGCGCGGCAGGGCCACCTGCACGATCAGTGTGCTGCCCAGCGAAGTGCCCACCAGCAGACACGGACATGTGGAAGATTCTGCCGCAGACACACACACACAGACAGGGTCAGACACACGGCAGGCCCGCAGACACGGCGCTAGATCAGAGCACCGGGCACAGACAGCAGCTGCAGCTGATTCACTCGGATATCGCACAGTCAGCCGTGGCCGCTCAGCCGCCGGTACATACAGCTGCCCAAACTGGGCGCGGAGGGGATGGGCGCGTCCGCGAGCATCCAGAATTTGCTGCCGCATCTATTCGATTTGTTTCCGAACGAGCCGGATTTGCTGTCGAACTTAGCGTACCGGATCGGTTATAGCTGCACAATTGCACATATCAGATTTGTAATAGCCGCACGTAACGGATTTGTTCCTGCACGTACCGGCTGAGAGGCCGCACGTACCGGCTTTGAAGCCGCCCTTACCGGATTTGTTGACGAACGTGTCGGCGAACTGCAGGCAGACGATGGCCTCTGAGCTGATGTTCTCCAGACTGCTCAGACTGCTGCTGCGCGAGGCAGTCTGCTGGGTGTCTAGCCGCTCTGCGGGCGCCGCCAGGGTCGCAGGTCACACGCGGCTCACCGTACGGGACATATACTGATCAGACAAGTCACAGAGGTCACAGAGGGCAGCACACGGCTCCAACAGAGGCGGAAAACTAGAACACAAACCACGCATGTTGCATACGGCCTAAATAGAGCTCAGTTACAGTATCCAAGTAATGATAAGTTGCAGCCCTCAAGGCAGTTGATTATCAAGAGAATAGGGACATCTTAGAACTGCACTGGTAAAACGGAAAGTACGTTACTTTAACGATCCATCGTAATCAAAATGCCACATTTTACAAGTCATTGGTTGGTGATCCAGTTAGTATACACCCAGAACCGCAGTTGAGCCTAGCGCGACACCCATCGAGTGCATTAGTGGCGGCGCGTCTGAGCTGTCTCCGTCGGTACTGTACAGCCACCGAGCGGCGGCGGCGGGACCTGGCCGGCGACACGGAACACGCAGTGGCCGGCCGACCGGCGCTCCGGCTGTACAGCCGCCGGCCGGCGCGGCGGGCAGCTCTACACACAGTCTCGGCGCGCCCGCCCGTATGTACAGCGGCGCCGGGCCGAGCTCCGCAGGGCGCCGCGCTACATTGTCCGACTGACAGCGGGAGGGTGATCAGTGGGGAGGGCAGGCAACGACCGGTCACCGGGGACACCGACAGGGAACGACCCGACCCGACCCCGGCGCCCACAGCTACCCTACACCCACAGCTACCCTAGAGCCGCCGCCTACCAAAAAGGTCCAACGGGTACACAAAATATCTGTACACTAGTCGGAGACAGCTGAGGTCATGCTCGACAGTGACGCGCTAGCGTTAGGAGTTGACACTGAGCACCCCGGAGTTATCCATCCACCGGCGCGGCACGGACAGCACGGGTCAGGGAGTGGAGTCTCGGGCCGCCACCGAGCAGCGCTAGTCCAGAGGCTCCGCGGCGCCGGCCTCCCACACGGCGTATGTACAGGCGCGGCGGCCGGGCGCGCGACCAACACCGACGGGGCAGGGTGACGGCGGTGCAGTCCGACAGCGGCCCACTACGTCCGGGCAGGGAACACCACAGCCAGCTCGCGCTCCATCCAGTCCTGTACCGAAACTCTTGCACTGCCTGGTGCGCCAGACGCGCAGGTGGGGCCCGGCAGCGGCGGCGGCGGCGGCGGCCGTGGCCGAGAGCTGCGGCGCCAGCGGCGAGGTGGGCTCCTCCATCACACTGTGCGCCTTGACCAGACGGCGGCCGGTACCTTGTGAGCGGGAGCGCTGCACGTCGCGGCCGCGCGGCGACACGCTGCCCACGCCGCCCTGTTTGCCCGCCGTCGGCGACAGGCACAGCCCGTTGATCTGACGGCACACGGCAGGGGCAGGGCGGGTCAGTCAGTGGCACACGACAGGGGCACGGGGTCAGTCAGTGGGACATGGCAGGCGCAGGGGTCGGTCAGCGGGACACGGGAATGGACGGGTGGGACACGGAGGTGTCGGGGGTGACACACGAAAGGGATCACGGAGACGAAGTCGAGCCTCTCCTAGCCCTACTCTCCTAGCCCTACAATCCTCTTCATTTTGTTCACTTCGGACCTTCCGGCGCATCTGACCCATGGCCACCTCATCTCATACGCGGACGACACTCTCCACATAGACTGTTCCTCCCCTGACGGACCGGGTCTGGCCGAGCTCCGAGCTAGGCTGGAGCTCACCATGCGCGAGCTCCATGCCTGGTTCGGAGTAAACTCCTTGAAAATGAACAGCAGCAAAACTGACTTCATGATAGTTGGCAGCAAACATAACGTAGTAAAAACACAAAACTTCTGTTTTGTTGTAGAAAACTCTACAATTCTACCTTCTAAAGCAGTCAAAATCCTCGGCGTCACTGCAGATGCCGTTCTGTCATGGGAGGAGCACATATCTTGTATCGTCCGAAAGTGCAACAAAATTCTCTTCTCGCTATACAGGTTCAGGCATTACTTCACTAGTCAAGTTCTCAAAACCATCATTCAGGCCTATGTTTTCCCACATATCACTTACTGTCTGTGCGTCTGGGGTGGGGCGGCCAGAGGGCAGATGCACAACCTTCAAAAAGTTATCAATTTTTCGGCCAGGATTGTGGGAGGGATAAAGAAACACGAACACATTACACCGACTCTAAATTATCTTGATTGGCCGAGGATCGAGACCCTGGTGGCGCGCCGGGACGTCGCAAAGGTGTGGGGGCTGCTGCGGGCGGACGGCGCGCCCTCCAGCGTGCGGGAGCTCCTGGTGCCCCGCAGTGCTGTGTCGTCCCGGGGCACCCGCGGATCGGAGGACGGCGACCTGCACCTGCAGCGCTGCAGGCTGGCCTCAAGCCAGAAGGCCTTTACTTACCGTGCGGCGGTCGCCTGGAATGGTCTGCCGCGCGCCGCCCGCGACGCGCCGACCTACCGTGCTTTCAAACTGGCAGTAAGGGAATGCATCACCTAGTCATGTGCTCACGCTTAGCTCATCCCACTTTTCTTATCATGTTTTTATCGCAGTATATGTTTTATCGTGTGTAATGTGGCATTATGTGTATGTACAACTTGTCGATATTTTAGCGTCACTTTGCTTTTACAACATGTATGACGGGAGACTTGAATAGCCACGGTGTGGATGGTCTCAACAATACACTATACACTATACTATACTATACTATACCCTACTACCGTCCCCTTCTGTACCTACCTGTTCGGAGTCGGGTGACCAGCCCAGGTCGGCCCCAGTCCCTGCCCCCTCTGTACCTATTCGGAGTCGGGTGACCGGCCCAGGTCGGCCCTCTGTCCCTCCCGTCCCTCCCCTGACCCCTTCTGTACCTGTTCGGAGTCGGGTGACCGGCCCAGATCGGCCTCCTCTGCCCGCTGTTTCGGTGACCGCGGCGCGCGCTGGTACGGGTCGGCCGGCCCGTACAGGTCCGGGGTGCCCAGGTTCAGCAGACAGGTACGCTGAACAGTGTCGACGATCACCAGGCCACTCTCGTTACCGTACGCCAGCCTGTCGACCGGCGGGGCACAGGTCACAGCGGGGCCACAATTCAGGTCAGAGTCAACAGCAGAACGCTAATGGTGGCACTTGACGCTCTTAGCTGTCTACGCTGTGCTCGGAATCATCTACAAAACACTTCATATTCAGTGCTTACGATTCAACTTTGCTGAATGTACTACATAGATGGTCATCGAACAGCGTTTGGTAGCCGAATTACTCTATCCCAGTTCCAGTAAACACCCCTCCATTCCACCACTCACAGTCCGTATGCCGAGTTACTCTATAATCTGTCAGTTATCCTATATCTCTGCACACCGTTCCATGCTTCTATCCTCAGGAGACTGAAATCCTTATCCTCCACGCCGCAACCCCCACTCCGGGCTGGACAGGCACCTTTATCTCATGCGGGCTGCTCCCTTGGAGCGGCACCGCTGCTCCCGAGGGAGCGCACCCCGTAGCCGGGTGCAGAGAGTGCTTGGGGGACTGGTTGTTGTTGTTGTTGTCGTTCCGGCCGTCGGGCCCGGTGGGCCCACATGGGGGGCCCGTGAGGGTCCCAGCCCCCCTCGGGGGCGACACTTGCGACGTCCGCGCAGGGAGGGCAGCAGGCCCCCGGGCGGGTTCCGGCGGACTCAGACGCCGGGTAGGGCCGGAGAACCCAGCACCCCGCCAGAGTGTCCAGCGCCGTGGGCGCTCTATAGTCGGCCCAGGCGCCGCAGGAACTCGATAACCCGGCATGGGTCAGCGAAGACCTCCCGCAGCGTCGGGTCCTCTCTCCCGAAAACGTCGTGACGGACGCGGGCCGTCGCGGGGCACGACGTCAGGAAGTGTTCCGCGTCCTCCCTGACTCCGCCGTCGCAGGTCGGGCACCCATCGTCCTCCTCCGCCCCGATGAAGTGACGGTAAGCTTGCAGGGCAGGAGAGTGGCCGGTCCGGAGGCGCGCCAGAGCGGTGCCCTCTCTCCTAGACAGGCCGAGCCTGTCTGCCAGCCTGACCCTGCCCGGGCCGACGACATCGTGGTAGTCGTGGCTTAGGTGCGGGCGGGTCGCGGGCGCCGGTCGGGAGTGGCGCGTGCTCTCCACCCACTCTCTGCTCACGTGGCGCTTCAGCAGGCTCTTGGCCGCCGCGAAGGTGATGGGTGTCCCGTCCTGCGGCAGCTCAGCGGCCTCCCTGGCCACGGCATCGGCGATCTCGTTGCCGGCGACTCCCGCGTGACCGGGAACCCATTGAAGGTCCACGCGGTGGCGTCGTCCTAGTCGCCGGAGGGATAGCCAGACTTGGTCAGCGACCCGTTCAGTCTGGTTGGCCGGGCCTTCCCTCAGACGCATGAGGGATGATAGGGAGTCGGTGCACAGCTGGATATTGAGTGCAGGGTCTTGATCGGTGAGGATGGACTCGATGTATTTGAGTGTCTCTCGTAGAGCGAGAAGCTCCGCTGTGTAGCTCGACGTGAAGCGCCCCGCTGGCGCTCGGATCCTCTTCACTTCCCTGCCGCTCCTATAGACGACTGCCCCTGCTCCGCCTCGTTCTGTGCCGGCTGTGGCCGAGCCGTCCGTGAAAGCCTGGACGTCCGGGTTCGGCAGTCCGGCTAGCGTCTCCTCGGCGGCAGTCCGTCGCTGTTCGGCGGGGGCGTTTTGCGGTAGCGGCCTCACAAGTCCAGTGTGGAAGAGGACCGTTGGAGGTGGCGGTGACTCCCAGGGAGGGGTGCTGGCAACCACCAGGAACGGTTCGCGTGGGAAGACCAGTCGCGTGGGGGACTGGTCGGCCTGTCCATTCGGACAAGCTCAGCCCCGGCAACTCTCTAGGGTGCCTGCCCAGACCAATGTCTCCCCCTATATCCTATCATCCCCCGGCTCTGAAATGGTCTCATTGGACCGAAAGGGCCTAACCCAACAAAACAAAACAAACAAACCTATATCTATATAAATCCGCCACTCACAGTCCGTAAGCCGAGTTATTCTGTTCCAGTCCCTGAATATTCACCCCGCCCCCTCCTGTCCACGCCACTCACAGTCCGTATGCCGAGTTGACGGCCACACTGGAGATGACGCCGGGCGGCTCTCCGTTGACGGCCGGTGTGATACACACCAGCTCCGGGTGGAAGCCGGGGGGCCGCCGGATCGGGCCCGACCGGCACCGTACCGGTAGGGAGAGCTCCGCCTGAAACAGCGGGTCACAGGGGTCAGAATAGGGTCACAGAGGTCACCACAGGGTCACCAGAGCGTCCAGACCGGCACCGCACCGGCAGTGAGAGCTCCGCCTGTCATAAAAGGTTACCAGAGGTCGCCTCAACTAAGAAGTCGCCAAAGGGACCCAGGGCAAGCAGAAGGTCACAGCAGTCACCACGAAGATCTTCAGAGGGTTCAGAGACCACCAGAGACCGTACCTTTTTGCCGTTGACGCCGGCGATAGTGTCGGCCGGGCGGGCGGTGACGGCCGGGTCGGGTCGGGTCTGGGTCTGGGTCTGGGTCTGTGTCTAGGCTGGGTCTGGGTCTGGGTCTGGGTCTGGGGTTGGGTTGGGTCGGGTAGCGGGCCGTACCTTTTTGCCGTTGACTCCGGCGATGGAGTCGGCCGGCCGGACGGTGACGGCCGGGTCGCCGCTGGGAGGGTCCCGGTCCGAGTCGCCGTACGTCTCGTACACGATGGGGATCTCCAGACACTGCGACAGACGGACGGCCCACTGCGTCACACTCACAGTCGCACAAACAACAAACAGCCACCGATCGCGGCACAATCACCACTTATATAGATCTACGCAGCCGACTGACGGCTTTATATGCCTTTTATGGCCCCAAGCACAATAGCCTGTCGTAACTTCAAATAATGAAAATCAACGGAGCCTTTCAATCGCGGCCGCCGGGCGGAGCGCCGCCGGGCGCCCGGCGGAGCGCGGCCGGGCGCCCGGCGGAGCGCGGCCGGCCGCCTCGGCCGCCTGCCCCTCGGGACCACAGACCGGTCCGGCCGCCCCGGTCGGCCCACGCCGCCCACCAGCGCCGACAGGCATTTCAGATTTCAATTTAGATGCCAGTCGGGTTCGGTCGCCGCCGGACAAGTTGCGTCGGCCGACCCTGGGGGACCGGTCGGCGAGGAAGGAGGGAACGAGGGTGGCGACTGGAGGCTGCCGGCAGGAGCCGCCTCGGGGGCCACACGATCCATGCTACCGTCCAGCGGACTTGCCATCATGGTTAGTCATGTATCGCGGTGACTTAATTACAACAGGATAGTCAAGTTTATCAGTATACGAAAATGGCAACCATCATTGGAGCACCAGTGACCCAGAGCCGCTAGCCGGGACGCTGCAGGGGATACGGACTCCTTTGCCGCGGCTCCCGTAGGCAGTAGGGGAGGCTGGAGCTCCTTACCGGCACCTCGGCGTTCTTTTCGTTTCTGCTGAATCGGAAGTGTATGACATAGGATGCTCCGGCGACGGCCAGCTGCCGGCTCTCGGGACAGAGCACCACCTGCTGTACGGCCAGCTGGTCCTCCGTGTCGCCGTCCTGACACAGACACAGGTGACACAGGTCAGTGACAGGTCACAGATACAGGTGACACAGGTCAGTGACAGGTCACAGATACAGGTGGCAGAGGTCAGTGACAGGTCACAAGTGACACAGGTCAGTGACAGGTCAGTGACAGCTCACAGACACAGGTGACCCATGTCAGTGACACAGTTCACAGACACAGGTGACACAGGTCAGTGACACAGACACAGGTGACACAGGTCAGTGACAGTTCACAGACACAGGTGACACAGGTCAGTGACAGGTCACAGACACAGGTGACACAGGTCAGTGACAGGTCACAGACACAGGTCACCGACACAGGTTGCAAACAAACATCACTAAAATATACCACCAATGTATGTCACCACAGCACGCCACCAACCAAGCCACCATCACGTTCCAAAGCACCGCACAGTGCGGGCGCCCTCCGTTTCCCAGTCGGTGCCGTGTCCCGTCCCGTCAGCGGCAGCCCTGCCTATCCTCCCGCCCCGCCGACTCCAATCACTGAGCGCACCGCGACTGTTTACCGATCGCGACTCGCCCGAGCGCACTTCAAACGGCCCCCGAGAGCTGCCACCGAGTCAAACGGCACCGATCGGGCCGCGGGGCGCGCACCGACTCGGCGTATTGCAGCGCGGTCACCGCCTCATACAGCCGCGGCGCGGTCGTTGGCAAACAGCCGGAGGCGACCGAAACGGATTGGATGGCGAGCGGCAGAGGGAGAGAGGAGAGAGGATGAAAGAGGAGACGAAAGAGGTCAGAGAGTGGATGGCGAGCGGCCGCGGAGAGGGAGAGGGGAGGAGGAGGACACAGAGTGGATGGCAAATGGCCGTGGCACGCCGAGACGGGAGAGAGGAGATAGAGGGGCCAGGACAAGAATCCGAGAAAAGGGAGAGGTCAAAATGAAGTAGGGGAAGGTGGGGTAAGACGGACCAGCTAAGGTTTGAGGCCGCATATCTTGCTACACTGCTCTCGTAATTCATATTATTTATAGTCTTGGGAATGCTCAATCCTTCCTCTGTTGATATGTGTAAAGACTAAATTTCAAATTAAAGACATCTAGGTGGTGGATGCTCTTAAAGATGGACATGTCAAAAACTCAGACAAGAAAAAACGTGGGGTAAGACGGACCACCCAGCAGTGCCTGCTATCCGTTCATGTGTGTTACACTTCTGCTCTGTACTCTAGTAAGAAAAAGTAACCAGAATGGTAAAATAACAAAATGAGCCTTTATTCTTTACTCATGTGTGATGGAAGTGCAGCTAAAAGCTGGGAACATGTGTGTTGATTGTCGTTTGGCATGAATGCATGCTAACTGAGCACTTGCATGCATGGCTCACATGCAACAAAGACTCCTTCCTGAAAAATTAGCTTACTTAAACTTGTGTCAATGTTTTGGAAAAGAACTTTCCATATGCACTTGCAGGGTACAATGGACCACCACAGGGTAAGATGGACCACAGTGGTCCGTCTTGCCCCAAATCTAAATTCTGTTATTATCATGACGTATATGTCAAATAGCCCAACATTGCAAAACCTTGCCTTTCCTAAAATGTGACTATAACTAAGTTTATAACTTTGTTCTTCACAGTGAAGTGCAAAATAGAAACTAATCATGCAAGAAAGGCGCCGTAATTGAATCACCCGTAGACCTCTTATATTAGATCGGTTTGACGAAAAACAACATTTTTCTCAATAACTCAAAAGCTATGCATCCTAGCAGCATGAGCTCAAGGTGGCCATTGTTACGAAGGAAAACAAACATAGTGAGTGCATAAAGCAGTAGATACCAGCAGCCGTTCAGCCGGGAGGGCTGGTGGTCCGTCTTGCCCCGCTGGGCCGTCTTACCCCACCTTCCCGTAGAGGAGAAACAAAAAAGAAGAGGATTGTAAAAAGAGGGGAGAGGGAAGAAGGAAGCAGAAAAGGAGGGTGGAGTAAAGGGGGCACAATGACAGGAAGGGAAAAAGTGAGGAATGGAAATGAACAGGGAGGGATAAAGGCAGACTGAGATAGTTCGACACAGATCCGGACATCCAGTCACAGACCGACAGACAGAGACAGAGGGAGGGCGCCAGGGAGAGGTGTGCGAGTCTGACCTGAGACCGGCGCTGTCGCTCCAGCACCCGGGACACCTTCAGCTTGTACAGCACCTGGAAGCTGACGGCGGTGGCGTCCCAAAATTTGACGCTGCCGTCGGCGTGGCTGAGGACAGGGCAGAGCGGTTAGTGGCGGGTCCCGACTCCGGACAGAGGAAGCGTTACAGGGGCCCCGGCAACCACGGTAGTGACGCTGCCGAGGGCAGGGACTTCCCGAAACTCGGGCCGGAGAGACGGGAAAGTTATCCAATAAAAAGTCAGAGTTGAAACATGTTAGCAGCGCATACGTGACAGACTAAACTGAAGAGTGGACGCCTCACTAGAAAGCTATACGACCTGGTAAGAATGGGCAAACGGAGATGACATAACTCACTCTATTCGGGGTAGATGAGACACTAGCTAGAGGTGGGAAACTAGCCGGTGTGGCTTTGAGAGGCCTCGCAGCACAGGCTGGGCCAACGGGGCCCTGCATGGCGCCGAGACTCACCCTGGGGTTGTGACTGGGGTAGGGTGTCTTGGGGGCTGGTGTGTCGTGGGGACCGACGACCACCCCACGGGCAGCTGTGGGGGCAGATGTGGGCATGAGTAGTGGGTGGCCCGTGTACACTCACCCGGTGATGACCACCTCCGGGTAGCTGTTGTTGAGGGGAGGGGAGGTACAGGTGACCACTGATCACCCCACGTGTAGCCGACAGGGCACTCACCCCGTGATGACCACCTCCGGATAGCTGTTGCCGCCGGTACCCCACGTTCCGCCGGTGATGGGCCATTCCTTCTCGCTGAAACCAGTCCTGGCGAGAAAACAGAGCACACCCGGTCAGCACGAATAGAGTAAACCAGCCGGTCATCCACCCACTGCCTTGGCATCACCCTACACCAGTCACCGACCTAAGCCTCACATCGGCACTGATAGACAGACGCACCATCAGTCGATTTCGACCGTCCTCTTCTGACCAGACCCACAGCCCAGCCGCACACCCCTCCCTATGAGCCAGCCGCACACCCCTCCCTCTGAGCCGCACCCCTCCCTGTGACCCAACCCCACAGCCCAGTGAGGTCTCAGCCGCCGCCAAATGAGAAAGTGGCGCCCGGCGCGGCGGTCCCGGGGGCGGCCGGCGGCGGCGCGCCGACAGCACGTGCCCGGTACCGCCGCGGGCAGTCAGTCAGTCCCGGCGGCCGGTCCGCGCTCCACAGCGACTCCAGGGAGCCGGGGCCGGCCCCAACAGTCAGTCAATCCCGACGGGCGGCCGGTCCGCGCTCCACAGCGACTCCAGGGAGCCGGGACCGGCCCGGGCAGCCTGTCAGTCCCGGCGGGCCGAGCCGCGCTCCACGGCGACTCCAGGGTAGAGATTGCAATCCCGGGATCGGGATCCCGGGATCCCGGCGGGATTTTAATCCCGATCCCGATCCCGAAATTCTGCCAATCCCGGGATCCCGAAAAGAACAGTTTTTCACCTTAAAAAGAATGCAGCCGCTGCACGAGTCTTGTTTACACTGTTTATTGTGCTGCGTGACATAAAGCAGATAAACTATTTAGCTGGCACCCCGTATTGGCCGTCCACAATCGACCGTGTTGGTAGCTCTCGGGTATCACCCACAGCGGTTAAGCCGCTTAAATACGTACGAAAAAAGGTCCCGAAAGCCAAAAAAAAAAAAATGCAGCATCAGCGCTGCAACATCTTTATCAGGATCACAGATCGTTCAGCGATTCTGACTTGCCCGTCCGTGGCCGGAACAAAGGAGGTCATCAAGACAGTCTTTGAGCTCGTGTCGCAGAAAGATTTCACAGATGTCACGCAAGTGACGGCACAGCTCACTGATTCAGACGTTGAAGACGGTAGAGTGGAGCTCTCCCAGTCAGTGACTCTGCTCTCAAAGCGACTTTCGAGCAAATTCTGAGAGACATTAATGATGAAAGCGGAACCGGAAGGAGGTAAAGTGACCAAGCGACGTTTTGAAAACACTGTGAAATAGGGAGCTGCCAAAGTTGGCGTACACTGGTTGCGAGTTTTTAAGTAGACCAACATGGCAATGGCTTAAAACTGTCGCGCTAACTACGAGTAGCGTAGACGAAGAGTGAGTGAGGCGTGGATGTGCTGGAACCTGTCTAGTAAACGATCTGGTCGACGCACAGTTTTATGAAGGCCAATTGGGAATAAATGCTAATGCTAATCAAATCGAAGCGTTTTATTCGCAAATTCAATCGTTTTTAATGCAAATGACATGGTCTAAGGATGGCTTTTGGTTGCCTCTTTGTTTGTGGTAAGCTTAAAGACGCAAAATATGTCAGTAGGAAATCACTCTTACGACATTTAGTGACAATGCCGGGATCCCGGGATCCCGGGATCCCGAAATAAAAACTTTCGGGATCCCGGGATTGGCAAAACGTTCCGGGATTGCAATCTCTACTCCAGGGAGCCGGGGCCGGCCCGAGCCGCCGCCGCCGCCAGTGACGCCATCAGACGGACGCCGCTGACGTCATCAGCGGTCAATGTTTAACCGCACCACTGACTGCTGCCCCGGCGCGGCGCCGAGCGGCGGCCGATACTGAAAGGTCGGCGGGCGCCAGAAGACGTGCCGCTCAGTGTAAATGGCCCCGCGGTAGGTGATAGCGCCGACCTCACCGGCTCAACTCTGACGTAAGTGGCAATCATCATTAATCGGCAGCAGTTCAGCCTTGTTATTCATCCATTCACTGAATCTAACTGACTTGATGACATCCAAAAGCGTCAAACTAGCGCAGTTGGGGCTGACAAACGGCATAAAACACAATTTCGTATAATTGTGTCTAGCACGCAGCGACGAGTTTCCTCCATTAGTATCCATAACATCTGACAACGGGAGACGGCCACCGCGGTAAACAGCTCCCGAGCCTGTAGGTAGACGTCAGGACGACCCTCGGAGGCCTGAGTCAATGCAGTCAGCGTGGAGACGCAGTGAGATTCCAATTTCCAATGCAATGAGAGTTCTTTTATGCACGGACTTTTTCAAACGATATGCGACTTCGTGTAACTGTTACCTCACAGTTAGGTGACACCTGTCATGAAAGGACTGTCACTGTCACAGTATGGTTTCTTGCCACATGCCAGTCGGACAGTTCCTCCCTGGCCACGGCGCGCTGCCCTCATATGACCGACAGCCGGCGGCGGTCCAGTCGGCCACTAGACGCCTTCCGCAGCGAGTACCGACAGCCGGCGGCGGTCCAGTCGGCCACTCGGCGCGTCCCGCAGCGAGTGGCCGCGACCAGTGGCCGTCACAGTCCGTCAATACACAGACAGCCGGCCCGGTGGGTCACACGAGCCGGCCCGGCCGCACGCAAACACCGACAGCAGAGAGAGGACGGGAGGGCAGAGTGAGCACGGAAGTGGACGCAGAGGAGGGAGGAGAGCCGGGAGATACCTACACGGGGTGGGAGATAGCGCGGGTAGCTGGGCACAAAGAGGGGAGGAGAGAAAAGGGGAGCAAAGAGGAAACGGATAGGCGATACCATTTCCAAAGGAGTGTAGAGGCCACGTGACATTTTTGCTGCCGAGAAGTAAAAAGGTAGCTTCTAAACACCTAAAAAACTAGCAGCGTTGTTCCAGAGTCAACCAACAGTTTCCTGGACTCCTTTAATCCGGCTCAACCGCACGCATCCCCAGCCACCTTTTTCTCTCAGTACCTAACCAGCCGTTGGCAACACCTCAGTTGCCACCCTCAGCACATCTGAGCTGTCGTGCCAAAAGCCTGAGCACTGAGCAGAGCACGGGCCGACTCCTGCGACCCCTTGTACACACACACAGACCTGATCTCCCATCTCAGCGCCTAAGTGGGACACGCGCCAGCCCCCCCCCCTCCAACTGAGCTCCCCTCGCACCTGAGCGGTGCACGCGCCGTGCCGATGACGTCACGTCAGTCCGATCGGCCGACGGTCGATACAGCAGCAACAAATACGAGCGACTAGCGACACCTCTCCGGAGCTGCACAATGGCACAAGATGGACAACGGACGGCACGGGACACCAGACACGGCGGAGCGGGACTCCAGACAGCGGACGGCACGGGACACCAGACACGGCGGAGCGGGACACCAGACACGGCGGGACGGGACACCAGACACGGCCGGGATGGGACACCAGACAGCGGACGGGACACCAGACACGGCGGGACGGGACACCGGACACGGCGGGACGGGACACCAGACAGCGGACGGGGCGGGACACCAGACAGCGGACGGGACGGGACGCCGGACAGCGGACGGGACGGGACACCAGACACGGCGGGATGGGATCGTGACGAGTGCAATCAGCGCAGTGCTCCTTCGACACACTGAAATACGCGGAAGAGCATGGAACACGGATGTGTGCCGTGGAGACTTGAGAGGAAAGGAACACGAGATGTAGAGGCAATGACCCCCTGGCAGTTCAATAGTCAGTTAGGGCCAATGCATTGGCCGCCCTACCATTGCAATGGTTGGCCGGAGGGCTCCAGAACTGCTCTGAGGGCCGCCAGGAGGGATCCAGTATATCAGCTCAGAGTCTATGACGGCTGTCTGTGTGAGAAGCCGCCAGCCTGTCGCCGTCACTCCACCTCGGCTAAGTTCTCCTCCAGCAGGCCAGTGGTGCCGCCCAAGGCCCTATATGTAGAAGTGCCGCCCCGGACAGTGTACCGCTGGCCCGTGGAGGAGGCACGGCCGCCGGTACCGGCCGGCCGTGTCCGACAGCGCGGTCCCGTGTCGCACGCCGCCACCGCCGGACGAATCGATACCGGCACGCACAGAGTACACGGCTACCAGTCAGTGCCAATCCCGTGAGTGGCGCCACACTATAGAGATGGCGAGTACCGCAACTTTACCGAAAATAATCAGCAGTTAACGTATGAAAGAAATAGGCTGTCTGTGACTGTTGAATCCCTCAAGGGCATCGAGAACGGCAGCAAGAGCCCTCAGCAATCAGTTCGATTTTTCACCAAACTAGGCGTCGAAATTAGCCTGGATGTTTTGGATTTTGTGTTCTTGTCTCATGGCAAAACATGACCTGCATATAACACGACCAGTGTAGACGCCGATAGCCCGCTCTACAGTGTGTCAGATATCTGGCGATGGCGAACCTCCAGTTCCGCCAGTTTGGAGGGTGTCTGGGTATGTCCTGGCCCTCGGTACCAGTTTGGCGGCGGCTGCAGGCCAGAGAAGGGGGTCTCCCTACCGTCCTACAAACGGACACTGACGGAGCAGTCCCGCCGGCCCGAGACGGGGCATAGAGCGGAGGGAGCGGAGCGCTGCTGGGCAGCCGCCGCCGTGTCGTTCGGACAGCATGACGCCCCGGCTGGCCCATTCTCGACGAATATGAGCCGCCAGCGCCCCGCCGTGTCCACCCGCCTCTCCTGTGTACCCAGACACACCAGTGCAGTGGTGGCCCCGGCCGCCCCCCAACGGGCCAACCGGGCTGGGTACCGTAACCGTACCGGCGGCCACAACACCCCGCCACGGACCGGTCAGTACCGTGACCGTGTCCACCCGCCCCTCCAGTGTACACACCAGTGCAGTGGTGGCCTCGGCCGCCCCCCAACGGGTCAGTCGGGCTGGGTACCGTGACCGTACCGTTCGTGTAATACACTTGGCAAATACACGGCCCGGTCAGTACCGTGACCGTGCCGGCGGCCACAATACCCCGCCACGCCACGGGTCTGCCAGTACCGTGACCGTACCGGCGGCCACAATACCCCGCCACATGGACCGGCCGCCGTTACCATTCAGCCGCGGCCAGAGATTAATCACCGGCGCGCCGGCCGCCACCTGATGGCGCCGGGTCACGCCGCGCCGGTGACCTCAGTGGCGCAATGAACAGCCGAGGCCAGCGGGGGGCGGGGGAGCTCCGCACGCCAGGAGCGGTAACAACCGCGGATACAGCTCTGCTGTGAAGGTGGAGAAGCGGCGTGGAACAGAGATATAGCAATATGAAGTCTCCAGATGTTGGCTCTTATTGCAGAGTTAGAGCAGAAAAGCGCAAAGTCTTTCTTCTCGGCTTTTCAAGCAAATGAAATGACTGAGCGAAATAAAGAGCGCAAACAAACGCTAACGCTGGAAGCTTACTGAAGCTCTGGCTCGAGAACAAAACGATGCTAATTCTATTCTGAACAACAAAATAAGGGAACGAGTTTTGTTTCGCTCGGTCCAAACAACGCCATAGAATACTGATGCAGTGCAGTTGAATCCCGGAGCCGGACGAAAAACCCAGCCAGAGCTCATATAAAAGCATCGAGCGTACGATCAGCTGTGATTATCCAAATCACCGCGCCATAGAAAGTGATCATCAATGTGCAAAGAGCGAACATTACCAGGCCATGTGTTTCTTACCTGCGAAACAGCTTCTACCAGGCGTTGAACAAACCATCTACAAACGTTGCACTGAAAACTCCGCCCATACAGCTAGGCATATCAAGGCGGAACGGGATAAAGAACTGGTAGGCTAATTGAAGACAACGTCTCGCCTAACAGCTCAACGCTCGGAACGTTCCACCTATACCTACCAGCAATTATTTATCATAATATTACCGCCAGAACTGGCGGCCGGGCGGCAGTCCATGGCAGGCTTCATACGGCAGTGTCCGGTCCAATAAGCCAGCAGCTGTCGCCTCCCGCCTATCCCCAGAGGTGGCATTGTCAGGTCAGCCACCTCAATACGGCAGAACAGCCTCATTATCCATCAATGACTCCTCACAAGCGGACAATTACAGACGCTGCTCAGAGCCGGCTGACTGTAGCCCAGCAACCAATCAGCGATCGGCCGTCACTTCAGCAGCCAATCACACGAGCCGCTGTCACCACGGCAGCCAATCATACGCCCGGCTGCCACCCCAGGAGCCAATCGGCGGCCCCGACACAGTCAGTCGGCCAATCAGCGGCTCGGACAGGGCCGAGTCAGCCGGGCGGAGTCGCTGACTCGGCCGGCCGGCCCTAATTGAGGTGCGCCGAGTACAGCGACCCCGAGACGCGGGCATTGATCACAGCGGAGAGCGACGGACCAGAGTTGACGGCGTCAAATGTCACCTTATCCATTCGTCTAGAAACAAAACAACAACATACTACGTAGAATGCAGTGGAGTGATGCAAAAGGTGATGGGTGAGGTGCAAAAGAAGAAGAAGAAGTGATGCATCCGCTACAATCACCCAACAACTAGCCAATTAGATTCACAGAAACTGTTGGCGACTTTCCACCTAGAGATTGCAGGAGGCTAAAGAACAATTAATAGAAGCTAGTTAATCTACAGAGGTACGCACAGCTCAGGACTGCGACTCACGCGAGGAAAAACTTGGCTCTGATACAAAGTTTGGGCAGAGTCTATTTCTCAAGCTGCAACACCGTATTGTGAATAATCTTAACAGGTTTTCTTCGCAAAGTGAGCTCTTGTGTTTGAGACTCTATAGAGTTAAAAATGGTAAAACCTTATACATAATAAACGCATCGTGAAACAGGCTGAAAGCGAAATCCCATAGACCTGCAGCGGAGTTGTTTTTCTTGGCAGCCGTTCCCTAATCCCCTCCTCGGCGGCTCGCAGTCCGATGGCGGGCGGCGGCCGCGGAGTCGGCTTAGCCTGAATACGCGGACCGGCTGGCAGCTGCTGGCACAAAGGCGCCACAATTAACTATGTATCGTCCTACCCGGCAGGGCGCCAGCTAGGAGCGCCGGTGGATGGGAGCCGGCCCCGCCCTCTGAGGGGCTCTGGGCCCCCACCTGCACCTCACGCAGGCGGGGCACACGGGTGGCCCTGCACCCCGCGCCGCCGCGTCTGCACTTAAAGGTTATAACGTCACGTCCAAAGCGTCCTACATTCCATCCGGCTCCATAAGGCCTCAGTGCTTCATAAAGCCTCCGAATATGGTGATGACTGGAGGCTATGGTTTGCCCACTCTACCCCAGACCCTCCTCGCCCCCTCCCATGTCTAGTAGTACGGACAGTCCCAGTCCTCGTCCGTCCGTGCCAACAGGGAGCAGTGTCCGTACATGCGGACAGCCCTAGCGCCCATCTGTCACCCCGTTCGCGTCGCACCTGTTTTGTTTGGCGGTGCCCAGGTCGTACCTGTTTTGTTTGGCGGTGCACAGGTCGTACCTGTTTTGTTTGGCGGTGCCCAGGTCGTACCTGTTTTGTTTGGCGGTGCCCAGGTCGTACCTGTTGCCCAGGTCATACCTGTTTTGTTTGGCGGTGCCCAGGTCGTACCTGTTTTGTTTGGCGGTGCCCATGTCGTACCTGTTTTGTTTGGCGGTGCCCAGGTCGCACCTGTTTTGTTTGGCGGTGCCCAGGTCGTACCTGCTTTGTTTGGCGGTGCCCAGGTCGTACCTGTTTTGTTTGGCGGTGCCCAGGTCGTACCTGTTTTGTTTGGCGGTGCCCAGGTCGTACCTGTTTTGTTTGACGGTGCCCAGGTCGTACCTGTTTTGTTTGGCGGTGCCCAGGTCGTACCTGTTTTGTTTGGCGGTGCCGACGCTGTAGAGGGCCGGCACCAGGTCGCCCGGACAGTCGGCCAGATAGGTGCAGCTGGTGACCGTCGAGCCGTGCAGATCCATCGGGTAGGGGTTCTCGAAGCACGGGTAGCCCGGCGACGTCAGGTCCACCACCACCAGGTCGTTCTGCAGCAGCACCACGATGCCGTACGGGTCCTGGAACTCTGCGGACCGACGGCGGCGGGATCGGTCAGTGACAGTGGTGGTAACGCCCGGAGGGCGCAGCAGTGGCCACAGCCAGCCCTGCCCGACATGGCCAGCGCAGGCACGGTCAGTGGGAGCGGTGGTGACGCCCTCCCGGAGCGCAGGAGACACAACGGACACAGCTCACAGCAGTGGTACCAGTCGGCGGCGCGGGACCGGTCAGAGACAGCAGTGGTCACAGCCGGACAGCGGTGCGGGCCCGGAGAGTATCGGCAGAGGTAGCAGCCGGCCAGGCACGACATAAGGACAGAGCGGACACAGCTCAGCAGGGGTAACAGCCGGCGGCGGACCAGCTCACAGCAGGGGTAACATTCGACCGAAATGAGGACAAAACGGACACAGCTTCGAGGCGGCTAAGGTCACACGTCAGCATCAATGACAATGAGTCAGAAAAAAACGTCCAGATACGGATGGTCAAAGTGACAGCCCGGGGAAAGCACCCAAAGATGTTTTTGGACGGACATGGTAGGACGACAGACTCTAGAGACGCCGAGGGCGTGGATGCCATATCGCTCCGCGATAGAGGAGGGGGGACCAGCCGCCCGACCGCAGACAGAGGGACGGACGGACGGACGGGCGGACGGTCAGACGGACGGACGGACGGACGGACGGGAAAGGGCATGTAAACAGCGCTGACGGCGCCCACACGCCGGTGGTCGTCAATATGTCAACAGACACGAGGGCTGGGGCCGTGTATTGACGGCAGTAACAGGCGGACGGAGGACCGCCCACAGCTGGGTAGGTGTGGGAACTGGGGCAGGTCACAGTATAGACGGAGACGGGACTCTGGCCGCCCACAGCCCGGCAGGTGTGGGGACTGAGGCAGGTTACGGGGCAGACTGGGACGGGACACTGACCAATAAATATGTATGAGTTCGGCGAGTTACACCGCAGACCCAATCGTTGATTCCAATATAATCCTAGGAAAAAAAAAACGAGTTACAACACTAACTGGGACAAACACTGGCCGCCAACAGCCCTCCTGGTCAGGAGGCTTGGGCGAGTTAAACTATAAACTGGGACGGGACACAGACTGAAAGGTGATGCTGGTGGGTGGGGGCTAAGGCGAGTCAGAGCAGTCTGGTTAGGAACACAAGAACGACACGTGAACCCCACCCCCTAACTCAAACGCAGGCGCGCTGTTGAGGAAACACAAACAGAGAACTAGCAAATCCAACTTCGGCTCCCTAGAGAACTAATTTGAAACCGTGTATCAAACTACAATGTTTGTCGAGTCGGACCCGTACTTCAAAAGCTACAGCAGTCAGCAAACACGCTTCCAAATCTCGAAATAGACTTTAGTCGCCTACGCTTACTAAAAAGCAAGGCAATAATCGTTGCAGCGATGTGAAGTCATTTCAATTGTAGCTGAACCGTCCACTAGGCACGTCAAGAGTGCACGGACACATTTCATCATCTGCCGCGACGTCCACACACTAAACCGACGCTCTTCATTTCATGTAATGATGATTATTTCTGCGGCTACTACTCTAATTTGAAAGTTCTTTACAAGCTTAATTTGGTCAGGTGCGAACGACGTGATTCACTCGGTTTTGCTTTAGAACATCGACTGCCCATGCAGTTTAATTTAGATACAAACCCACGCATTTTAACACGCCATCATCAAATCCTTTCAACATTTTGATGAACGGTTTCGACCTAAAGGTCGTCCTCGCTGAAAGCAGTTCGTGATTGAGTTGATACCATTAAAAGGTGGCTTGTGATCGAATTACGTTGTTATCTGAAGCCAGACACTAACTCTAGTATAACCATACTGCTTCCCCCGACTCGCCCCGCTGGGGTAGGGGTGTCAGTGTCTCCCTCACTCACCGCTGGGGTAGGGGGTGTCTCCTCACTCACCGCTGGGGTAGGGGGTGTCTCCTCACTCACCGCTGGGGTAGGGGGTGTCTCCTCACTCACCACTGGGGTGTCAGTGTCTCCCTCACTCACCGCTGGGGTAGGGGGTGTCTACTCTCACTCACCGCTGGGGTAGGGGGTGTCTCCTCACTCACCGCTGGGGTAGGGGGTGTCTCCTCACTCGCCGCTGGGGTAGGGGGTGTCTACTCTCACTCACCGCTGGGGTAGGGGGTGTCTCCTCACTCACCGCTGGGGTAGGGGGTGTCTCCTCACTCACCGCTGGGGTAGGGGGTGTCTCCTCACTCACCGCTGGGGTAGGGGGTGTCTCCTCACTCATCGCTGGGGTAGGGGGTGTCTCCTCACTCACCGCTGGGGTAGGGGGTGTCTCCTCACTCATCGCTGGGGTAGGGGGTGTCTCCTCACTAATCGCTGGGGTAGGGGGTGTCTCATTCATCGCTGGGGTAGGGGGTGTCTCCTCATTCATCGCTGGGGTAGGGGGTGTCTCCTCATTCATCGCTGGGGTAGGGGGTGTCTCCTCACTCACCGCTGGGGTAGGGGTATCAGTGTCTTCCCCCCCCCCCGACTCACCGCTGGGGAAGGAGTGTCTACTCTCACTCACTGCTGGGGTAGGTGCGTCAGTGTCTCCCTCACTCACCGCTGGGGTAGGGGTGTCAGTGTCTCCCTCACTCACCGCTGGGGTAGGGGGTGTCGACGAGCGCGATGAAGTCGACCACGTTGTGCTCCATCTCCAGCACTGTGGTGGTGCGTCCGTGCATCACGGTGACGCTCGGGGTCCGGCCGGCAGTGTCGTGGCCCAGGCCGCCCGTGAAGATCACGTACGGCTCACTGGCGGCGCACCGGGGAGCACCAGGTCAGACGGCGCACACAGAGGTCACGAGGTCAGATAGGTCACACAGGTCAGCAGCAGGTCACAGAGGTCACCAGCGAGCCACGGGTATAGACGGGTCGCCAGCTTTAAAATGTCTTCAGCAGTTCTTCAAAGAATACGACTGACTGTTCATCTCACAGGGCAATTCTGGACAAATATATAACATAAGTGACATGTGCCCCGCATCGCCTCAACGCCGAATGTATCAGACGACAAAGCTGGGATGTAACATTGGATAAATATTACATTGCTTTGTAACGGTAAGACCAGTCAGACAAACTTAAACAAAAGCACTAACGAACCAAAGTCACAGTATAATAACATAAGCTTTTCGTAAGCACCATAATATCATATGAGTAATAGGATACTTTATATCAGAGACCACTGCGACAGGCGTAAGTATCGTACATGGGACTGAACTGAGGTGCATCTGCTAATAAAGCTGTGAGTTCGGCGGACTGCCACCGCAGAAATGGCGGAGCCGTGCCTACGTCTAGTGACTGCGGCCGAATGGATGCACGGCATGTCGACAGGTGAGGTAACTACTCTAGGTCAGACATTCCGCGCTAGTGGCAGGCTTGTGGGATGCAGAAGACACTACCGCATTTCACTATAACCACGTCCACAGCCGTCACTGTCAAACGGCATACAGCACGACACTAGAGACTCAGACTCGCACCACTCGCACGCAAACTCGAACTGAGGCACGCAGACGCGCAGGTAGGCCTAACGTATACACTAAGCAATGTGCGGGGGAGGTGTTCCGAATTCTGCATCGCATTTCGGGTTCAGCCGGCGACTGTAAGCCAGTGTTTGTCGTGTTTGTCAAATACGGTCATTGTGATTTAAAGCTACAAACGGTTTTAATTATAGGTTACATATTCATTAATATCTAATATGCCCAGCATAGGCATAAGTGTTGTATGCTGCGGGGTGTAAATTGTAATCAGGCAGAAGTCATGCTATGTAAGAGGATATATCACAAGCGACCGATTGAATTTCGAACGGATACTCTATGGAAATCTTTGGAAACGACGCTGCACAAAGAGCCGCAACTGCGACTGGTCGCTGCGTCCACCCAGGGAGAGAGCAAGAGGATCGAAACAGTGCTATCCGCAGGGACGGAGGGGAGAGAGAGAGAGCAGAGACAGAGACAGAGACAGAGACAGAGACAGAGAGAGAGAAAGAGAGAGAGAGAAAGAGAGAGAGAGAGAGAGAGAGAGAGAGAGAGAGAGAGAGAGAGAGAGAGAGAGAGAGAGAGAGAGAGAGAGAGAGAGAGAGAGAGAGAGAGAGAGAGAGAGAGAGAGAGAGAGAGAGAGAGAGAGGAGGGACAGGCGGGAAAGGCCGTCTGGTAGCTGCACAGTGCAAACAGCCTGTCCGCAGTGAGTGGGAAGTGGTGTTTGCCTTCCCGGACAGTGGGGGCCGACTGGCCACTGTCCGCAGAGAGGACTGTGTGTCGACAGGACGACTGACGGCTGGGAGTCAGGACCGACTGGCGTGTGTCCTCCGCTGTCCATGGAGAGGACAGTGCTGCTGTCGGGGCTGACTGACCACTATCCGGACTCCGGAGACGGGACAGTCTCGATGGGGACGGCCGACGGCCCGCTGACGGCTCCCAGAGGCACCCACCTCTGCTCTGCGTGTGCAGCTCGCCTATCCGTGTGTGCGCCCCCGCGTCTGTAGCTCGCCTATCCGTGTGTGCGCCCCCGCGTGTGCAGCTCGCCTATCCGCATGTGCAGCTGCGTGTCGCTCGCCTATCCGCGTGTGCTGCCGCGTGTGGTGTGGATGCCTCTACGTGTCTGTCAATGCATTTGCGTTGCCTGCCTGGATGACCCGCCTCTCCGTTCTATTTGCATCCATTCCTCCGTGCGTGCTGTTCTGCAGTCTGCCTCTCCGTGCGCAATGCCCTGTCTGTATCCGTCCCTCTGTCGTGCTCCTCTGTATGCGTGTGTGGGACTGGCTTGTTATGACCGCCACTGGGTCGCCAATAGAGCAGCAGTCAGCGAAACGTGACCTGTTCCGGCGCCGCGGTAAAACCGGCCGAGTCAGAGCTCCAGAGGCGGCCCCCACTCGAGCCTAACTGAGAGACCAACAGAGCTACGCAGTACGCAGACTCTCCGGGCGGTAAGTGTGTGTGTCCGGGTGTGTCAGTGGTGTGTGTCAGTATGTGTCAGTGTGTCAGTATGTGTGTCAGCTCTGTTACCTGTGCCGGCCGCGGCTGGCTGCCGGCGGCTATATACCTGGGGCGGGCAGGCCGTGTATCAGTGTGTGTCAGTGTGTCAGTGTGTCAGCTCTGTTACCTACGCCGGCCGCGGCTGGCTGCCGGCGGCTATATACCTGGGGCGGGCGGGCCGTGTGTCAATGTGTCAGTGTGTCGTGTGTGTCAGTGTCGGCGCTCTGTTACCTGTGCCGGCCGCGGCTGGCTGCCGGCGGCTATATACCTGGGGCGGGCAGTCAGTGTGTCAGTGTGTGTGTCAGTGTGTGTGTCAATGTGTGTCAGTATGCGTCAGTGTGTCAGCTCTGTTACCTGTGCCGGCCGCGGCTGGCTGCCGGCGTCTATATACCTGGGGCGGGCAGTCAGTGTGTCAGTGTGTGTGTGTCAGTGTGTCAGTGTGTGTGTCAGTGTGTGTCAGTGTGTCGTGTGTGTCGGTGTGTCAGCTCTGTTACCTGTGCCGGCCGCGGCTGTCTGCCGGCGGCTGTATACCTGGGGCGGGCGGGCCGTGTGTCAGTGTGCGTGTGTCAGTGTCCGTGTGTCAGTGTATGTGTCAGTGTCCGTGTGTCAGCTCTGTTACCTGTGCCGGCCGCGGCTGTCTGCCGGCGGCTATATACCTGGGGCGGGCGGGCCGTGTATCAGTGTGTGTGTCAGTGTGTCAGTGTGTCAGTTCTGTTACCTGTGCCGGCCGCGGCTGTCTGCCGGCGGCTATATACCTGGGGCGGGCGGGTCGTGTGTCAGTGTGTCGTGTGTGTCAGTGTGTCAGTGTGTCAGCTCTGTTACCTGCGCCGGCCGCGGCTGTCTGCCGGCGGCTATATACCTGGGGCGGGCGGGCCGTGTATCAGTGTGTGTCAGTGTGTCAGTGTGTCAGTGTGTCAGTGTGTCAGTTCTGTTACCTGCGCCGGCCGCGGCTGGCTGCCGGCGGCTATATACCTGGGGCGGGCGGGCCGTGTATCAGTGTGTGTCAGTGTGTCAGTTCTGTTACCTGTGCCGGCCGCGGCTGGCTGCCGGCGGCTATATACCTGGGGCGGGCGGGCCGTAAGTCAGTGTGTCAGTGTGTCATTGTGTCATTGTGTCAGTGTGTGTCAGTAGGTATGTGTCAGTGTGTCAGTGTGTGTCAGTGTGTCGGCGCTCTGTTACCTGTGCCGGCCGCGGCTGGCTCCCGACGGCTATATACCTGGGGCGGGCGGGCCGTGTATCAGTGTGTGTCAGTGTGTCAGTGTGTCAGTGTGTCAGTTCTGTTACCTGTGCCGGCCGCGGCTGTCTGCCGGCGGCTATATACCTGGGGCGGGCGGGTCGTGTGTCAGTGTGTCGTGTGTGTCAGTGTGTCAGTGTGTCAGCTCTGTTACCTGCGCCGGCCGCGGCTGGCTGCCGGCGGCTATATACCTGGGGCGGGCGGGTCGTGTGTCTGTGTGTCGTGTGTGTCAGTGTGTCAGCTCTGTTACCTGTGCCGGCCGCGGCTGTCTGCCGGCGGCTATATACCTGGGGCGGGCGGGCCGTGTATCAGTGTGTGTCAGTGTGTCAGTGTGTCAGTTCTGTTACCTGTGCCGGCCGCGGCTGGCTGCCGGCGGCTATATACCTGGGGCGGGCGGGCCATATGTCAGTGTGTCAGTATGTCAGTATGTGTCAGTGTCGGCGCTCTGTTACCTGTGCCGGCCGCGGCTGGCTGCCGGCGGCTATATACCTGGGGCGGGCAGTCAGTGTGTCAGTGTGTGTGTCAGTGTGTGTGTCAGTGTGTGTCAGTATGCGTCAGTGTGTCAGCTCTGTTACCTGTGCCGGCCGCGGCTGGCTGCCGGCGGCTATATACCTGGGGCGGGCGGGCCGAGGAGCCACGCAGAGCAGCAGCGAGCCGGGCCGCGGGAGGCTGCGGGATAGACGGAGGTCAGGAGGTCAGGATAGGATGGACGGGCCGTGGGAGGCTGCGGGATAGACGGAGGTCAGGACGTCAGGATAGGACCGGACGGGGCAGGAGGGTGGCGGATCGTGGGAGGCTGCGGGATAGACGGAGGTCAGGACGTCAGGATAGGATGGACGGGACCGCGGGAGGCTGTGGGATAGACGGAGGTCAGGAGGTCAGGATAGGATGATAGGAAGTGGAGAGGCCGCAGAGACAGGTCACAGGTCAGAGATCAGATCAGGCGCGCACTGCTGAGACTCCTCCCACTGTCTGGTAGCTCTAATCGGTGCATGACTACCCTACAGCTACAGGACTATCCGCTCGCGGTTACTGTGTCATCATACAGGCACTACGGCAAGCGGGTGCGGTCGCCTAGGGCTCGTCTGGCTAGCGGTGGGGTGCGGGGTAAGGGGAGCTGGCAGCACCTTTCTTCCTCCTCGCGCCAGCCGGCGAGCGGGCTCAGAGACGCCAGCAGCCTGTGAACACGGAGTGGGTCACGGCGCCGGCCAGGTCCCACCGGCACTCCGGAACACACGGTCCGACCGGCACTCCGGCCACACAGTCCGACCGGCACTCCGGCCACACGGACGGGCCGGGCTGGTCGGCCGTCCACGACCGGGGCTACAGCAGAGCGGGTCTACCGACAGTATAGACCGGGACCACAGCCGGCGGACTGCAGCCGTATGCACAAGATAATATTAATGAAAAAAAAACGTTTAAGAACGGCTCAAAATGGTCTGCGCTTGATGTGTTCTTTCCTGAATTTAGCTTCGAAATAAGCTGATCTGGTGAAACTTTTAAGTTCCCGTACATCGAAACAGCATTTCCAATGGCGACAGAAAAATAAATAAGGATATTAGATATTGTATAAATGCTACAAAATCCAATGGAAGCACTCATCGCCCGAGCAGGATTACCAGGTTTAAAAGCAACAGCTTCTTAAAACGGCAGCCTTTGATGACTAGGGACATCGCTCCACTTCAATGAAAACTTTTAACGGATAAGACATTGCGACATGACGAAAGTAAAATAAATTACATTAACTTAATTGAAAAAGGAAAAAATACAAAGTTCTGTACAGAGCAAAGACTTTATCCTTCCAAAGTCAACATGAGACAAATGCAAGCAAGCAAGCAAAGGGAAAGGTAGCTCATTCTATGGTAGCTCATTCTAATATTTTTGCAAAAGGACTGGGACAAAACTTCATCTAAGTAGTTAGCATGATGAATTGGTTTCAGAATGATGAATCTTTCCCGGGTGATGGATTACATTCGTGAGTCCATTATAAGATTACTAACACACTCGGCCGCGGCTCACTCGGCCGGTAACACTGAAATGAGGTGCGCACAGAGACTGGCATTGGCCGCCTGCATAGCAGCTTGGACCAACAGCAGGCCCCATTGTACTGGTGAAATGGAAAACAGCTTCATCAACAATCCAAAACTCGAGCAGAACAAATGACAAATACTTCATGTCTCGCCCTAAAAGCTAATTTTAACTTTTCCCCTGCTGAGATTAGCCTGTCAGCAACCACTCAGCTCCCGCTGGACGAGTGATTGGGAGTGAGAACAGCACCAAACTACAGCCCCTTCCCCATAGCATGCCCGCTCCCTTGCCATGACCGTCCGTCCGCCGGTCCATTTGGTCACCACTGGCGGTAACGGGTCGCCGCCCAAAACCTGCGGCGTCCGCCGAACGACGCGCGTTACCGGTTTGGCAGTGTCGTTACACCCACGGTGTTAACCCCGCCGACTGACCGGACAAAGACAGACAGACAGACGATTGAGGCTGGACGGGACGGTCCAGACTGGAGCTCCAGACTGTCGACTGGTGAGCGAGAGACAGCTGGACGGGACGGGACACGGGACACGGGACACGGGACACGGGACGGGACGGGACGGGGACGGGACGGGACGGGGACGGGACGGGACGGGACGGGACGGGACGGGACGGGACGGGACGGGGCGGGACGGGACGGGACGGGACGGGACGGGACGGGACGGGACACGGAACGGGACGGGACGGTCTGCAGTCTCAGACTGAAGCATGGTGACGGGAAGACGACTGACCCACGAGTAGACGACTTTTAAATCACTGGATACCTGGATAGCAGCCAGCGGCGCCACTGCATAATTGGTAGCAAAGTGGCGGCACGAACAAAGAAAATATATCACCGGAGCAGTGATGACATCCTGGTCCCTCCCTTCATCCCTGTTGGCAGCGATTTCCTCCTCCACTCTCCCCGCTGTGACTATCCTTTATCCGCAGTGACTCCTCCCTCTCTCCGCGGCGACTCCCATCCTCTCCCCGCGGTGGCCCGCTGCTCTCCCCGCGGTGGCCCCCCGCTGCTCTCCCCCGGTGACCCGCTCCCTGCTCTGTGCCAGCGCTGACCGCTCCCTGCTCTCCCTGCGGTGGCCCGCTCGCTGCTCTCCCACGGTGACCACTCCCCGCTAGCTGTGCCGGCGCCGGCCGCTCATAACCCCGTGCCGATGAGCCTCAACACCATGAGCGGCACGGCCCAAATGAGAAAAGTTGCCCGCCGCCGGCCAAAGTCGGCCCCCAGTGGGCGTCGCGAGCACCTGCGAGTTTCCAGCGCGCCCGGCCCTGCCGCCCGACCCTCATTAGAGCGTCGGAAGCGCCGTTCTCGACGGGCATCAGCTGTGCTTTCAGCGGGCGGCGCCGAACGGCCGAGCGGGCGCCTCGATTATGGTCCTGGCGTCTCGATGGGCCGGACGGCCGGCCAACTTTGAGAGCGGGCCGAACGGATGTGCTGAGTTCACGGGGCGGCTCGGAGCTGCTCCTAGCGGCTCGGCCGTGGGAAGGGGACATTAGCCGGGCCGGTACAAAGTGCGCCGCGGGGTCGGCCGGACCGGGACGGTCGGCCGGCCGGGTCACGGGCGCTGAGCCGGCGCTAACGCCCGGCAGAGCCGCCATCATCGGGCCCAATCACGGCTCGGTCGGCGGGTATACGGCGCCAGTGGCGGCCCGGACCGGCCGGGATCAGGGCTGCCTCAGCACCAGACGCCGGCAGAAAGCCGACAGGCCACAGTCACCGTCATACACCACGGGGCGCCGGAGATTGAAACACTGGGCCGGGTTCGCTCTGTACAAGGACACAAAACAGAGTAAAACTACATGAGCCCATGAGGAGCGGTCAAAAAGGCCGGATCGGCGCACTCACCCCGCCCTGGTGGAGAGCCAGGAGACCTTCTGGATGGCCTTGCAGGGCTCCTGCTGGCCGTTTTCCCGTGTCTTGGCTGCAACAAAAACATATGGACACGGTCATGGAACTATCCACAACCGAAGGCTGCAGACTGGGGATCAATCGAGCCCGTAAATTGTCCAAGAACTATGAGACTTAAAGAAAGCACCTGGCATCTCAGCCCTAGTAAGGACAATGAACGCGAAACTCGAATGACCTTAAACTCCATCGCCGCTCAAATCCCGTGACAAAGGTAAATATTTGTCAGCATTCCACTATCCATTTCAACCTAATCTATAATTCACCATCCACAGTTCACGTCGAGGAGCCTGGTACTAAACGTTGCAGGCAATGACATGCTGAAAATAATGCTGCGGATTGTTTATTATTTATTTATTTACATGTGTGATGAAATATGCTGGCAAACTGAGAAATAAGTGACACGTCCCGCAGTTCAAGCGATATCCGTGAAGAGGGGGAGGGGTGAATCTGGCTTTTGGGAGTCCCAGTTTGCCCAACGCTTCGAGAAAGACAAACATTTGTGGTCTTGGAAACGAATAAAATAAACGTCAAAATGGTCTAAAATGCGCCTTTTGCGCATCGCAAGCGCAATATATGGCAGATTCATTAATGTCAGGACGATTTCTCAGTTTCGGGAAGTGAAAGACGACGGAGTAATTACCAGATCGTGCCTAGCGACCCGTGGTCGTTCGAGCACATGTCTGTCGAATATGAGACAGCTTCAGCGGCGAGCAAAACTTGGCACACAATGGGCAGCCGCTTATTGAAACGCCAGCGCTGGGCGCGGCACGCTTTCATTCCGCGAGCGACTGGGTTGGCTGTTGTTATTCTCCGAATCGGCGCCCAATTTGTTGTATTCGAGCGGGGTAGCTGGGCACGAAGTACTATTTAGATGGCCTGTCGCCGCCCTGTCGACTGCGTTCAGTCAGGCGGCCTCAGTGCTGCTCGAATGGGTGTGTGCTCTGGGACGGAGAAAGGGGGAGAGAACGAGAGAGAGAGAGCGAGCGAGAGAGAGAGAGAGAGAGAGAGAGAGAGGAGAGAGAGAGAGAGAGAGAGAGAGAGAGAGAGAGAGAGAGCGAGCGAGCGAGAGAGAGAGAGAGAGAGAGAGAGAGAGAGAGAGAGAGAGGGAGGGAGGGAGGGAGGGAGGGAGGGAGAGAGAGAGAGAGAGAGAGAGAGAGAGAGAGAGAGAGAGAGAGAGAGAGAGAGAGAGAGCGAGAGAGAGAGGGGGAGGGAGAGGGAGAGGGAGAGGAAGAGAGAGAGCGAGCGAGAGAGAGATAGAAAGAGAGAGAAAAAATGCGCATATTATGTCCAAACTGATCCGCACAGCACGTTGCGTCGCGGGGTGGGCGGCGCCGCTGCGTTTCCTATCTGCCCGGCACTCTGGGGCGTTTGCAATCTACGGGGCGTTTGCAATATGCCCAGCACTCCGTGGCGTTTGCAATCTACGGGACGTTTGCTATCTGCTGGCTCGCTACGGCGTTTGCTATCTGCCGGCCCGCCGCGACGTTTGCTATCTGCCGGCTCGCCGCGGCGTTTGCTATCTGCGGCCGGCCGGCGCCCGGAGACAGCGGCCGGCCGCGGAGGTGATAACCTGCCGCAGCCGTTCCAGGAGGCCGCTAACACCCCTTTCCGACGGTTTGGCCGCCGGTGCCGGCTAAGCCTCCGTTATCCAGCGTTGATGAGGCCGGCGCGGCGGCGGCCACCGACGCCGGAATGGCCGCTGTCCGGCGGCGCGGCGCCCACAGACACCGCTGTCCCCGCGGCTCGGCTCGGGCCGCCGCCCGCCGCTGCAGCTGCGAGAAAACCCTACCGGCGAGGGCGGTACACCACCAGCGGGGAACATCACTATCGCTCTGGGTCGGAGCAGTCTCCCAGAGAGGCATAGTGCAGGACGGTCCACAATGACCGGGAGCCAGAAAGGCTTCTGGCGGCACTGGCTGATGTTCAGCCATGAAAAGTCGTTAAATCCAGAATGGTTTTGACGCATCTCAGTCCACCGTAAATTGACCTTCCTGGGAGTAAGTTGGTTAACTCAGACACACAGTTGCCAATAGGAGACTGTCATTTGTTACCAGATGTAGGAAGTACGGCAGTTTATAAGATTGGCCCCCGGACGGCGGCGGACGAACGACGGCGGTCCATCAGGGCAGCGCGGCGCCGGCGGCCATTCCGGCCGGGGGACCGGCGCCCGCGGCGTTTAGTGGTCGTTGTTAACGCGCCATCGGTTTGACGGCCTCCCTAACCGTAGCTCTCTGCTGACGTTTACGTGCCGTGTGGCTGCGTTATATCGTCCCAACAGACGACACGGGGAGCCAGCTCCCATGGGAGGGGCCGGGGCAGGCTGGACCGACCGGAACCGTGTGCCTGATGGAACCCACGTGGGCCTAAGGCAGACTGAACCGGCCAGGCCCTGCGGGGGCTACACACTGCACAGCCTTCTGTGGAGTCATGGCTCCAGACGAGCGACACAGTCCCCAATCTAGACTTATTAGTCTGATGATATATACCTAGCCACGCATGGAGATACATCCCCCCCCCCTGATTCAGAAGGCTCGCAACCAGCACGTCAGGCTTGAACCGCCAATGCCATTGTTCGTAAGTCATTTTATCTCAAACGTGTCATAACACACGCTGTTCGTTTAATGGTCCAAGTTATGACATGTGTCATATACCCGAAATGGCCCTGTCACTCAGAATTCTAAATCGAACCAACACTGTTAGTAGGTGCCTCAAACTTTCGAAGCCATCAACCTGGCACATTTCACATCCAAGGAAGAATAAAACAGCCTACAGCCATTTTAGGTCGGAACAATCACAGTGTCCTGACACACCATTTCAGGCGGCCTTTCGTTTAATCACCTATCTTCAGCTACAAATGGCAATGAACTGATACAACAACAGAACAAAGCGCTGCAAGAAGCATTGAAATAAAGGTCGAATGCCGTTTGTTACGAACAATAGACAGACTAGAAGTAAAGCAATGGCTGGCGCCCGAGAACGTCAAATTACAGCATTCTACTCTCAGAGACCCTAACTATCCATTCGATGCTTCTTGCAGAAAGCAGGCTACCTCGGCGGGTTTTGAACCCCGGGCCCCGGCCCGCTGTAGCCAGCGCGCTCTCACCGTGCGGGAACTGGGTGGCCACCGGCCGCTGCGGCGTCTTAACGCTCCACGTACAGAGCGAGCCGTCGGCGTGGGAGGACATGAACTGCTTGCCGTCGGAGAGCCAGCAGACGGAGCGGAGCGGCTCGGCCGACTGCCACCGCACGTCGGCGGCCTTGGTGCGCAGGTCCCAGAGCACCAGCAGGCCCGTCTCGAACCCAATCAGCAGCTGCCGGCCGCATCACAGCGTCACACAGACACATCACACAGACACATCACACAGACACATCACACAGGTCCCAGAGCACCAGCAGGCCCGTCTCGAACCCGATCAGCAGCTGCCAGAGGCAGTACAGCGTCACACAGACACATCACACAGACACATCACACAGACACATCACACAGGTCCCAGAGCACCAGCAGGCCCGTCTCGAACCCAATCAGCAGCTGCTGGCCGCATCACAGCGTCACACAGCGTCACACAAGCGCACCACAGCGTCACAGAGCGTTCTACAGCATCAAAGAGATGACACAGCGACATCAGGGAGTCACGAAACGTCACAAACACGTCCAGCGTCACAAAAATGCGTCAAAGCGTCACATAGCGCTGCAGCGTCACACGGGCGCGTCACGCAGGGGCCGGCAGACGGGCGCGCCGGCCGGCACGCGCTGTGCCGACTGGATAATCAGGGTGAGTGCAGTACAGTGTGCAGCCGCGTGACCTGGAGACACGGCGACACGGCCCGGGTAGGCGACAGCGAGAGAAGGGCAGACACTCAGACAGCGTATAAATGCGCCGGGGGACTGAAAGCTGTTTTATGACAAAACGAGGAGGGATTTTTAATGGTACTGCCTTCATGGTAAGAGCGACTAATTCAAGTCGGACGGAATAGGGTTACCAATAAGCATTATTCCATCACATCGTATACAGTATTGTTCAAACATGTTGTAAAGCATTGTTGTAAAGCATTGTTCAAACACAGACGGCTCACAATGGGAAATATCCGTTTAGGACGTCAGGCCTAAACGGATTTTTTGCGCATCTAGCAGAAAATGACATGAATATGCATGTTTGATGTTTTATAGATGGAATTTTTTAGTTTACACATCAAAATACATATTTATCTTGAATGGTAGGTCTAATGACAATGAAAAATCCACTTTTTGTCCATGATTTCGCGCCATTGTGGCAGATTCATAAAGTACCTACATAAGTGTTGAGAGGAACGTCCTATGCTTCAAAAGGGAAGCATTCTAGTTGAGGGCTAATTTCCTTATTTCTTAGATTCAACAATCAGGGTTCAATTCCAGGGCAACCAACATAGCCTTCCCAGCCAGTCGCTCCCTAATCCCTATAGCCACTTGGAACAGCATGCTAGTGCCATTTAGTGCTTGGTACACTGGATATGGTGCTTGATTTATTTTGCTTTAGTACCTACATGCTCCCAAACAATTTTCTCTACCTTGGTACTTCAAACTTCCTAGCAGTGATCAGGGGTGGAGATCTGTCAAGGGGGGGGGGGGTCCAGGCCGGGCAGATGGAGGCGGGCTGAATGCAGTACCATTACTGCATTCAGCCCGCAGAATCACGTCCCAGCCCGACGTCGCGGCGGGCGGTGTGGGACAGAGTGCGGCGCCGTCCGAGTCCGCCACAGGTGACGGCCGGCCCGTCCCCGTTGCAGGCGCGCCAAGTGTGCCGCGGCTGACGGACACAGGTGGCCCAGCGGACGGGACAGGACGGGTCGGGCTGGGTCCGAGAGGAGCGGGACAGGGGGCAGAGGCGCACACAGGTGGCCGAGCGGGGAGGACGGGACGGGACGGGTCGGCCTGGGTCCGAGAGGAGCGGGACAGGGGCGCACACAGGTGGCCGAGCGGGCAGGACAGGAGGGGGCGGGACGGGTCGGGCTGGGTCCGAGAGGAGCGGCGGGGGGAGGGGGGCGGCTCCGGTGCAGCCCCGGGCCCGGCACCCAGCCTCTGATCCGAGCCCGGCCGGCCGGGTCGGCGCAGCTGCCGGTGATTGGTGACCTGTCCCAGGGCCGGACAGGGTGGGGCGGGGAGGAATGACGCACACACGCAGCAGGCACACGGCAAGGTGCACTGGTCGGACACGGCCTCGCCACCGATAGACGGCACACAGCGAGTTATCACAAAACACAAAGGCTCACGGAATGAGTTCGTGATTGACATCGACACGTAACAGGTGGTCAAACAAGATATACTCCGTTATACGACCTTGTCAGACACACGTCAAAACCAGCATACGCTTAGCACCAGTCGATGAACAAATTGAGCTATCTTAACCAGGTCAGACCAGACCATAAAGCACGAGCTCAGCCGGGGGTAGGAAAGACGCCCAACCAGATCAGATCATAACACATGGCATCAGACCGGATAACATCACAATTCACAACGCAGCCCACCAGACCGGCTCGGACCGGACGGCGCCGTCTCGGTCCGTCCCGTCCTCCGGACCCTATAGCCACCCCTGGTCGGCGCGTTACCGTCTCGTCATGTCACGTCACGTCACGTCACGTTACCGGTCACGTCACGTCTCACGTCCTCACCTTGTTGCTGTCCACGGGGTTGTCGACCAGACAGGTGACCGGGCCCGGGTGGTTTTTCCTCGACCTACGGCACAGAAAGGGAGCAGGGAGTGTGTCAGTGTTAGGTACTACCATCACGGTACATACGGAGCATGGTGCTTCAAAGAACGCCAGCCGCATGGGCGAGCGCCGGCAGCGGGTACCGGTACCGGGTACCGGTCCCCGGTACCGGTACTTGCACAGGGCCACATACACCAACAACGGGACACATTCTACCAAACATCAGGAGCAGCTCAGCTAGACCGACTGTGGTTGGGTCTGGTCTCTAAACTAGTGTTCTGTTAACCCATAATGACCAGTAGCACGAAACTGGTGAGAATTAGGCAGCGCGGAGGAGCCGCGTGGGAGACTAATGAGCCTATTTTCTGACCCATGACCGATGCGGAGCTGAGATAAAGCTGAGTCGGCGCTACGAGCGACAGTCGATTTACGACCCTGATGGAATTGAGAGAGCTAAGGTCAGAGCAGAGACAGAACCGACACAAATTCAGTCAGAGATGGGGATGAATTTAGCCAAAGTACAGACGGCGCTTGGACGAAGCTGAGCCAGGTTAGAGTCAGGGCTGAGTCAGGGCTGAGACAGAGCTGAGACAAGTCGCAGCTGGTGATGAATTTAGACAATGTACAGAAAACGCTCTGACGGAGCTCAGCGGGTCAGATTCAGGACTGAGTCAGCACTGTCGGAATAGTCAGGCTGGGTCAACTGAGTCAGACAATGCGAGTCTAAGCTGAGCCATGTTATGGTCAGGACTGGGTCAGCTGGGCCGGGCAGGTGTCCGCCGGGCGCGGCTCGCCGGCCGGCCAACCGCTCCATCACCCCTGCAGCCGGCCGCCCGGGACACAGCTCAGTTAATTAACGTGCCACGGCCGCTACCATCTGACGCAAGAGGCTGCTCGGCGCGGCGGCCTGAGGTCAGAACAGGTCGCGTGAGAAAGGTCAGCCAGAGGCCAGAACAGACCGCGAGGCACAGCAGAGGGGATCACCGCCCGACACTGCGGCCCGAAGTCAGGCACGATTTTGGGTTAGACCAGGGGTTGTAGGGATTGGACATAGACATAGATAGCCGTCAAGTCTTCGTCCACAATGGAAAAAAAACATTATGAGCAACGAGAAGAAGCTGAATGATTTGAATGGCAGCGAGTCAACATGTACCGGGGCATTCACATAAAAAAGATGGCTTATGATCGCCTATATTCAGTCCCCCGTAAAACAGTGCAACTTTGCTTCAATTTGTTTTTATAAGGTACTGGTGCTTGTGTTCATACGTTGTTTGTTACATCCCACATCCTGCACACGTTCAATGTCACCATGACGTGGAGCAGAACGGCAGCCCTGGCTCCGAGTTAGCGGCACAGAATGGATGTGCGCCGCCACCAACCAGGCGCCGCATAAGTCACAATGCCCGAGCTGGCCGCTGCGTTGTGATTACCCGTGTCGGGCCGGCGGAGCTCCATTACGGGCAAATGGTGGCGATTTTCCGCCGGCCGAGGGCCACTCGGTCAGCGGGCGGAGGTCAGAGGTCAGCGCGCTCGCCCAGATTACACCGATCCACCATGCGCCGCGGTCACCGCGCCCGCCAAAGGTCAGCGTGCGTCAGCCGCAGACCCGAAACGGACCCGTTTGTCAGCGACACCGGCCCAGCGGCGCACCCGGCCGAGAGGCAGAGCTGCCGCCGTCATACCCCGCCTCACCCACACCAGGCAGCACCCCTCCCCTCAAAATGTCCCTGCGGAGCGGCACCGGCTCAGTGCAGCGGCGCACCGGGCAGAGCTGCCACCTTCTTCACCCAGCCCAACCAGCACCCCTCCCCCCCACGGGTGTCCCCGCGGAGCCGGCCGGAACGGCGGCAGCACGCACAAAAAACGTCCGAATTATTATAGGGGATTTGCGGCGGCGGGCGGTCAGGTCGTTAGAGGTGCCATTATCGCCGCAGCGCCGCCGGCCGGGGCACAGACCGGCGCGGAGCGGCGCCGACGGACTAAGACGGATGGAGGACGCGTGTCAGCGTCAGCAACAACCGCTGCGGCGGCCGGGGCATACAGAACGGCGCGGGTGCCGGCCTCAGCATCTACCGCGACAGCAGCTACCTTGTCCTCGACAGCAGCTAGCGCCTCAGCAACTCCTGCGACCGCAGCTAGCGCGACAGCAGCTACCGCCTCAGCAGCTACCGCGACAGCAGCTACCGCGACAGCAGCTACCGCGACAGCAGCTACCGCGACAGCAGCTACCGCGACAGCAGCTACCGCGACAGCAGCTACCGCCTCAGCAGCCGGGTGACACACAGAACGGCACGGGTGGCGGCCCCAGCGCCGGTAACGGCTGTGGATGGTGCGGTCTGATCTGCTAATACAGACCCCAGAGCCCAGGCCATGACATTTGTCTGATATATGAATGTGCGTGGACACTGTAATAAGTCTGCCATGTTTAGGTTTGTAATGTTGAAGAAGCATGCACTGGTTTGATTAATATCAAACGAATAAGCAAAAAACGTAACTGGCGAAAAAATAAATGTTATGGAAGGTGGTGGAAGGTTGTTAATATGTCTGATATTGGTCAGTGTTTCCCTATTAAAGAACATCCGAAAAGCTTAACTTACATCAAGGTGGGACCGGTAAGGTAACGCTTCAAGTTTTCAGAAGAAAAACACGGCCGAGTTTAATCAAACTAAGCCACGCGCGTTTAAACAAACACGCATACTAATCGCAGCATGGTAACGTATCTGCAAATAAAAACGGAAAGATTCGCGCAATACGATCACACCGCAAAACAGAATAGCGATGTTGTTTAGCCGTAAGCACCAGGCAACAAGTTCGGTTCGAAAACAATCCACGACCGATTCGTAAGCACGTACTTGTGGTCCTCGTTAACTGCATGGCGTGGCCACTTTCTAGACCTCTTTACGACAGCCATCCAATAGGACTTTACGACTGGAGCGTGCCGCAATGGACAGCGCCTGCTCCTAAACACAGGAAAATGCACCGACAACCTAATACCTCAGCACGTCCCAGTATAAGGATTGTCCCCATTTCCAAGTGCAGGATCCGAATGGTAAAGCGGTAAGAAGATAAACACTGTGAATTCCATATTATCAGCAGCCGCAACAGCACGAACATGCAGTGCTGCACACTTATTGCCAGCAAGAAGCACGCAAAGAGTACCTTGCAGTCAAACAGGTAATACCGTTGGACCCAAACAGGTGGACGTAAATATGACAAACGAGTCCGGCCTTCCTTTCCAAACAGACGACAGTGCAGTGGTCGGCCGGCGCGGTCGTTACAGACGCCGAGTCGAGCTGGCGGCTTTGTTACCGCCGCCGGCCGACCGGAGCCATGTTGTAGCGCAGCTCCAAGGAGTCGGTACCGATCGATGCTATAGAAATGACAGTGCGCTTACAATACGCGTCCTCTGCACACATCCCTAATCTAACGAGCAACATGGCTGCGAGTTGATTATGTGTGAATAGGTGAATGCCTTCTAAGCGATGGAAAATGATTCAACAAAAGTCTGCGTGTTTTGGAAGCATGACAAGGAAATCGTGGGAAAATTCTGAACACACAGTCTTTCAGTATTCATGTTGTAAACGACTTCGTTTAATCATCATCAACACTCAAATTAATTGCAATTTGCTTACCTAGCTACAGCACAGCCCGCTCCACAAAAAGCAAGCAGCTGTAGAGGCATCGTAATATTCGCGTATTTTCCACCATTCTCACCACGAGACCCGCGCGGTATTGGAGCAAAGAGATTCGCAAAATGAGTGCAGAGTTCGAGCCACTCCCAAGCCCCAAACTGAGTGAGTGCGGAGGGTGCCGCAGTCCGATCTAGCTGGGCGGCTCTCCAGTGTAGATAGAGGGTGCCGCAGTCCATGTCATGTCGGCCGACCGCCATCGATTGCGGCGGCCCATTGGCGGCCGTCTCGGAGATAAGGCCCGTTCACTGTGTGACGCCCATTGTGGGCCGTGGGATAAGGGCCGCCGCTGTCAGCCGGCCGCCGCCGCCGCTGACGACACCGCATTGTTTCTGCAGCGGCGACACTAACCAGGGACTCGCGGGGACCGACACAGCGCGGTGGGCGGAAAACCCATCGCACCGGCCGGCCAACCTGCTACACGGACCGGCCGACCCATGCACGGACCGGCCGGCCCACTCACTGCACGGACCGGCCGAAACACACACAGGCGCGGCGGCGCCGACTGGCCGCCTGAAACGTAGGCTGTCCCGCAGCGCTCTGCCGCCTGGCCGCATACTGTGCCGCAGCGCTCCGCTCGGACCCGCAGCCGCCCGTGGAGAGACGGCTGTGCCGCCACTCCCTGGAGCCTGCGCGGTCCACAACGGCCCCACTAGATAATTCCAACACACCGGCGTAAAACCGTTCCGGTGCTCTGGCCCCTTCAATTCCAGCCGCAGACCAGCGTAACCCTGCGCCGGTGCAGCGTGCGGGTTTGTAAACAGGACTTTACTGCCTCCGCTATCGGCGGCCAAACCGAGACGCCGGCCGGCGCGCTAGTATGCAATACGATCGTGTTTGGATGGCGGTCAGCAGTCGGAAACGCCCGTCCTCGATACACAGCCGACGCCTTTCCACGACACAACGGCGCAGAAGGAGGACGCCGATAGTCGAATCGAACCCCACAGTCACACTGCACTGAATGACCACCAAACGAAAACAGACCGACCAGCGGAGGAGTGGATCTGCCGCATGATGACCCAGCACCAGGGCGGACGGGGTGCCGTTTGGCACAGCCCTCCCCGCCCCGTCCCCGCCCGGCCACGCTGCCGGCTCGGCGGCGGCAGGCGGATTTGGGCCGGCCGCCGCACGGAGACGGATGGCCCGGCCCTGATCCCTTTCAGCCGGCCCTCTGCCAGCGCAGGCATCCAGAGCCGCGCTTTGGCAGCTGCGGCCCGCACGGCCCGAATATAATGAGACGCACAGCCAGTCTGACGAGCGCGAAAAAGACCGCCAGCCCTACGAATTTATTGGTGGGAGCTAGCGCTAGCTTTGCAAAAAAAAAACATATGCAATCTTTCTTGCAGCGCTGAATGAGTAGCACTTGGTTAATAAATACAAACTGAACCATTCACGCAAAATAATGTTGCGAGTAGCCTTATCAAAGCAGCATATATTTAAAAGTAAATATTTTTGAAACAGTAGGGGCGATACCTATATCCTACGCTATCACTTTTTGAAAAGCGAAGGGAGCTCTGCGAACAAATGTCCCATAAAATAAACGCGTCGAAAAACGAAAAAGCAAATGCGACCAATTGGCGGCAGTTTTTGCAGTAGCTAAGAACGGATGTCAACTATTTAGCTGCAATTTAGCACCTCACCCTGATCAGCCAGAGACGCTGACTCTGGAGAAGCTCCGTCAGCAGATATTAGAGCAGAGCGCAGCGAGCAGCGAATTAGGGCCCGCCGGTCGGTAACCAATAAACCCCACCCCCAGGATCCATTTGGAGGGCTATGTTTTCCAAACCATTGGCTGGGCTGTTCAGGGCCATCTCGAGTGAATTCATGAAGCCGGCACCGGTGGGTTTCCGGACTGAATGGGGCGTGGCGTCGGATTTATACATGTGCCTTTGGCGCCACCACGGTTCGAACGCGCTCATTTCGTTCATTCCGTTTCCACAGTAGCGCAATAGTCGGTGATAGGAGCACCAAAGACAAAGTCCCGATGGGTGCTTACCCAAAAGCCTGTTGTGGGGCGTGGTAATTGTGCACCGGCGAGGAACTGCCAAGCTCATGTTACAGAGAGTCTGCGGGTCTTTGTTACTATTATGCCATCATCTTAAAATTCGAACTCCTTTCCGTTTGATTTTCATTTCATACGCAAAAACGCCAACATATCAGATAGGCGCGGGACAAGAAAATGAGAGAATCCAATCTCCAATAGTGAACCAGCGAGCACACACGCAGCGGGCCCCGTTAAAGTCACCGGATAGAATTCCGAGTATCGGTGCTGCCCAGTTATCGGCTGAAAGGCTGGCCCTTGAACCATTCCGAGCACGGGAAATGACCAATATCAGGTGAAGTAGTGAAAATCCGCCCGCACACGAGCCCTCCAATCCCCTCGGCGCCGGCTCGTAAACGGATGATGGATGGCCGGTTCGCGGTTCAGTTGATTTGGAGGATTGCGTTTATGAAGAACGAGTGGCCATTTCCATCAGTCGGCAGATACCCTGGCCGAGAGAGTGGCCGTTATTTGCAGCCGCTCCGCCGCGCCGGTCCCTCCCCCACCGCGCGCTACCGCTGCCGCCACCCCATCGCCCGTTCCCAGTATCGCCCTCTCCAAAAGTTATCTACTCTTCATCGCGAGATCACCGATGGCATCACCGATAAGAACAGGGTGATTTGAGCACCAGTTCAGGACACTGAAGGAGCACTCCACCTGCTCTGTGACTGCGTTTGTAGGATGGCAATATCAGACAGCGGTGATGACCGTCTGTGTGGAGTCCTGTGCTCCATTCTGCCCCAGACTTCCCCCGCTCAGACAGTTTATTACAGCCGCGTAACGTGCTGAGACTTGGGCCCGTCTGAATGGAGCCCTGATTACATATTCACGGCGGCTTTTCCACATCGTCAGGGGCCGCGGCCGTTCCCAGCACCGGATACAGCTGCGCCCCAGCGAGGCTCGGCTGAAAATAAAGTCCGACCACTGCAGCAATTACTGCTGGCCCAACTCAATCAATTGGTAGGCGGCAGCAGCTGGCCACCAAAATATCTCGGTATTTTTGTGCTGAAATTTCGTTCACCCACGAGCAGGTGCGATACGCTCATTGAATAAGAGCAGCATAACCTCATTACGTCCGTCCATGGCGGTGGTCAGAGCAAAACCTGTACCAGTAGCGCGTGGAGGCGTTTTTGCGTATCCTCCCTTCATAGCAAAAATGGACAAGTGGCTTTCGATGGCTCGCGTAAAACAGATCACTAAGGTGATTTTTGGCGAGGTCAGGCCAACAAAAGATCATATCAAGTCACAATGCCCCATTTGGACGTTTCGATGAATGGCCTTGCATCGTAAAAACGTCAGCTTTGATAAAGGTAAATAAGATTCAAAGAGGTTTACAGTTCGAGCCTTAGAGGACATCACTCTTACCCATCGCTTTAAGTTCAATGTATCATTTTGAAAATAGCTAAGGTAAACCTGTAGGTTAAACCTCTGTTCCCGATACTGCGAGTAGCGACTAGTGGTGGATGACGTCTCTACTCACAGTTCGATGGCCTTGTTCCAGTTGATAATGTAGCCGGAGACGACGAACGACTCGATGTTGACGATGTGCACGTTTCCCTTCTCGGTGCCCACGTACAGCCACTTGCTCTGCAGCGGCAGACTGATGCACGTCGTCCTGCGCACAGGGCGGGCAGACGTCACTACAGATCCAGCGGCACCGCGCCGAGCTCGTCAGGGCAACCCGAACGGCACCGCGCCGAACACAGCGGGCAGGTCGGACGGCAGCGTGCACTGTGTCAGCGCTCTCCGTCCCTCCCGACCTCAGTATTACCCTAACACCTGAATTGTATCCTCGTTCCTATACCCCTTATACATCCCACCTATTCCCTATATAACCTGCCTTCCCACGTTCGTTTTACTTCTAGCGCCGTCTTTTTGTGCCGTTTTCTCGCACGTTGTGTGTCCCAAACTGGCCCAATTTGTTGGCGGCGGCGCGGACCGGCTCTGGGCGGCCGTCGGGCTCCGATCGGCGCTCGGTGTGCCGCGAGTTACAGGGCGGGGCGGCGCTCGGAGTGCCGAGTTACAGGGCGGCGCAGCTGTTTGTTCCGCCGTCCGATACCGGCGCGGCTCCGGCCGGCCGCTCGGTGCCCCGTTTTTCACAGGCCGCCGGCGCCGATAAACAGCGGCGCAGAGCGGCGGCGACACGTCGGACCGGCGCGCCGTCCCAATGCAGATTGGGCCGCCGAGCTGCTCCCGAACGTCCCGGCACAGAGCTGGGCAGGCCCGCGGCAAAAGGGTGCAAACGAGTCGACCAGACCGGGGTTTGGGAAAATGGAGTTGACAGAGAGGGGAAGCGAAGAGAAACGCGGTGAGAAGAAGAGGAAGAAAATCCAAGGGAAGATAAAGAGCAAAAAAGGATATTAGAAGAGGAGAGAGAAAACGAAAGAGAGGAGAGGTAAATTAATCTTCATAGGCGATCTGAAGTTTCGGTCAGTCAGTGGGACTGGAAGCAGCACCAAGGGAAACATTTGAAAAAGAAGCAGTGAACGGTGAGCACGCAAGGATTATTACCAAAGCTTCCTTACCCTCCAAGACAAAAAAGTCACATTTTAATCATAGTCACTGCGCAATTACCCTAACAATCTGACGTTTGCACCAGCCCGCCCAAAACCATCAGTCCGTTCGTAACACATGTTGGCCACCTACCGCTCGCGCTGAAACTTGAGCGTGTGCACCACCTCGGGAATCTTCTGGCGGATGTTCCACATGTTGAGCGTGTCGTCGGTGCAGGCCGTCACCAGCGCGCCCTCGTTCACCAGGAACGCGATCTGCCCGAGAGGAGGAGCACCACCGGTCACCATTCACCGGTCACCAGTCACCAGTCCGGCCCGCGGTTGGTGCGGGCGGAGGGGTAAATCGATGGATGTTTAAATGAGCATACGTTGTTAAGGAATATGTGACAACACAACAACGGTTATATTTCCGTGTATCAAATGAGCTAGCAAGGGAAATAATGCAAGCTAAAACTCATAATGCAATCAAATATAAAAATGCCCTGACACTATTGTCGGCGAGATTAGAACCGTAGAAAATGTTTCATAAGCAAAGACAATAAACAAATGCAATATGTACGAGTGGCCGACGGAAGCATTTACGTAACCAAATCGGATTGGATCCGGCGCAGAAAAGTGAGCCAATTAGCGAGCGTTATCGGATAAGTGGACGGAGGCGGCAGGCCGGCCGGCGCAGAGATCATAGAGAGCGTGTTTAGCTTATATAAGATTTCCATGGCAGTGATGTGAGCGCCGAACAGCCCTGAGGGCCCACCAGCGCCGCGGGAGGAAACAAAACGACACCGGGACCGTACATAAACCACAGCGGTGAACCGGCGTCTCCTACATGAGCAGACGGATAGGCATGAAAAGAGGCATTCAGCAATTGCATTAGTACAATGGCACGATATATGTGCAGCGCTTGAATGGCCTCCGGTTGACAAATGACAGGTTACGGTGCGCCCGCGCCTTCCCCGAACCATTCACCAAATCATGGCCGGCCTGAATGGCACAATATGCATTCAGTCGAGCGGCCGCGGTCGTGCCGCGCGGCAATCGTTCATAACAACGTCATCGCCTCATCGGCACACGCCGGGTGTCTTTGTGGCCCCGTCCGCGGCGCGGCGCCCCGTCCAGCGACCCGGCGGCACGCCGTATTGTGCGTCTGTACTGACCGAGCGGGTCGCGCGCGACGCCTATTTGTCACGGGTTGCGCACCGCCTCTCTGCGGCTGTGTGGGTACAGAGACGGACCGGCGCGGCGCGCTCCGCACGGCGCCGGTCCCGGCGGGCCCATACGGCCGTCCGGGCCCCCCTGGCCCATACGGCCGTCCGGGCCCGGCCGGTCCCCCGGGCCCATACGGCCGTCCGGGCCCAGCCATCCATCAGAGCAGCGCGGCGCCCACCAGCCAGCGGCCCTGACCGAGTGTCAATGGATGGGATACGCTCCGGTTGTCAGATTATATGCTGATGACAGCTGACTGAGCAGCGAGGTCACTATGACGGAGAAAGATCGCTGGGATTTGTTACGATAAATCTGACAGAATCCACAAGAGGATACGGTAGTGAAATACCGATGAAAAACAGCATCTCATTTCAAACCCGAGCACATAAGCATGAATTACCACTACAATGGCAATGACATTTTCTCCAATAGATGATGATTGAATTAATCTTCTTACAAAACATCTAGAGGCTCGGGATAACTCAGAAGCTCCCTGATTGATGCCCAATGACGCCCGCCTGCGCCAATCAGCTGCAGCCAGTGGGATCAGAGGGCTGCGCCACGGCGATGACATTTATCCCACGTCGTCCGAGCGTCAATTATTCACTCTACACACTACTCAACCAGAGAGCGTGGTCCTCGATCATTGCCCATGGGAGTTGCAGATAATCAAATCCAATTCATTGGTGCTGATGAGGAAATATACACGATAACTGTAACAATCTTCATAGTGGCAAGATTATAAATTTACTTTTCACTGGTACAATATCTAAATTCAGGAGTAAGAAAAAAGTTACGGTCGCCGGAACGGTAGCGTAGTTATAGAAATATGGGCCATTTCGGCGGCATAATATTCCGTTTCAAATTACTGCCACCGTCTGACCTATGGGCCATACAGAAACCCTATGAGCACTGGGCTCCACACGATGGGATGGTTAAATTTAGAGCATAATAAACCGACGGATCATCACACTTCTCAATCCATTCCGCGACCACTTGGCCGATCGTATATCGACGGGAATTAATGGCGATGTGAGCGGCTGAACTGCAGTTCTGGGCTCACCGGAAACGCATTAACACCTATCACTTCAGCGAACGACGAGAAATGCTGGAGCGTCCGGCGTCTCTGGACTCCGCCTGGACCTTCGGAGAGAGAAGAAACTGTGTGCATTGTCCACGTCCAACATGCCCGCGTCCCATTGTCTTGTGGGTGTGGCTCTGTGTTGTGTTTGAACTGCCTGTCGGCTTACCCTTCCCACGCAGCTTGGGCAGGGGTCTCTGTGCCGGCGGTGTTTTGGTTTGGGGGCCGCCCGGACGGCCGGGCGGCCGGGCCCTTGGTAGTCGGCGCCCATGGCACGTGTTAGGAGATGATATCTAACGTAGGTGTGACAGCCCCCGAGAAAAATGAGAACTAGAGTGCAAGCCTGGTCCACTAGCTAGTTATGTGGTCATCGTCATATGCGGTAAGCATGGTAGATGCAACAAAAGCTGATACGCTTTACAGCCCCCAGCACATTCCACAGTGTTAAGTTCAACTACAGGGTGATTTTTTTTACTTGTTAAAAAGTAACGAGGTTTAACGGCGCTAAAATGCAAATATATATTGTAAAATTATATACCAGCATGACGAGCATTCCGGGACATTTTGATTTCATGCAGACACGATGTGAAGGAACGTCCATCGTGTATTTTACTTGTGCTTGAAGTTACCCCCTCTCTCACCAATACGAATCAGTCCGCCTGAGCACGTGTTGAACAGCACCATGGACTCCCATGCTCATTAGGCGGACTGAAAAGGCTCCTATCACCCATTTTCAGCTATGCCAGATATTTCCAATGTTTTCTTGTTATATCTGCCATACATGGGTCCAAAAACTAGAAGTCTAGAAAGGGCAGGTCGAGGATTTTGCTACTGGCGGCCCTGGTGGTGTCTGATTCGCTGTTTTTGTTTCTCCCTGAAGACTGATTCTTCAGAGGCTGCAGATACGCCAGATGGACCGTTTGAAGGTTATCCTGATACAAGCTTGTTCGTGCATTATTTAACGTCTTTCTGAGGCATCTCCTTGATGATCGTATGCTTCGAACTGCCTCAATGCTTCAGAATCATCGTTTTGTGTCGTTCCTTACTGAACGGCGGTGGACCATGCGTGCCCGATTGGTGGGACATTTTCAGGCTCCATTGGGGCCGAGGCCCTCGGTCAAAAGGGACAAATGATGAACCATACAAAATGTCCCAGATTTATCTATCACGTGCATTGCTTTTTGCACAAGATTTTTCGATTTAGGGACCACCATTGACGTTTACTTTTAACAGTTAAAAAAAATCACCCTGTAAGTAGTCTGCC